CGAGCCCGGTTTCGTTCGAGTTAACGCGGCGGTCCGTGATGGCTCCCGTGTTAAGAAACGGACGTCGTCATCCGCCGCAAAACAAAATTCAACACCGTCACCATCACGGACCGCCGCGTTAACTCGAACGAAACCGGGCTCGTCCTCTACAAATACCAAATTCAACATCACGAACCATGGGACCAACATCAACAACAACAGCAACACCGCAAATCATCACAAACTACAAGACCTCGGCTCCGCTAACCCACTCCCATCTTTACTCCAACCCTCCCCCTCCTCCCAATCCCAATCCCCCCCAGTCCCCTTACGCACCCCTCTCCAAATCCACCATTTCATCCTCCACACCATGTTCGACCCCCCCCTCCCCCCCCCCCAACCCACCCCCCCCCCCCCCCCCCCCCTCCTCCCCACCCCCAACGACACCGCCCGCCTCCCCATCATCCCCGGCCTCCCCGCCTTACCAGCCCCAACAACAACCGGCCTCGGCGCCAACCGTATCGCCACCGCCCTCCACGCCCGAGCAGCCCTGCCCCCTTTAGTCTCTATCGCACACTTGCACGCTCTACTCCTCACCACCGGCCTTGCGCGGTCTCCCGCGGCTGCCGAAAGGGAGATTGCGGGGATGGTGCGCTCGGGCAAAGGGAGGAGGGTGGTGGTGCCGACTTTGAGGGCTGTTAGGGGGGGTGGGGAGTTGTTTGTTTTGGTGGAGGGGTTGGAGGAGTTGGTTAGGGAGTGTGGTGCGCTTGGTGGGAAGGAGGGAAGAGATGGGGGGATTGGGGAGAAGTTTGTAAGGTGGTTGAGGGCGAATCCGGGGAGGACGGGGATGACGGAGGGGGATGTGAGGGAGTGTGGGCTGCGGAGGAAAGAGGTGGATGCGTTGGTACGAGCGGGGTTTTTGACGGCTGGGAATGCGGCAGGTGGTGCTGCTGGTGGTGGAAGAGGGGGGTCAGGTTTGTCTGCGCGGCCGGACCAGAGGTATGGCATGATCAGTCTTGAGACTGTGTCACGGGCAGCGGCCGGGTCGGTTGCGGCCGCGGGAGGAGACGGGGTAATCCATGCGGCTGGGGGTACCGGGGCGAGAAGCATGGTGGGACAGCTACCCGGGACCGGGCCCGCGCCGGGAGGGTTTAGCATCGCGATTCCCGGATGCGGGGTGTATCTGAAGCTGATCTCCGCGGCACTAGAGCACCTGGCAGACTTGCTCCGCAGGACGCAGTACCGGGAACTACCCGAGTCGGACCTGCGTGAGAAGTGGGACGGCGGCATTGCGGGAGAGAGCGAGGTTGCCCTGGCCAAGAAGGCCAGGGGCGAGTTCACGGGCGTTATGCCTGGGCGGACCAAGAAGTGGAAGGTGTTTCACGGGCTCGCGTTTGACTGGGTGCTGCGGGAGGCCGTTGGGGCTGGTGTTGTTGAAGTCTTTGAGACAGGGAGTGTTGGGCGTGGTGTGCGTCTGGTTTGAGCGAAACGCTTTCCTGCGCGTATGCCCTGCCCTCGTGTCAGCCTAGGTAGTTTCCTACCGGAGTCCCACATAACCCGCTTGTCCATGCACGCAGGCGCCCGGCAGGTATATTACATACCTACCTATGTAGGACGGCCACGTTTTACTCGCTACGCCGAGCGTCATCTTCAACGCTGCCTACAGCCGGGGCCTGGTCAATGGCACGGAGCTCCTTACCAATGTGCTTCAGTTTGGCGGCTGTCAGTCCTCCAAGCAACAACGGGTCATCTCATATAGAGAGAGAGAGAGCAAAAAGCGCTTACGGCGGAGCGGAAAGCACACCTAGTCACCGACCTCTCCTCGCTGAAGCTTCAATCGTCTGAACTTAAATGCAGGCGTTCGGGCTTAACACTGCATTCCCGGGCCCGGGGGTCCAGTCTCCTGCGCCGAGAGCAATGCGATGTGCTATTCTCGGGAGAGGAAGCCGCTGCACAAGAAACACGCGAGCCGTTGGTTCATGCAACTAGCCCCTCCTTTTTACGTTTGAAGTTTCACGGGTGATGCTCGCAGTGAGTACCCAAGGGCGGGGTATTGAAGAATACGGGAGTCATGGATTTGGATTATGGGCCCTGGATATGCGGGCCCTATAAGAAGTGGTAACTAAGGACGGTTGGTGTGCTGGCGTGCATCATATAGACGGGATGGGTTCTAGAAACTGAGATGAAACCAAACATGAGAGTATTTCACGGGATCGTTTGAGATCGGCATCAACTGGTGGTTTTCGGGAGTCCTGTTACCTTTGCGCCGGTATCTCGATTTATGCGTTTTCCTTGGTCTACTCGTTGGGAGGAAGGTTAGACTGTGTACACGTGTAGTACAAATCCAAACGAACAGATCTTTACGATCTTCACGGCAAGACTTGCCAATCCCAAGAATCCCGTTGATCAGAAACACCATCCAGGACCCCAAGGAACCACGGAGGAAGATAACAATACAGTCTGCTGTGTCCCCCCCTTCGTTTTTTCTAGCTGTGGGATTACTACCTAAATCGAGCCTTGGGTTACGATAAATGAGAACGAGAACGATGTCCGGGATGGTACAAGCATTGATAGACAGGAAGACGGGAATTTGGGGTTTGTGAGCCGTGAAAAAGCATGAATGCCATGAGAAACACCGGCCTTACACCGGCGGCGGCCCAGATGTTGAAACAAGGCCGCAGCTAGCCCCGGAAGATCAACGGCCGATTCTTGCCCGTCTACACGGCGTAGTGTACTATGTATGTTGATGGAATCAAGGAAGCTGCTAGGCCGCGGTGGCGATTTGTTTTTCGGTTTGTCAGACAGTACAGACAGTAACTAGGTGTAGTGATGCACTACGAAAACGTGCCCTTTTTTTTACAATGGTGGTCGCTTGTATGCAGGGGTTTGGCTTAGGTGCGGCCATTCAAGTCTGAGGTTCCATTTTGCCGGCTTGAGTTGACCACTGAGTAATCAGCCCTTTGCTGCGAACTCGCAACTCGGTCGAAAAAAAGGCAGTGAAAATGACATAGTTCGTAGGAAATGACTCGGTGTCTCCCAAACAGGGTTTGGCCGACGCGGGAGAGCGAGGAGAGGAACAGAACGTTGCATCGGCGTCCGTTCTCGAGATGGCGTGAGCGGTTTGCTGCAGCGTGCGTTGCCCTGGAGAGACGACGGGACGCAGGCCGCTGCGGGTTGCATTGGATCGCTGGGAATCCAAGAAATATTGCCACCTTTGGAGGGGGCCTCGGGGCTTAGCAAGGAGAAGTTGATCAAGGACACGGATTCTCTCAGGGGTTGATAAATAAAATAAATGACCGCCTGGGTAGGGGGACCATGCAACTCATCGATGGTTTGTCTTTTGAGTTGATTGCTGGCTCGATGGCTCAGTTGCATCCAAGATCCCCAGCTGTATGTGAGAGCGGAACGTGACCTTGCCCTGCAGTTCCTGCAAAAAAGGTTGCTCTGCATCAAGCAGCCAGAAGAACCCCTGTCGGGGTGAATGCATGCGTCTGGCCGTGGTTTGGGGTCGTGGGATTTCAGATGCCGACCCGCCAGTGACCTGGGAGCTTGGGTGGCGGGGATTGGTGGTTTGTGGTTCGTCGTGAGGTCGTTCCTTTTTCCCTCTCTTGTTTCTTTTTCTTTTGCTCAAGGCGGCTTTCCTCTTCCGGATCCTATTCTCGTGCGCCAGCTTCTGGGTTCGGGTCAGCGTGGCCGCCACATGACACAGCCCACGTCCCGATTCCCGTCTGATGTTGATCCAAAGTCGTGACGCGCCCCTGGGCCGGTTTTCTCTAATGATGGACAGTGCGTGGGGAGGTTCCCGAACCTTCAAGGACAGGGTCCAGACAGGCCAGGCACAGCATCACCCCCAGCTTTGAAGATTGTGGAGCGCCTTTCCCACGGACCACCCCACCGGGGACATCGTCTGTGACGAACTAGACGAACCATCAGGCGTTGAAGTCCTTGTGTGGAGCTTTCCATCGACGGATCGAGTTCGGCGACGCGACGATATTACCTTTCACGCGTTCCAGCTTTTAAAGCGTGTTTGGATGGCACGATGGCACAGCGGAAAACCCCACTGCCAAAAAACCAAAGCCCGCTGGAGCCAATGCAACGCCAAAGGTGTGATGTGATGAGCGGGCGCAGAGTTGATCTCTTTGCGCCTCCTGCGTGCCCGGCTTTCGGTTGGTGTCGCGAATTGCCCAGCCTCAAATCCCTTGCCGGCCCTGCAGGTCCCATCTGGGGATGTGAGCCCATTGCCGGGGCCGTTGGTTTTCATCATCCTTTTCCCTGGAGTGTTTGAATACTTCGAGTTCCTCTAACCTTAGTGTAGCCTCGAGGGCCCGCAGTCGCTGGGTTCTTCACAGGTTGGCACAGACTCTCTCCACTTACACCTCAAGTTCGTTGCTAATTTCTTAACTGTTCCTCTTTTGTTCTCGTTTTTTTTTTGTTAGTTGTCTGTTCCTCTGGTTGGGAAGAGGGTTGTCAGAACAGTGGCTCCACTCGCACTTGGTTGCTCTTGCATTTCTAACATCCGCTCCTTCCTCCTTCTCCTTCCACCTCAAACAATAAAATAAAAATAAAAATATAACAACGCGGCATTGCTTGCTGGGACTGCGAGAGCCGTTCTCCCCTCGGCCCTCGTCACTGCCCGCCAAGCGTGTCCAATCCGGAAGGGGCTTGATCCCCTTGAATTGCGCTTGCAGGGATCAGCAGGGGCCTGATGATGGTCCGTTGAAATTGCTCCTCAATTGCCCGGCTCGGTTGGACCGGGGATGAGGTGCCATAGGCAGGGGGGTAATTGGGACAATGGGGCAGGCACGAGCAGAAAAACAAGGGGCGTCCAGATGCGCCTCCCCGGAAGGGGGGAAGGCGAAAAGGGACAACCAGGAGACGTCCCACGGGGACGGGAAAAGGAAAAAGAAAAGATTTGCTCATCCGTTCCCTTTCCATTTCCTGAGCTTGAAGCCCACCAACCCGCCGTCTCTCAGCAACCACTGGGTGGTGAGAGAGGTCGTTCTTGAATCTCGACTGAGGGGGTTTCTCGACAAGAGCACAGAAACGGCTCGGCCTCGTCTCAGCCAGTTGAACCTCTCGGCCTTCCAACCAACCACGCTCTTTTAAACGGAAGACTTTCAAGGAGCGCAAGTAATCAACCGTCCACATACGCGACTCTTCTCTCGCTCTCATACTCCTCTCTTTACATACTCGGCTTTCACCATTGTCCGGCCAACTCATCAACGACCACAAAGAGCTACGTGTGGACCCGGTGTTTCACTCGTTATTCTCGACTTTTGGTATCGGGGACAATCATTTCTTGTGTTTGGCGGTGTCCCTGCCGTCGTTGTCTGAGATCGGAACGCCCAGGGCCGGACCTCGTGCTGGCTCGAGCACCCCCCATTGTTTCCCCGCCGGCTGTTGAAGGAACTCATTCCGTCCCGTCTTTTGTATCTTTTCCTTTTTTTTTTACCAGAATTGGATTCCCACCTTTTTACGCCTTAGCGCAGACTCTCCTCGGCTGCAGCTCGAGTTTAGCGCAAGCTTCCAGACAGAAGGGTTTGGGCGATATCCTTGAGTTTCCACTCAGATCGACGCACGAACAAAACAGGGCCTGCTCCCCCCACTCGTTCAGTTCAGCTCAGACACTTCGACCCGGCGCCCCCATAACCTTGTGTGTGCCTCTCGACCTTGCACTTCGCGAACACCCTTCCCAACATCTGCAACAGAGTCGTGCAGTTGTCCATTATCGTGACGCAGCGCCACAAGAAAACCGTCGGCTCGCGGCGCGTGCTGTTCCACCGCCTGCGGCCCACGCGGTCCTGTCTCTTTTTGTGTCGCCAGATCCTCACCCGTTCTACCGGTCGCGTTTCGCGCCCCTGGCTAGCTCGGAGTTAGGCTTCGACAAAGACCACCCAATCCAGCGGTGTCTGTACTTGCGCCTTCACGCAAACGGAAGAAGAGCAACAAAAGAAGCGCAACGCCCCAGACGAGAGTTTCGAGAATTGTCGGTCTGGTGGAACCGACCCACGATAGCACGGGCAGCAGCATTCGTCATTCATTGCTCACTGCTGTGCATCGCTCTCCCGATCCGATTTCTACCAACGACCTCGCGCCGACTTGGTTGCCCTTCGACACATATCCGGTCCCGGTCCACGAAAACCACGGATGCGATGTTAACGACTTGCGCTGAGCTACACCCACCGCAGCAACCAGCATCTATTGGAGTTCTTTCGGCCCTGGCTAAGAAACTCGGAAACACTTGGGATCCAAACCCACGATGTCCACCACGCTGCCCCGGCCACCGCGGCCAGCCCGGCCATCGAACGGCCCACCATCAATAGCTCTCCCAGCATTACCGGTAACTAAGACCAGGAAAAGCACCGGGAATCTAGCGGCCCTATCCAACAAATCGAACCCCGTGGCAGCGAGATCTGGCCTGCGGGCGCCATCGGCAAGTCTCCTCCCTCCAGCCTCACCCCAGCCGAGGTCCGTGTCCGGCATCAACAATGCGGGGAGGACGATTAGGAAAACGGTCAGCATAGCTTCGTTTCCGCAACCGCCTCGTGGCGATGGCCGGATCTCGAGCCTCCCCCCCAGCCCGCTATCTACCACAGCTTCGTCGCGGAAATCTAAGACGCCGACTACACCGACCTACCAATTGTCAAGTGGCACGCCGAGCTTTCTCAACGGCACTGGCGATGGCAAGGCGATTTCACGGCAAGCCGCCACAAGGAATTCAGATGGTCTAATCAGCATTGCCTCCCCTCCACAGAGCCGCAGCTCCTCCGCCCAAGAATCCTACTCTACCTCCGCCACGCAATATGACGACGTCAACGACTCGGCGTTTACGAAATCCGACTCTGCGTTTGGCGGAAAGCGGTCATCCAAAGATGGTAAAGGAAATGTGATTGTCAGCGTCAGAGTTCGGCCGGATGCCGGTGGACAAGAGATCCGACCAGATGGCGATTGGATAGTGGATGGAAAGAAGTCTCTGCTTGGGTACCGAGGGAAAGAAGGGGGCGACTACTTTTATGGTGAGAACCCATTGAGGATAGAATTCGAACGCTGTTTCCTCAGGACCTAGCTCGTTAACTCTTGCTGCAGATAACGTATTCGCGACGCACGACGACAACTCGAGAGTCTACGACCATTGCGCCAAACGCCTGGTACGGCGAGTTATGGAGGGTTACCACGGAACGGTGTTCGCCTACGGTATGACCGGCACAGGGAAAACGTTCTCGATGCAAGGCACGGCTTCTTCTCCCGGTGTTATCCCACTTGCCATCACCGACATCTTCTCGTACATTCGCGAGACGCCATCCCGGGAATTTCTCCTCCGGGTCAGCTACCTGGAAATCTACAACGAAAAGATCCAGGATCTATTGAGCATGTCCACAGCAACTGGCGCCAATCAGCCACAGGAAGAGATCAAACTTCGCGAGGACAGCAAAAGGGGAGTTTATGCGAGTCCTCTCAAGGAAGAGATTGTCCAGAGTCCGACACAACTGCTTCGTGTGATTGCTCGCGGAGATCAAGCGCGCCGGACCGCGAGCACCCAATTCAATGCGAGGAGTTCTCGAAGTCACGCAGTTGTGCAGATTGTTGTGGAAAGCCGAGAACGGGTCCCGACTGGCCCCGGAGAAAGCAAGCGTCAGGGCCTCTTACCAGGTGGCGTCCGCGTCTCGACGCTCAGTCTTATTGATTTGGCTGGGTCTGAAAAGGCTGCCGAGTCCAAGGAACGGCGGCAGGAAGGCTCCCACATCAACAAAAGTTTGCTGACATTAGGCACGGTTATCGCCAAACTTTCGGAACAAAAGGACAAGGATGGGAAGCCAACCGATAAGGATGGCAAGCATCTGCCCTACCGCGACAGCAAACTTACCAGATTATTGCAGGGAGCCCTGTCCGGCAACTCGCTTGTCAGTATCCTCTGCACCATCTCTGTTGGCCCAGGCGGTGGCACCGCGGCGTCGGCCACAAATATCAACGAAACCCTCAACACCCTCAAGTTCGCCTCTCGAGCCAAGAACAGTATTGTCAGCCATGCCAAGCGGGCCGAGGAAGCCTTGGGGGTTGGTGGTGATGGCAACGCAAGGGTCTTACTGGAGCGTTACCGAATGGAGATCATGGAATTGCGCAAGGAGTTGGATACACAGGCCAAGAGCAACAGTAAAAAAGAAGCCGAGGAGGAGAAGGAACGCGACGCAGAAGAGGAGCGGGCCCGAGAGAAGGAAGCCGAGCTGCGCCACGAGGAACAGATGCTGGAAATGCAACTGGCCCGGACCGCGTTGAAGGAGAGGATAGATCACCTCAACAGACTGATCTTGAGCTCTAAATCTATCGGGGTAAACGCTAGTGGATCCTTCAGTGCGCTCGGTATACACCCTCGGTATTCACAGGGGTCGATCCGGTCTTCGATGGCGACCTCTAACGGCGCTAAATTTGGGCTCGAGAGAACCGAATCGATGACTTCCAGCGCCTCGACCATTGGCAGGAAGTCGGCCGGTCACCGCTCCTCGGGCAGCGGGGAGACACCTGTGGTAATGGAGGATGACGACAGCCTAGGCGAGTTCGGCGACGGTACCGCATCGTTGACTTCGCAAAATCGCGCGCTCCAGGCGGACCTCGTCGACAAGAACCGGTACATTCAGACGCTGGAGAAACGACTCCTGCAGGCTCGCCGCGCTAGCTCCTCGCGCACTTCGGTCGGCTTGTCGGGGGGCAAGGGGATCATGGTTGGCGAAGACCACAGCGTCTCCACGCTCATAAAGGAAAAGGATGCCGAAATCGCCGAATTACGTGCCCGCCTCGATGACAAGGACCGGATGTTGGCCGCTCTGCGGACCGCCGCCCGATCGCGCGACAATGCCGATCGTACCGATCGTGTCGAATCCCGCATCGAATCTCGTAACGAAACACGGGCCGAGGTCCGCACGTCGCTCATCCTCGACAGCGACCCGGGCCCAGCGCCCACAGGCAGCCCACCCGCAGCGCCCCCACCGCCTTCGTCCTCGCTTCTCCGCCAAGTGTCGCACCTCCGCAAACGCACAAAGAGCGTTGACGAGATGAGCAAGATGCTCGACGAGATGATCCAAGATCGCGTCGAGAGTGGCCAGCTTGTGCGCGGATCGCGCGGCAGCGTCCGGTTGGTTTCGGAGAACCGCGGGAAGAGCGAGGCCCGCGAACTGCCACAACACCGTGTGTTGAGCCCGGCGCCCTCGTTCGTCCACCAGGCTCCCAACCTAGGCCCGGCTCCGATGTCTCCAGCAGCGCCTCCCCCGACCATGCCGCTTCCGCAGCCTCCTGCGGCAATTGGCCCACCACCTGCTGCTTCACCGCCCCCACCAGTTGCGGGCCCGCCGATTCAGTTGCAATTGCTTTCAAGGCAACGGGCGTCGTTTATGGCGGAGCCGCCAAAGTCGATGGGGTTGGAAGCTTAGGGCGAAGTGGGTAAAAGAGTTGGCTATCTCTGATCGTTTCTTCTTGGCAATGGAAGGAAGATGTTCTCTTCCCGAACTGGTTCGGATGCTAGTAAGGAGATATGGGCATATGTCTGCATTGATGTCAAACGATATCCAGTGATGCGGAGTTCGCTCGGGTGATGATGTTGTGGGATGGTGGGATGATGGGGAGAACCAACTCACCTGGCCCTTTGTTTCAGGCGGTCTTATTCTTTTTTTCCTTTGGTTGGACGGCTTGTCTCGCACCATGTTTTATATACCCGGCTTCTGGTCCTTTTATCTTCTTCATTCAATTCTTCCCGCTCTGCTGGTGCGGATATAGCTTCCGGCCGGTATTCACGAAACCCCTTCTACCTCATTCTTCTTTCGATATTTCTCTTCCTCTTCGTACTTTTTCAAAGGTCTCAGGACCTAGATGTCCATTTTTTCTGATATTTGGAGGGAAAGGTGACAGAGGCGGCCGGTGTAGTTTCTGTATCACCAACATCATCGTTAATGTGTTTCAAATGGAGGGCTGTTATGTGGTCCGGGGTGGGGAGCGGAGGTTGGGGAAAATGAGGGAAAGGAAACCGCGAAGGCAAGGTGGATGCGTCCTCGTAAATGACTCCATGAAGTGGACGAGGAAGGGAAAGGCATTTGTGGTTTCCGTGGATTTTTCCCTGTAGGGGGGAAAGTGGGGGGAGGTCATGAAGATAGGATAAGCTCGGGTAGCCTAGCAAGCAATGCTGAATCTGGAGCATGCGAAGAAGAGTTGTTTGTTCGATCTTGGTGCAAAAATGTGATTGTGTTCGTGCTGTGCTTCCGTGGTGTGTTGGGGTGTTGGGTGTTGTTCCGGTAGAGTAGGCCGTCGCCGTTTATAGCTTGTCGTTTGCCGCATTAGGGATTTGGCCATCGGGCAGATAGATGGTTGGTAGGGTGAGGAGTGACATGAGATGAAAAGGAGGAGAGTATTGGAATGGGAAAGGGTCTAGGGGTTTAAGAGAATTCTCGGGTATCCATTAACAGGTAAATAAGTAACAAACACGCATAAAAGGCACTCGGCAAGACCGGATCAAAGTTGGATAATTGAACGGCGCAGCAGAAACATGGTTATTCCCCTTCTCTACATGCCCTTTTCTATGCTGTGTCTAACCAATCAAGGGCCTAAAAACTAGGATATGACCAAATCTCGAAATGCAATGCGGAAAGGTTCAGCTTGTTTCCGTTGGTTGTGTGTAGCCTGTTTGCTTTGATCGGTGAACCAGTTGACAGGTTTTCTGGGATTCGGTTGACTATATATGCGGTTGAGAGAGGGTGTTAAAGTTAGTGGCGGGGGTGTCCCGGGGAGATGCATAAACATTGGAGGAGGTGGTTAAGATTGAGTCTATGCTTTGGGTGTCTCTGATATGTTCGCATGCTTCTGACGGGGCGTGGTCATGGCGTGTGGGACTGCGAACATCTACACATATCAGTCAACCCTGACGGCCCTTGTCTCTCGGCTGCTTGCATGAACGCAATGACGGGCGACACTCGGTACTTAGTCCAATGGTTGACCTGAATTCTGCTGTGGGCCTCAGACACCGACTACATGGTATGCAAAAAACGTCTTCCGCCCTCTTAGACCTGCTGGGTGCGTTTGGTTTTGGTTTGCCGAAGAGTTGCAGCATCTGGTTTACTCCGTGAGTTGGGCGGCTGCTGGGCGGCCCTTGGTCGTTGATATCTGACACAGTCGTAACCCTCCCAGAGCCCAACAACCCTTCTCTACGTTGCATTTACATTTGATATCCCTACGGATCACTTGAAACTAACTCGGCACAGAATATGGAAAGGTCTCCGCCTGCCTTGAAGACTAAACCAACACACAGTTGCGCCGGTCCCAGAGTGTTGTTCCTTTTTTGACCCTCACTACGCATCATTCACCCGTCTAAAATGTCTGTTTTGGGAGACGCCAGTTGCCGCTAGCTTGGGACTCAGAACCATCGAAGACCCGGACTAAACTGGTCTATCCACAAAACCTAACGTTACGTGTAGTTTGCTTGTTTGCCAAGTCGTTGGTGAGAGATCGACTAAGGCCTGTCCCTATTGAGGTGGCTCCTTTCCCCGCGCTTATTGACATACGAGTTGAAGCGATCGACGAGCGAGTGTGTTTGCCACCCAAGAACCGAGTATATTCTCTGTATTCAAAACACGGAACAAAGGTGACTTGGGCTCCGAAGTTCGATGATGAATTCCGTGGTCTTCCGTTGTGGCAGGTCGAAATGTGGGGCTGACATTCGGGATGTCACCGGCCTGCTGGGTAAAGTGGCGGCTCTTGTCTAACCTTTGATTGGACCATTTGCCATCGCCTGGCGCGTTTCAGAATCAGCGGGGGTCGAAAGTGCGATCGACCCTGTCCCGCGCTCCTGCCCTTTTCAGGCCGGGCAGGGTCTCATGGCACTCTTTTTCTCAACGTCAGTGCCACAGAGAGTGAGAAAAATGAAGAAAAATACGAAGTCTAAGATAACTGGTTAAATGTGTCTTGTGCTGTGCTGCTGAGGCGAGCTGTTGTGAACACCCAAAACGCTGGGGAAATGTGGTTTCTGCTCTGATTTGAGAATTTCAGGGTCGCCAAGCAAACCAAAACCGGGCAACGTCCACATGCATCCCGTCAACTTGGTGTAAAATGTCCCCGGTTCTGGGTGGGCAAGGTGGGGGGAGTTTTCGGCTTCAACAAAACGGGAGCGCGTTTTCGAAACCTGCAACCTAGCGTGTGAAAAGGGCGCATTGTGGCGAGCAACTCCAAACGCCAAACAGGAAAGAGCATCTGGTCCTGGACCGACTTTTCCTTTCGCCATTGGACCCCGACATCCTTCACAAAACGGTTTGATCGAACGAGCATGGCAGGTCATGGAGTGCCCTGCCGTCCCCGTGGCAGCCCCTGAGCAAGAGTCACATTGGATCGACAACTCCGCAGCACCCGACGATCTTTCTCACTCCTCCTCGGGTTGTCTTTCTTTTCCCTTGCAGGATGACGGAGTTCGTCTCGTCTTCGAGGAAGGCACTGCGCGGTTCAATATCTTCGGCATTTTTCCTCCAAACCCGAAATCATCAGGTCCCTTCGCTTGCTGGCACAAGCGACCGTGACTTTATTAGCGTTGCACTTTCATCGTTTGTATCAGAACTTCATCCCGCAAAAACGCCCGAGAGAAAACTTGTGAGAGGCATCGCGTCCTTCCGACCTCGTTTGTGCCCCACTGCTCCCAGAAGATCTCCCCTGCAAAGACGGACTGATAAGTCGCCGTTCATCAGGCACTGATGCCGTTTGTCCCGGGATTGCTTCAAGATTTCTTTCTTTCCCAATATCGTTGATCTATTCCCCTTTCTTCACTGGTCTCGGATTTCATCTTACTTTTTTTCCGGCCGTTGAACTCATGGCGAGTTTCTCGCGTTTTCCAAGGATGTTGTGAACTCATTGACTGAGCACGAACACTGCGCCGCCAACGTCATTGCTAGTTGGCGCTGCACAATCCCACCCCCGGGCGAGTTGGAGTTTTGCGGACAAGGCGACGACCCCACAGGACATCCCGACCGTGGGCCTTTTGGCTGACCCATCGGAAGAAGGAGAAAATTGTCTTCGGCGCAGATCATCTTCTGGTTCGGCACTGGCTCACTGGATCTCATCCTGCGACCTCACCGCCCCCTCCAGGAACTCCGTGTTGCCGTATAAGAAGCTGCCGCAGCCTGGTGGCACCGTGCTACCTTGAGTTGGAGGGGTTCCGCTCCGCGCTCTGCTAGCCTTGATACCACCAAACCAGTCCTCCACACGACGTCACTAGTCTCAGGCTCGGTGATTGGGGGGTGTTGCAGGAGACGAGAGTTGTCGAAGTCCACAACCGGAGCATGGCGTCGAATGAGGGCGTCTTGGACTACCCATTTTTGTCTCGGCCCCTCGATCTTCTTCAAGGAAGCACACCTCTCTCTTCCATTTTTTGGGCGCGCGGCTGCGGGCTTCGCGAAACGTCAAGCTCACGGCTTGTGCCTGTGAGACATCGGGGTGGGTTCTGAGGACACCAGTGTACCATTCGAGTTGATCATTTCGACTCTTCTCCCCTCGATCACGGCCAGCCCACGACACCTATTCGAGCTAGTCGATGCCGTAACAGACACCGAACTCAGAGTTTCTCATCATGCCGCCAACACTTGATCTCAGCAGGGCGTCCCACGCCAAAGTTGTGATATCACCACCACGAATCAACCTCCGCCGAGCAGCATCGTACAACCACGACCGGGGACTGCTATCTTCGACATCCTCACGGTTCAACTTTAACCACCTGGTTTTCTCCCCGCCCCCGTCCCCCGGCCTGCCTTCACTTTCACCGCCCGCAAAGAAACCGACCCGTCGATTTTTCGGAACCAGACGGCCACTTCGGGCGGTTCGCTATGCGATCCGATTGCTGAGTGTCGTCGCAGTCTTTTTTGCGGCACTGGAGGTTCTGACATGGCTATTTGGCGAGCCAGTGCCGCCAGCGTCAACAGAATTGCCGGACTCGGTGAAAGAGATGGAGCTCAAGACGGGGATGGTTTCACAGAACGAGGCCCCAGATTTCCCAACTCCGATTGTCGTGACCGATCACCGAGGACGCACAAAGTGGACGGTGTCGATACCACCTGGTTCAGCGTTCCCCTTACCGGCAGACCAATACTCAGAGATCTGTGTTCAGTGCCGGCAAGTTGCGGAGCGGGCTCGGGAACTACAATCTCATGCGCATGGACTGCACCAGGTTTCCCTGGGATTTGGGTCCGACTCGACGGATGAATTTATCGATGTACAGGAAGCGGAACGGGCCGGGTTTCTTCCGAGCCCAGGGCTAGACGGTGGGAGCACCTTGAAAAAGGGCGCGGAAGGGGAAGTGGTGTGCAAAAAAAGCCTGACGTATGTTCTCGAGTCGGATGATGCAGGGTTGGGCAAAACGTTGATGATGCTGTGGATTGCTTATGGGCTCGCTGAGGAGGAAGGGCGTGCGTTCTTCGTTGATGATACTCGATGGGGTTATGGCAAGTTTTCCGCTATCTTCCAGCCGCCGCCACCCCCAGGATGCATGGCACCGCCGAGCCACGAGGTACTACCATGCCCGCGACATGCACGGCACCTAGTTGCATCCGCCGCAACTATGGATGTGTTATTCGGAAGTTTGACCGAGAACCCGGATCCCCCCTCTGAGACGCGGGGCCAAACCTTGCGGAAAGCCCAGTTTAGTCTGGCTCGCAGGGGCTACGAGGCGCTTGCTCGACTAAACGACGACGACGCGGCTTACGTCGATGATCGGGTTCGCCAGCTCGTGGCCGTGAGAGCCGCACCGGAGACCCAGGATCAGCGCAAGGGGCTCGCGGTCGGTGTCCACATCCGTCGTGGCGACCAACATCCCCTCGCATCCCAGTACCGACATTCGTACATGCCCCTCAACCTCTTCATCGACACCGCTTACGAGATTATCGACTCCTACTTCAACCACACCGCCAACGGGCCTCTCAGCCTGCGAACCACTAGCGACGAGGACGCCGCGGCCGCCAGGGAGCGCAGCATCGTTGTGGTCGCATCCGACGACCCGGTGGTGTATGAAAGTAGCGAGTTATCAGGAACGCGCCGTGCCCAGGAGCGCATCAAGCTAGCCAGCAAGGAGAACCTGGAGCAAGCCACGCGGGACAAGTCAATCATGCGCAAGTTCGTCGACGAATCGTTTGGCTGGGAGGGTGGATTCTTCGCTGCCATGTTTTGGAACCTAGGCGTCGCCTCACCACATGCCGGCGACGGCGCAGACGGCAGCAGCGCAAGTACTGGAAGCGGCGATCACCCGCCGTCCGCGGAAACCCTGCGGCTGAGGAGCCTGGTCGGCCGCGCGTACATGATGGATCTGGCAGTGCTGGCTGGCGCGAGCGATGCGATTGTTTGCACTGTTAGTGCAGTGGGGTGTCGGCTGCTAGCCGTCATGATGGGATGGGAGGGTGCGATCGAAGCGGGGAATTGGGTGAACATTGATGGAGGGTACGGGTGGATGGGGTTGGAGTGGTGATCGGCTGAGCAGCCTCCCCCGGCCAGCCAGCCATACACGGACTTCCCTATAAGCGGGAATATTGGGCCGGCAACAGCTCCGTCATATTTCCTTCTTGTATTTGTGGGGGCATTTAGAAAGGCGTTCATTAGGCGTTGATTGGTTGTCATGTGGTTGTTGATATTGAAAAAGAGGAGACCGCGGGAGGGAGCATTTGAAACATTTACACGGGGCAGGGAGGCAGGTGAGCCGGAGGGCGGGAGGAGGAGAGATTATGATACCATATACGCGTACAGTGTTGTTTTCTATCTGTTAGCCCCACGATCGTTAGGTCGTTCATAATCCTTGATGGGGAAAGGGGGGAGGGGTGCGAGTTTGGGGCCTGGATATCTACTCCGTATGGTGCATACGCTCGTTTGACTAAGAGCACTAGATGGAGGTCTATCAATTTGGTACTCCCATGTTGGGTGATTGAGACGTGCGTTTCTCACCGAGAGACTCCGACATTGTTCTTGGCTTCCTTTTCGTGTCCACGGGTAACTAGTCAGATGTACGCAAGCAAGAAGTAAGTGGGGTGGGTGTTCACGCACTTGACGTTGTTCAAAAACGAATGCGAGACGTTCCTCCTGCTGCTGCTGCGCGAGGGTTAGGGTATCGCCAAGTTTCGAATCCGGCTTTGGCAGGGGCTTCCAGTGTTCGTCCAATCCGGTCTTTTGTCATCGGGGCGGAACTCCTGCAACAGAAATTGTTGGACGCGTTATGGGAATCGTATTCGGGGCTCTCCCCAAGCTTCCCCGCAACAGATCTCGAGGCATCATTGAACAACGCATCCGCCGAGACTCTCTTGGTATCAAAAAGTCTTGTCTAGGCTCAATGCATCGTGGATGTTGCTGTGGCACGTGTGGGTAGATGGCATGATCGAGCCGAACCAGGGGTGTACTCAGGTACTTGGGATGAATGCGAATACGAACCCTCGATCTGATTGGCTGGATATTGGAGAGATCACCAAATGCCCATCGCTTTGCCAATCGTGGCGCCCCTTTCCCTGGGACAATCTTGGTGTGCCAGAAAAAAAAAAGAAGACTGACAACAAACACCAACGTCTTTAAAACCCGCCCTTTCCTCTCGCCCATCTTGTTGGAGAGAAGGACGACATCCAGCGCGCCTGATTACTACAGAGTCTTCTTACTCGCTCGGACCGCCAGCACTTTGTTCTGAATTCTCGACACGACGCTCTCCTCCACCGCCCCGTCTCCTTTCCTCTTCCTTTCTGCACGCAAATGGGCTTGATCCAAGATGTCGGCGGCCCGCTGGCCGAGGGCTTCTCGCGCCTCGGGCTGGGCTCGCAAATTGGTGTCGCGATTGGAGGCATCCTGTTTCTGAGTGTGTTCTTGAACGTCCTCAAGCAGGCGCTGGTCAAGAACCCCAATGAGCCGCCCATCGTCTTCCACTGGTTCCCCTTCGTGGGTAGCACCATCACGTACGGGATGGATCCGCCGCGGTTTTTTGACGTGAACAGGCGCAAGGTACGTTGAAAAGATGTTGAAAATGACGCGGGCGAGCGTGGTCCCCTTCAATGGCATACCGTAACTAACGTGTGTTTTTTGTTTTTCGTTTCTCGATAGTATGGCGATTGCTTCACCTTCATTCTTCTCGGCAAGAAGACGACCGTCTACGTTGGCCCCAAGGGCAATGAGTTCATCCTCAACGGCAAGATTCGCGACGTTTGCGCCGAGGACATCTACACCGTGCTCACGACACCCGTTTTCGGCAAAGATGTGGTCTACGACTGCCCCAACTCGAAACTCATGGAGCAAAAGAAGGTGAGTGATGCCCGGGGAGGACAAACATGCAGCAAGGGAACAAGAGAAGAGAGAAATAAGCTGTGACTGACATTGTTGTGCTTCTGCAGTTCATGAAGGTTGCCCTCACCACCGAGGCGTTCCGTTCTTACGTGCCCATCATCGCAGACGAGGTCAACGACTACTTCAAGCGCTCTACCGACTTCAAGGGCAAGTCCGGCGTTACCAACATCTGCCCCAAGATGGCCCAGATCACCATCTTCACCGCATCCCACGCCCTGCAGGGCAAGGAGATCCGTGATAAGTTCGATGTGACCCTGGCCGACCTCTACCACGACCTTGACATGGGCTTCTCACCGATCAACTTCATGCTGCACTGGGCCCCTCTCCCCTGGAACAACCGCCGCGACCACGCGCAGAGGACCGTCGCCAAGATCTACATGGACACCATCAAGTCGCGCCGTGACCGTGGCGAGACCGGCGCCCAGGATATCATGTACCACCTGATGAACTCCACCTACAAGAACGGCGTCAAGGTTCCCGATCACGAGATTGCCCACATGATGATCGCCCTCCTGATGGCTGGCCAGCACTCTTCCTCGTCCACCAGCTCCTGGATCATGCTCTACCTGGCCGCGCGACCGGACATCATGGAGGACCTGTACCAGGAACAGATCAAGAACCTCGGCGCTGACCTGCCCCCGCTCACCTACGAGGACCTGGCCAAGCTGCCCCTCAACCAGGCCGTCATCAAGGAGACCCTCCGCCTCAACGCCCCGATCCACTCCATCATGCGTGCCGTCAAGCAGCCCATGTCCGTCCCCGGCACCAAGTACGTCATCCCAACCAGCCACGTCCTCCTCGCCGCCCCCGGCGTATCGGCCTCAGACCCGCAGTACTTCCCGGAGCCCGATCTGTGGGAGCCGCACCGGTGGAGCAAGGAGTCGCCGCTGGCGCCCAGCATCGTCCGGCAGGGCGAACCAGACGAGGACGACGAGGAGAAGATCGACTACGGTTACGGCCTGGTCAGCAAGGGCGCCGCATCGCCGTACCTGCCGTTCGGCGCCGGCCGCCACCGCTGCATCGGCGAGAACTTTGCCAACGTCCAGCTGCAGACTATTGTGGCTACGACGGTGCGCCTGTTCAAGTTCCGCAATGTCGACGGCAGCAACAAGGTCATTGGTACCGACTATGCGTCGCTCTTCTCGCGCCCGCTTGAGCCGGCGAACATCCAGTGGGAGAGGCGGGATACGGAGTAAATGAGCAGTGGTTAGGTTAGGAGAAGGGGTGTGAAAACGTAAAGAAATAATAATGTCAGGGATAATGTCCGAAGCTGGCTGACGAAATGACTTTCACTCGTCGGCTGTCACCTATGTTTGGGATATATGTATATACATGCACTAATGATCTGACCTGAAGCCGGACGCGGATAGACTCCGGCCCAACGGGTTTCAGTCTCAAGACGATGAGAAGAAGCAGGCGTATAACCGGCGTGCTGGATTTTGGGGTGGGTGTCAACGGGTGCGGTGCGGGCAGGCAAAGACGAACCGGTCATAGATTTAATTTTATCTTAATGCTACCTAATAATCCGTTTCTGGGCTGGTAATTGAATTCCAACTTACCTCCCTTTGATGCCTCGAGCATGTGCGTCCCCAAATTGGGGTGCTTCCACTGCATGTGGAGAACGTGAGGCGATGTTGGTTGCTTGAGAGGAATCCAATCAGGGGTTGCCTGCCAACCCAAACGGGCTGTGTCTTGCCTGTCTGTCATTAGGGAGGACACATGTGTATTCTCGGCGCTCGCATTCTCAAAACGATGAAGTGCGAAAGAGCCAAGCAAAATCCAAGCAAAGAGGCGTTATCGTCACCATTAATCTTTCTTGTTTCTTTTCGATGGGATTTCTTCGCTTGCCTAATCTGTCTACTTTCCTGTTATTTCATCTCGCCTGTGTCAATAAGGTGTGTTGATAGCATGGGGATTGGTGTTGAAACAGGTGGTGGGAAGGACACGTTGTGAAAAGGGGTGTGATTCATCTTGAGAATGAGTCAGGACGACTCGAACTATTAGGTGGGTGATGGATGCCAAGGGAAACTACTCGACTGTGGGAGTCACTCAGCGGCTGGGAACACCGTGTTGTTGTTTATTTGATGTTGGTGTCTGCTGTGCCACGGGGTCGGGACGGAAATCCACAATGTGCGTGGGCGCGTGGTCTAGGCTACTCACATTCAAAGGGACTACTGCATTAAAGAAGGTCAACATATATAAACTGATCCGTTAGTTGAATGCAAGCGGAGGGCAAGTTTTGCGTTGTTGATTTGTGTCTGGTGGCCGCTGCGAACCACGACTTACAAAGCTTGACATCTCTCAGACAAGGTGAAGCGGAATGAACTAGTGCTTGGCTACTAGGGAAGAATTTGCATTCAACATACATATTCTAGTTGATGTGTTGGTGTGTGGAAAAAGAGCGTCTTAAACTACGGTTGTGGCCCCAACAAAGGGGAGGGGAAAGTCTTTAGCATTATTCAGTATCTGGAAGAGGAAGATTTGAGATCCCGATCAAGAAGGAAGTCAAAATTAAGTTTGAGTAAAACCCTAAACTTAAGAACCCCCACCAGAGAGTAGTGTATGCTCAGAATGGTCCGAATGGGAAATACTGCCTATAGGATTTCTTGCCGCTGGGCTGAACACCCGACAAGCGTGCGGCGTGGGCTCGGTCCCAGGGATAACCTGTTCGAGCAGACCGAGAAGGATGGTTTAACACAAACTGGCCGTTTGGCCGTTTTATTTGGCCGTTGACATGTGTCCTTTCTTCTCCTGTCCGGCGCGTTCTAGAAGCGCCTTGTCGACCCAAAATACAGTCAGGGGCTGGTTCGGCCGCCTTTTTTTCTTTCAGGACACTCTGTTACAAACCGCCAGGACTTTGTTGCCTCGTTTGTATAAAGTGAATTTCAGGCGCTGATATCAAGGTATTGCTTCCATCATCTAACCAGACCATTGATATACTTTGTTACTTGACCGTGGCATTGACACGATATTAATTCCACCTAGGATTTATTTTCAAGGACCACAGCAGCCCCATCTTATCCCTCCCCAGAACACAGCGTTTGTCGTCTCTCAGTACCGAAACAACATGGCGAGAAAGATGCGACAACATCGTCGGCAAATCCCACTGGGGATTGGCATTCTCTTATTCTTCCTTATTCTCATTTGCCCCCTCGCCGTCCTCCCAGCCGCTGCCGCTACTACTTCTACAACTAGTACAGATGTCGAACCCGGGGAGCCCATCATTGGTATCGATCTCGGCACAACTTATTCATGTGTTGGCATTATGAAAGGAGATGGGGTTGAAGTAATAGTGAACGATCAAGGTGCGACGAGGGTGTTGGAGACTATCATCCGTCGCCCGAACCAGCACTGATACGTTGAATACAGGACACAGGATAACACCAAGTTATGTCGCGTTTACCGAGACTGGGGAGCGTCTTATCGGTATGTTACGCCCTCCCTTTCCGTTGTGTCCTCGCTTCCTGGATAACGGTCTAACGTGTGCGTGTCTTCAGGAGATGCGGCGAAGAATCAATATGCGAGTAACCCGACAAACACAATATTTGACATCAAGTTAGTGTCACCATATCAGTACCAAATCGAGACGGATCTCAAAAGACATGTACTGACGACTCCTCTAGACGATTAATAGGACGGAGCTTTTCGGACAAAGAAGTACAAGCCGACATCAAGCACATGCCATTCAAGGTAATTGATGGACCGGGAGACAAACCCGTGGTCGAACTTGATGTTGGCGGGGAAACGCGGCAGTTTACCCCTGAAGAGGTCAGCGCCATGGTCTTGGGGAAAATGAAGGAAACTGCAGAGCAGTATCTGGGCCAAAAGTAAGTTTCCGACCCAGTATGCGCCTTACTGCTGTTACTCGCCCGTACTGACCCATAAACAACGCAGGATCAAGCACGCCGTGGTCACGGTCCCAGCGTACTTTAACGACAAGCAGCGACAGGCTACCAAAGATGCCGGCACCATTGCCGGACTTAACGTTGTCCGGGTCTTGAGCGAGCCTACGGCGGCGGCGCTGGCTTATGGAATCGATAAGGTATGATCTAGTGAACCATTTCGCATAAGCATCACGGACTAAACCCCCCAGCAGGTCCAAGGAGAACGCCAAGTCCTAGTCTACGACCTCGGCGGCGGCACCTTTGACGTCTCCCTCGTTTCAGTCGAAGACGGCAACTTTATGGTGCTCGCCACCGCCGGCGACACCCGGCTCGGCGGAGAAGACTTCGACAACAAGATCATCACGCACCTCGCGCGCAAGTTCAAAGCCGCCCACCAGCTGGACATAACAAAGAACACCAAGGCCATGGGCAAGCTGAAACGCGAAGCGGAAAAGGCCAAGCGCGCTCTCTCATCCCAATCGTCGACCCGCGTTGAGATCGAAAGCCTGATGGACGGCATCGACTTCTCGGAGACGCTGACGAGGGCGACGTTTGAGCAGCTGAATATGCAGTTGTTTAAGAAGACGCTCGAGTCGGTTCGGCGGGTGTTGAAGGATGCGGATGTGGACAAGGCGGATGTGACGGATATCGTGCTGGTGGGCGGGTCGACGCGGATTCCTAAGATTCGGAGTCTGGTGGAGGAATTCTTTGGGAGGAAGGCTAGCGGGGGGGTGAATCCGGATGAGGCCGTGGCGTTTGGCGCTGCGGTGCAGGGAGGGGTGAGAACTCTACCCAGATGTGGATGTGTGAGTGAATTTTGCTGACTTGGTGGGTTGGATAGGTTCTTGCAGGCGTGAAGGTGAGGTTTGGTCTTGGGAGATTTTGGGTTGATTAGATCATGCTAACTTGTTGGTGATGATAGGCCGCTGATGATATCCTCCTCATGGACGTCAATCCCCTCACCCTCGGTATCGAGACGGCGGGCGGTGTCATGGTGGGTTTTAGAGCAGCGCCGTTAGGCTTATGGTCTGGTGATACTTTTGACTGACAGTGAGCAGGCACAACTGATCCAGCGCAACACCCAGCTCCCGACGGTAGGTTGTTCCCTTTGGTCCTTTCCCGCCTTGTTTCTACGGTCTGTATCGATGTTAATCATCCCGGATGTAGGCACGATCTCAAATATTCTCTACTACTGCGGGTAAGGCTGAATAGACTCATCAGACATCTTCTCTCTACTCTGGTGAGTGCTAACGTTGGCGGCAGACAACCAACCAGCAGTCATGATCAGGGTCTACGAAGGCGAACGGTCCATGACAAAAGATAATAACCTCCTCGGCAAATTTGAGCTCACAGGTATCCCAGCCGCGCCTCGAGGCGTCCCTCAGATAGAAGTCAAGTTTTCCGTCGATGTCAACGGGATCCTGGAAGTTTCGGCTGAGGATAAGGGTACCGGTCGAAAAGAAACTATCACCATCAGCAACGATGCTGGACGCTTGTCTCAAGATGAGATCGAACGTATGATCCTAGAGGCTGAGAGGTTCGCCGACGAGGACAAGGAAGCTCGGGAGCGCATTGAGGCGAGAAACGGCCTTGAGACCTACGCGTTCAGTTTGAAGAACCAGCTGGAGGATGACCGTGGACTGGGCGGTAAGATCGACGAGGACGCGAAAGAGGCCGTGAGTAGAATATTACGCTGCCATGAATGACTTGTGGAGCTTTGCTGACGATATGGTTGTATAGTTACGAGACGCTGTGGCCGAGGCCTTGGACTGGATCAACGAGTATGGGACTGGAGCCACTGCGGATGATTTCGCGGAGCAGAGGGAGAAGTTGTCGGACGTCGCCCACCCCATTACGAGCAGCCTATATGATCACGCCGACGTGGGGGCCGACGAACGGGGCGACTTTGGAGACGTTCACGATGAACTCTAATTCGACCATAATTCGACAGCTCAAACCGCCCGAGAGGCTGCTTTCTTTGCCTTACAATAAACTGTTGAGACCGGCCCAGGTGCTGGCAGATAAAACAGGGGGTTTTGTAGCAAATGAATGCATCCGGAATTCGACCAACTATCTTTCGGAATTGTTATTCCATTGGTTTTGATGTGTGTAAGGGCTAGAAACGCGTGCTCCTCGAAAATGATTCCAGTCTGTCCTTGCTGAAAGTGGTGAGATGTTGTAATTTTGTACGAGCAGATTGGTCTTGCCCAAGCTTCAGGGGAGTTTGAGGCCTGGGCCGAGACCGGTTAAACCTCGGGGTGGCTTCCATGGCTTCCCAGCGCTCTTCCAAAAAAACCCCAATGGTTGGAACTCGGCAAGTTCGTTGTTAAGTGCCGAGGCTCGCGGAGGTCACAAGCCGTCCCCACCGCCTGAATCTCACAAGTCCTGGGGCGACTCCACTTGATCAAGTGCTGCGCTTCCTGTTCTACGCTACGTTGAGGAACGTGGAACCTTCAAGTTTCCACCACCGCGCGCGGTTGCTCCGAGGCTCTCGCGACTACAGCCGCATTCCCACAGCGAAAAAAAGAATCAGGAGAACCTTCCAACCTTTGTCACCATCATCATTCCCGATCGTTTTAGCGCCCATTTCTTTGTTTTCCCGTCCATTGTTTGCCCAGCGCGGCTAGCCATCCCAACCCAACCACATTTATTGGGCGTTTCCCCGAGCGACCCCCCGCCCCCCGACCCCCGACCCGCTCGCGTCGCCACCGAGAAATCGTCCCCAGCGTCATCGTGGGCGGCCATTTCTCAACGTCGCTCCCCCATAAGCACGCTGCTCGAGAAATCGAAGGGAGTTCACAACCACAGCGATGGCATCACCACCAAAACCATGGGAGCGCGCAGGCGCGACGCCCACGGCTACTGGTACGTAACTTTTTATTGCTTTTCTTTGAACGCTAAACAATCGCAAACCTTCGTGCCATCGACTGACCTTGATTGAAGCGACATCATCGCTCGCGTCTTCCACGCCCGCAGCAGCCATGTCGAGCGCAATCCCAAACACCATGGCGACGCCTCTCTCCGCAACCGATTCCACATCGCCCGCAATCCCCGCGCGACCCGCAACTTTGTCCGCTGCCGTGAACCAGAACGCTGCCGCCTACAGTAGGCCATACGGTACCACGCCATATGGCTCAGGATACGGCTCGGCATACGGCTCAGCGTACTCGTCACCGTACGGCTCCCCCTATTCTCGATATGGCGGAGGAATGTACGGGAACAGCATGTATGGTGGTGGGATGTATGGTGGCGGCTACGGCGGCTATGGCGGCGGAATGTATGGCGGAGGCATGTACGGTGGTGGAGGTATGCCTGGGATGCCAGGTGATCCGAACAACCCGGAAAGCCTCACACAGCGCTTCAACATGAGCACGCAGGCCACGTTCCAGATGCTGGAAGGTGTCGTTGGGGCATTTGGTGGGTTTGCGCAGATGCTGGAGAGTACATACATGGCGACACATTCGAGTTTCTTCGGTGAGTTCTCGATTGTTTACTCGTGCCTTCGCGGTCATTCACTTCCTCTAACAGTAATTGTTTCTTTACAGCCATGGTCTCGGTCGCTGAACAATTCGGCAACCTCCGCGACACTCTCGGCTCCGTCCTGGGGATTTTCACCTTGATGCGCTGGATCCGGACCCTGATTGCGAAGCTGACCGGACGGCCACCGCCGGTCGATGCCACGGCCCTTACGCCCGCCTCGTTCGCCCGGTTTGAAGGGCGCACAAGCGGTGTGCCCGAGCGCGCAGGGCCTCCCAAGCCCAGCCGGAAACCGTTGTTCTTCTTTATGCTCGCCGCCTTCGGTCTGCCCTACGTGATGAGCAAAGTCATCCGCTCCCTCGCCGCTAATGCCGAGGAAGAGGAACGCCAACGGCAGCTCGTGGCCGCGCAACAAGCTCTGGACCCCTCCAAGCTGGAGTTCTGCCGCATGCTGTACGACTTCTCGCCCGCTACGCAGGGCCAAGCCGTCGTCCAAGGCGTCGATCTCGAGGTTCACAAAGGCGACCTCGTCGCAGTGCTTAGCAAGAGCGATCCGCTAGGCAACCCGAGCGAATGGTGGAAGTGCCGCGCCCGCGACGGCCGCATCGGATACCTGCCCTCGACCTTCTTGGAGGTACTGCGCAAGCCCGGCGCGCCTCTCGCCGCTATTCAGGACACCCCTGCTACCGCAAGCGAGAGCAGCCGCGCCAGCTCGCTCACCAGCTCCATCAGCGCGCCCGGTGCCTTGCCCCAAGCAGCGAATCCTTTGAAGGCCCCGATCATGCCCGCAACCAAGATCGGTGATGTCACGGCCGAGAGCTTTCAGAAGTCCCAGTTCTACTCTTAAAACGCAAAAAACAAAACAAAAGACACAAAATTACATCACAAATGGCCACCCTCGGGGCGTGAGTAGCGTCGTCATTCCACAACCTTTCTACTTTGCTTGTCAAACCATTTGCTTGTTACACCCGTGTGTCACCGAACTTACGGGAAACACCGAACCTTGCTCGCTCGGGACCGCTGTCCCACCACTCTTTCTTTCTGGCATCTTGGCATTTTTGGCACCTCTGACACCCTCTGGTATATTCATGGATTCTCTTGCTTGCTTTGCTATGCTACGCTGCTTTTGCTATATACTATGTAACCCCCCAAACATCCGCCCACATTACCCTTGCCGCGGAGCAGGGAAAGACAGTTGAACGGTGTACGCTTGAATGAGATGGGGATCATGGGGGGAGGAGGAAAATCATTTGGCGTTTTCATGGAGTTGGGGCTCGCGGATGGGGGGACCGTTTTCTTATGTTCTCGGTGATGTTGGGGCTGAACTTTGCTCTTGCTCTTTATCTCTCTCTCTCTTTCGCTCTCTCTCTTACGAGGCCTTGGGGGGGACTAGATGGGATGGGGCATGCGTCTGTCTGGGTGAGTGGGCGGTGGAGGAGAACACCACTCTCTCTTACTTATGTTGTCATCCATCGTCGTCCCGTCTCGCCCTTAAGTGATGGTGGCATTTCTTTCTTCATTCTCTTACTTTACTTTACACCTTTACCTATTTTTTCCTCCTTTATTATCTCTTGTTAGAGCGATAGGATATCTTGCTAGTAGCGCTCCCAGAAAAATAGTGTATATTTCAACCACTGCATGCACCTTGATGCTTTGTGAACAGGTGTCCCAGGACGTAATCTGAACGCATAGTAACCATGGAATCACCCTCTCACCTGACTGCAGTTTCACTCGTGGTTAAAGTTGTTAGGAACTAGAACTACTGCCCACATCGAGACACGGAGCTTTCAACCCAGTAATTTCATGACTTTATTGGCAATTACCTAAACTACCAATATCCCGCCACACACAATCCCTTTGGAGGAAAAGCGAGGCAAAGAATGTACAAATCAATTGGATCAGGTTGAAGAAGGACGGGGTCGGGCCAGGCACATACCAGCAATTCATCCCCATTGCTTGCTTTGTAAGGTTGCCTTTAACAAACCAAATGGGACGAATAGCCCCGGATGACCGAACCCTCTTTACCCTCCATCCATCCACCAAACTTCATTTGCTTGACACAACCCAACAACTCATATGATACAATACAGTAATCTCGACTACCCCAAGTTTCCTCGTTCATGACGGGGATGCAGGTTGACCCTCTCTCTCTGCCTGCCGAGTTTGTCTTCGTTGTTCTTCGCTTGAGATAGTCCCCATGCCCCCCCCGGGCTTGAGAGAACGAGGCGCGAGGAAAAAAACGAAAAGAAAAACCAGGCGAGGAAAAAGGAAATAAAAATAAAGAAAACAGGACAAGGGAAAACCCAGAATTAAGAACCCAGGACTACGCCCTGAAGGAAAAGCCGACCAACCGCCAGGAATGTGTTCCTTCTTCTGCGGGTCGTGCCCGTGCGTCTCTCCGAAGAAGTTTAGGCGTTAATGCCTTTCTTCTTATTTGCGTGGCCATACAAGACAGGCCGAAGCAAATAAAAGGGAGGACGGGGAACAAGGCGTGAATTGCCAGTGAAAAGCAGAGGGCAAAATCGATCATCGCGCCGTGCCTCGGCCGTGGGAGGTAGGAAAAGCGAAGATAACAGCTGACCAAGCAGATCTTCTGGTTCCTCCTGTAAAAACGGAGAAAGTGAATAGTGCAGCCGGGGAGAACTAGCCGGTGATAATGTGGCCGCGGGGAACTATGCTCATATTACTGAGTAAAGCCGCCACCTACTAAGCCAAGCCTAAGGTTGCTTGCATATGCACCCTATGCACCGGAAGAGGTATCTGGGGACCAGTCTACCACTCATACTCGCCAGTGGCCTTCATGAAGACGTATTCCTTGCCGTTGACAGTGAGGACGCCGTCCTTCAGCGTGCACTTCCTACAAGGAGGAGTTAGTTAAAGCTGCCACGCCCCAATACAATGCATTGCGCTGCAGCAGGGCATACGAGAAAAAAAAAGTACTTACCACTTGTTCTTGACGCGCTGGACCTTGTCGTACATGCAAAGCATCATATGCCCCATGGACTCGTCATCGTCCTCGTCATCATCCGCTCCATCATCCGGGTCGTCGAGGTCCGAGTTGATGGCATCCTCATCGTCCTCTTCGCTCTTGACGTCGTCATCCAAACCACCATCGACGTTGGCTACCCCCTCGGCATCGCCTCGCTTTTCAGCAGAACGGCGAGCCTTGGCAGATTTTTTGACCTTCTTGAGTGGTACCATAAGGCCGCCTCCTTCCATTTCCTTGCCCCTCGCCGCGAGCTGAGCATGGAGATAGGCGTCGATTTCAGTGCGGTCCATGATGATCGTTTTGGTATCGTCCTCGGCGGCATCGGGTGTACCGTCAACCTGAGAGGTAGGGAGACCATTCTGGCCTGGGCGGGGGACCTGCTGCATGCGTTGCTGGATGCTAGCGGCGACGCCTTGCCGGTATTGTTGTTGCGGGTTGACATGCTGGGGTACCTGCTGCTGCTGCCCGGGGCGCTGGCCCTGTTGTGGCTGCTGAGGAGCAGCAGGGTTGACCTGCGACATACCGCTGTGAATGGCACTGATGGATGCGGCGGCCCTCTGGCCGTACTGGCTTTCTAGAGCCAAAGCAGCTCGCTGGGCTGCGGTGCCAAGCGCGGGGTTGTAGCCCTGAAGAGAAGGCTGAACGCCCGGCTCCTGTTTGATGGTGGGCTCGCCCGGGGCAAAACCAGGTTCTTGCTTCATGGGCACTCCATTGGGCGCGCCCGGGAGAGACAAGCCCTGACCGGCGGTTTGGGCATAGTTGGACGAGGCGGCCGTTACGGGCGTGGCTGTCGGCGGTCCACTAGCCGCCGAGAGAGTGGCCGGCGGGTCAGGCTTTGGGTCCCATGGGAACTGGGCCAGGTCCATTTGCGATAACTTGTGCTGCCATGTCTATTTCCAAGCTGTCAGTGGGGGGGTGGTCACTTATCCATTTTGGGGACTGTAATTCGAGATTGAGGGTTGGGTATGTGAGAGAAGCAAGCGATTCCACTTTCAGGGTTTCGCACGTGATGCGAGTTAAGACGACCCAATCGGAAGTGTCGGACGGATGTTGAGGCGGCGCCCGCATCAGTTGGGCGGGCCCTTAAAAAGAGACCCAAAAGTGCTGGGTCGCCCACCTGGAGCCGCCCGCTGCTCTCCACCCCCTCTCGCCCCAGGGAGCCCAGCCGACAGGCAGCCGAGAGAGGTTGCCCGCCCGACGCTTGTCGCGCTCTTTGGCCATGCGCACCCGACGGAACCAAGAAATCCCCCCAAAACGACCGTTTCGAAAATTCGGAAGATGGCCTGTCAGGAATAGGATGCGCACTACGACGAATTGCGAATGAATTCATCGAGTTGATCGCGGTGCAGAGTTGGGAAGAGACGGGTGATGGGCGGGCAGCCGCGCCCCCGGCTTTGGCCCCAAGGCGCAGTGGCGAAACCAACAGGAGGGGGAAGGAAAATAGGGAGAAAAGAGAAAGAAAACCTCACCTTTTTTAGATCCTCGAGCGCGCCATCGTCGACGCCATTTTCCTCGAAATCGACACGCACGGCATTGATGACTTCAGCGATGATGGTGTCGTAGACAGGGCCAACCTGTGTGTTCGACATCGTGACGGTTGGCTGAGTGCGCTGCCCTGGATTGGAGTACCTAGCGGAGTTGGGTGTTGGAGTTGTTACGGGTCCCGCACTGCATGCGACAACTGACTCGCTCGCATCGACCGCCTCGAACGCACGCCGTGTATCCTCTGGCTTTTCTGTCCGGTATTGCTGAAAAAGTCGACTGGGGGGGTTTCTTTGCCCTTTGCTGCTTTGGTGATCCTGGCGCACTGAAAAGCACTGATTCGCGCTGTCCCGATAAATTCGGTGTGATCGGCCGACTTGCTTGTTCTTGGGGGGTGCGAAAGAGAGAAAGCCGGCGGGCGGCTGGGCTCGGTGGAAATGCGGATCCTCTCCTCTGGGCGGGCAACCACCGACTGTTGCGGTTCGAAAATCGTGCTTTTGGGCGAATGTCTTTAAGCCGTTCTAACCATGCCTAGCGCTCACAATTTCGTAGTTCTAGATGGGAGACCGCCGTGACTTTTTGAGTTTGCAGCGTTTCGCGGTTGACTTTTGGGGAGCCGGCGTTTGGCGGGCGTGTGTTGTATTGGGGCAAGTTCCGAGAATGTGCCAGACCTGGTTGGATTTGTAGTCCAGGCTGCTGAGTCATCAACGCTGGTGCCTTTCAACTGCCGGCTTGTCCGCCTTGCACCACCACTAACGTTAGGTGATGTTGGTTGGCGAAGTTCATACAACAACCGCCAAAGACAATCTGAAATCAGCCTAGGTCCTGCGGTTTCGGGGCTTCAAAAGGCTTAAAGTGTTATTTAGATATTTAATAATGAGCCCAATTCAAGATTTTCACTCAAGACAATTGCCAACTGCAAGTACCACATGGCTGTTAAATGTTAATGCTAGAACACCTTATCAGGTCCAGCGAAAAGCAAACGAACGGACAAAGTTAATCATGACACAACTCCATTTCCCCAAACGCCTTAACGGTCAAATTAACATGACTTATACTAAGTACTTGTACAATACCAGACAGAATACCTCGAGAGTCCCCAATGCAGAGAAAACCCCGTATCAACAAAACGCCATCAACAGAACAAATAACCAACCCCAGTTCCAAGTGTTCTCCAGTTCATCAATGTCATGACCAAGCCGATGGATGGTGCGGCCGTTCTTCATCCCAGTGTGAGAATAACCGTTTCCTTAGATGCACCCCGTTGGTATTTATGCACCCTGAGTTCGAAGAGCCGCGAACCCCCAAGTCTCCTCCCCAACGCCACGCTGAAACCCATCAAGAAAGCAGGAACCCCCGTCCGGATCCGTTGGACCATGCTGTTGTTGCTGATTCGAAAGAAATCGCGTGTATACTTACCGTTGGTTTGAATAGTTGTCGTTCGTTGTCGATTGTGCTGTGTTCTTTGTCGGCTGGTCCTGGAGACCTTTTCTTTTGTCTTGACGAGAGGCCGATTTAACGGATCGTCATGTGCTTAGGCGTGGTCGCCTTGGCGGTTGAGCCCACGCCGGTGAGGCTGGAACCGCTTCCGGGCTTCTTCTCAAAGATCTTCCAGAACTTCAAGCTCTCGTCGGCAGCTGTGAGATGTTAACATTAAAGTCTCTTTGAAGGGGAAGCAGGGGGGGCGTGAATTCACTTACCAGCTGTGGCGAGCATCTGGCCATCAGGGCTGAGGCAGCTGTGGAGGACACGGCTCTCATGGGCAGGGATCTCGACGTTGCGCACCAGGGTTGGGTAGCTCCAGATGCTCAACGAGTTGTCGGGAAAACCACTAGAGCTGACAATCTCGCGGTAGTGGGGGCTCCAGCGGAGGCTGGTGACCTGGGAACCGGTGTCGATGCTGTTGACGCGGGCACCGGAGGTGGTGTTCCAGAAGTGGATGTGGCGGTCATACGAGCCGCCGCCAGTGGCCAGCAGGTTCATGTTCCAAGGGCACCAAGCGAGAGCCTTGACGGCGGCCTTGTGGTTGGTCTTGGTGAACTTGGGCACGGCGAGCGACCGGGCATCCCAGATGGATACCAGGTTGTCGTTGCCGCCCGTGGCGAGCTGCGCGCCATCCGACCTCCACTCCAGACCACATACTTCCGAGGTGTGTGAGACAAGCTCGGCCACCTTGTGCTCCGCAATACGGACATCGTGGTTGTAGACCAGGCCGCTCCGCGCGCCGGTGGAGAGCAGATGCTTGCTCCAGCCCATCACGCCGACCCGGGTGTCGTGGCCGAGCATGCTGCGGATCTTGACGCCCTCAGCGACGTCCCAGATTTGCACCTCTCCAGTGCCGAGGCCAACACCAACGTAAGCGCCATCTCCGGACCACTTGACGCTGCTGACATAGGTATCAGGGCTCGTCTCGAGCAGGCAGCTGACTGAGCCCTCGTCGGCCGACCAGACGTAGACGTTACGCTCAAGGCCAATGGCAACCTGGTTGCCCGTGCTCCAGTCGAGGAGGTTGAGGTAGTAGTCGTCGATGAGGCCGGGCGCATCCAGAACACGCTCCGGGGCTGTGGCAATGCGGCGTCTGAACTGGGCAGAGCTCGCGGCAGCGGGCTTCAGGGGGCGGTTGTACTGTTGGCGCAAGTCGATGGGCTTGGACGACTCTGGCGGCGCCGGCTTGAACTCGAGAATGCGCGTGTTAAGGCTGACACCGCACGCATCGGCCAAAGACTCCCTGTATGCCACTGTATTGGGCGAGGGCTGAGTGTACGAGGTCGGTTCCTCGTCGTTAATGTTGAGACCCTCCAGAGCGGCGATGGCATCATCAGCTGCCGAGGCCAAGACGGACGATGCTTCAGCGCGACGGCCGCCCGGATGCTGGTTGTCGCGGATCCTGATCTTTGCGGACCCAGCGTTGGCGATCCCAGAGCTCGCAGTCCGGTTGGGAATGAAACGGTCGGCCTTGTAGGTTACAGTGGTCTTGCTCGGCTTGGTCTTGACCGCAACCGGCTTCTTCGCCTTGGCGCTGGGGGGTGACTTGGCATGGGCACCAGTGCCCCTCAGGGTAAAGTCTGACACACCGAGCTCAAGAACTTTGCGGGGGGTGGACACGACCCGAGCGATGTTGGACTTGGGCGAGTCGCGGTGGTTCTTGGTCGACTTGGCAAAGTGGGCGGCCAGGTTACCGCCGTAGACAGATTTGCTCGGCCCGCGGTGGGCATCGTGGCTGGACTTGTCGGGTGTATAGGGAGAAGAGTTGACGTTGCGTTGACAAGGCGAGGGGGTCAAGGGCATTCGGCCGCCAGCGGTACGGGAGGAGAAAAGCCCGGTGTGGGATTTGAGGGGGGTCGAAATCGTAGCGGTCGCCATGATGATAATTGACGGCCAATTAAGGTAGTTGTATTTGAACTCCTTGGCTAGAAGTTATAGCTGAGGGAGGGTGGGGACGGCTGGGACAGCTGCTAGAGTCTGTGGCCCAGTAGAGCAAAGTCTGGTGTGAAAATGCAATGGAATTAAATGGCAATGGTATCGATTGGCTGCAATGCTTTTCTGAGACTGAGAAAAAAACTTGACCGAGGTAAAGTCTCTTAGCTCACAGGGAGCATACCAAAAAATTATGGAGTGGTAGGCGGGATGACGGAAGGATGATGGTGATGAGGAAAGTGCAAGAGAGTGTCGAATTCAGAGGATGGGAAGGGCTCCTTAAATGTCAAATGTTTACATTTCTGTCGGCCGGGCAACGAACAGACCCTTGCATGTGAGATGTCTGACGCTCGAGCCGGTGCGCCCCACTTTCATAAAATGGCCGCTGGCAGGCTTGGCAGGGTCGGGCTCCCCTGCCAGACTGGCCTGGAGATCAGGCCCACTTTCGCAAACACTCCACGCTGGCAAGGTCTCATTCAACCCCTGGCGAGAACTGCTTTTCTGTGGAACCCAACGGGAAATGCGATCGCCATCTGCCCTTTGGCTTCCTTTGACGCACGCACCACCAAGTTGCATCGGGCCCCTTTCAACGTGATTGTTGTCAACCGTCAACTGTCAGCCACATCGTCATCCGTCACTGCGCCGGCGCCACGTTTGGAATCGATTTCCTGTGACGACCTCGGCAGTAACCGAGACCCTCGAAAACCATCTTGGTCGCAACAAACAATTCGAGTCAACCAACCGCCTGATCCAGCCCTCCCTTCGTTCCCCCTCCCTCCCGACCTCAAGTACGCCGGATGCTCGCGTGTTAAAGATTTCTCAGTACCGTCGTCGTTGAGCTCGAGCGCTCCGACAGCCATGGCGCAACAACAACAACCCCCAGCGACTCCGACTGGACTCGCAAGCGCCGGCCATTCCATTTTTGGCGGGCCGGACCAGACCAATACGGATATGACGTCGCAGATGTCGCTGACTTCCTTCGCGTCGACCCTCACCCCCGCCTCGGCCTCGTCGAATAATACATTCATCATGCCGAACTCGCCGCTCAAAAACCGTGCCCCGATGGATGGCTACCGCCCCAAGGTGACCCGTACTCTCGGCCAGCGCCCGGCGTGTTTGGTTAATGCGTCCGTGACATACTGCGGCAATAACCAAATCTACGCCTTTGGCGGGTTTGACCAATACACCGACGAGGTCTACAACCATGTGCTGCGCCTAGATTTGGTCAGCCATCAGTGGACGCTGGTCGACAACTACGGCGATATCCCGGGTGTCCGCATGGGTAAGGCCCTCCTTCTAACACAATCCCCCCATATGCTGTGTCGGCTCTGGGCAAGCGCTAACTGATTCCTCCCTTCGCAGGCCACACGGCTACGCTGTACAAAGGCGACAAACTGCTGGTATTCGGCGGCGAAAACGAACACCGAACCTACCTCTCCGATCTCATCATCTTCGATTTGAAAACTGCGCATTGGACCCAGCCAGCAGTGACAGGTCCGATTCCCAAAGGCCGCGCCCGTCACGCAGCTGTGCTACATGAGGACAAGCTCTTCATCGTCGGGGGCATCACCGGTCATGACAACTACGTATTGGATGACATCTGCTATCTGGACTTGAAGACGTATACTTGGTCGAGGTCATGGCGGTTCGTCGGGCGGTTTGACCACTCGGCGTATATCTGGAGCGATCGGGTTTGGGTGTTTGGCGGGCTGAGCGAAGATATGGACAAGGTCAGCGATCTGTGGTGGCTGGATCTCAAGGGCAACCCAGCGTTCGAATCACCGCCGCACATCGGCACCTTGGACCGATCAGGTACGCCTCGGCATCCGACCTCGCCTCGGCCGCCATATCAAGCGCCCCAGTCTCCCGTTGTTGGCTCATCCGGCTATGCGGCCAACTCGAGGACCCCCCAGGTCAACACCCCATCTTTCCACCTCAAGGCATACGCCCCCCCTGCCCCAGGTGCGATATCTGCGCTGAAATTCGTCGGCGGCGCCAACGTCCCGTCTCAAGGGCAAGGTATCCACTTTCATGTGTACTCATCTGGAACTCTCCTAGACTTTGTCACCCCAGCCGCGACAATCACGTCAAAAGAATGCTCGCTTTCTGCGCTGGACCTGGGGACGCTGAGATGGCAAAAGCTAGCTGAGGGGCGCGAGATATTCAAGTCGGGGTACCGGTGGCATTACTGCACTATGAACGAGGATGGGACCAAGGCCTGGCTGCTGGGCTGTCCCACGGAAGCCGGCGCGATTGACCTCGGCATCAACGGCCTCGAAGAGTATCTCTCCGACATTATGGAAATCGACTTGCGCCGGTACGGTTTCTTGGGCAACAACCTCGCATCGGAATCAAGGACAGACTTGGCTCGCCCTTCGCTACGACTGCGTAATGTGGAACCGCCTTCCAAGGGCCTAGGCTTTGATCTCGCGCGCCTCTTTGACCAGCCCCCAGAGTCCGGGAGCGGGACGGACTTCATAGTGACCGCCCTCTCCCGCGACTTCAACGAGGACGAGGTCATGGGCTCGGCCCTCATGCACGCGAATGAGCTGGATGAAGGGAGCCAAACATGGCTTGCGCCTGACGCACCTACCTCACCACCCATCCACGTCCACCGGCTTATTCTACAGGCACGTTGGCCCCATTTTGCGCGCCTTTGGGCCAGCCAGATGGCCGAATTCCACACCAAGAAGATGCACATCCCGGAGCCCTACAGCGTCGTCAAGGCTTTCCTGTACTACCTCTACACCGACCGGATCGATCCCACCGACGGCGACCCGGAGGGCAGCACAACCGCCCACCTCTCCGACGTTGCCGGCCTTCTCGTCATGTCCAACATCTACAACATCCCCCACCTCCGCCTGCTATGTGTCAACCGCCTGAGCAAGGAACTCGACGTCGATCACGCCTGCATCATCTGGTACTGCTCGGGTCTCGCCAGCGAAGACTGGCTGCGCAAACGCGCCGCCACCTTCTGCATGACACACTGGGGCCGCGTCGTACGCACCGTTGGATTCCAGCGCCTGCCGCGCGCTGCCCTGGTCGAGCTGTCGCAGGAGGTTGATATGGAAGGGCGTGTTGTCGGCGGCGACGAACTCGATATGATGGTCGGCATGGACGGGCGGTTTGGAGACGAAGCAGGTGCCTTGGCTGCTGCGCGTCGTAAGGAGAGCGTTAGCAGCAGCCAGACGCAGATGCTTGAGGCCGATGAGGACGATGATGATGAGGGCATGGAACTGTCATAGATTGACATTCGGACGGGGAGTAGAGCCCGCCGCTGTTATCGCTGTCAGCGTCGTCGTCGGGATCTTGGGCATGATTGATTTATTGCCTGGGGGTCCAGGTTAACTCAGGTCCATTTTGGATCATGAAGACGGATGGGAAGTTCATGTCCGCCTTCCCGATAAGGGGGCACTTGAATCGCTGTGGTTTTATTTATTTCTTTTTCTTTTCCAAATCTTGTCACTTTTCCTTTCTCTTCTACACATTCCCCTTCTTTTCTACACACTACCCCTTTTTTTCATACAAAGCGTCAATTCGGAACCGGTTTTTTTTTCATTAGGGATATGTACGGAGGGCATGGCAAGGCGTTACGTGGCGGGATTGTCGGGTTTGTCGCTACGTAGTGTTTTTTTACAGATGAAAGAAGACGACAGATGTCACACCCCCTTTGGCTTGGGCTGCCCTGACTCTTCGGTTGTAAATGACCTGACTTGACGTACTGATACCTCCTGAGAGTGTTTGGACGTTCCATTCTCAGTGGATTGTGGTGGAGTCGATGAGCCCCTTGACCCATCGAGTCCACAACATGGAACCCGGAACCGGCTCCCGGAAACCATGGAAACCGCCGGAGAGTCGACGCCAAATGATGATGGTGCTCAAGTGTGGAAGAATGATCGATCCGCAAAAGAGGAGTGCAGCAAGGCCCGAATCATCTATATCGTTGCGCTAGTAAAGTATCAAACCTAAATGTGCAATGCGTTTTTCCCTCCCTCGCTTATCTTCCACATACGCCAGAAGAAAAAGAAAAGAAAATCACAGAAAACAGACGGGAGAACAACAGTGTTAGCCAAAAGCAACCCACCCTTAGCACCTTGGTATCCCCTTTCCCTCCCCTTATCCCACCATTTTAGTGTTTTGCAACCTTGCCAGGGCCTCTCTGAATCCGAATTTTGAAATCATAATCCACACAGTTTGTCATCGAAAGCACAGAAAGAAAACAAACAGACGACCACTTTCCCGCAGAACGATAGGGAAGACAGAGTGCACGCAGGTTTAAAACAGAGGAAACGGAAGACAACAGCAGCCCAACCAACGCAAACGAAAACTCAGCGAGAATTTTAGAGAAGTCAAACCCCCCTTTCCGAAACTGTGTATAAGTAGGGGGCGTTGTGGGGATCTCGAGAAGTAATTAGTGATTAACAAGCTGCAAACCGAAAGAAGGCGGACCCGATAAGGGTCACGGCCTTCCTCCGCGGTCGGTGCGCCAGGTGTTGTTCTTTTGTCGTTGCGGCGTCCGTTCGTTGTATCATCGTTCTCGTTATCGTTGACGAATCGTTTACCGCCTTGTTGAAACATTGTAACTTAACATCTTTCCATCATCATCTGTCTTCCATCCGTTTCCATACACAGCCTGCCCTGAGTCCCAACCTGGTGTCGTGCCCTGCTCTAAAAATGTATGCCGTGTCGTCATTCTTCCTCTAAATGCCCATTCATCCCTCCTCTAATAAGCTCGTCTCGCCTAAGGTTGTTGAAAGAGGCGGGAGAATAAAGCGCTGGCCGAATTCAAACGCAATATAATCCAGACACTTCGGGGAATGGAAAAAAATCCCGGTCGAGTTGCTGAATGCTCGACCGAGACGGAGTTGACCCGCTCTCGGGGCCCAATGACTAGGGAAGAAAAGAAGAAGAAAAAACCAGGACTCGGCCACGCCGAGATGTGTGCCCTGTCTCCACGTCCTCCAGGGGTATCAATCTTCACGCCTTCTATGTGGAGGGTATCTGGACGAATCGGTCCAGCCAACGCCGCTCGCGTATTGATGCAACAAACACACACTGACGTGTGGTCGACACAATGCTGGGCTATATGCAGCAAATCCGGACTGCGACTCGTAGCTAACGAAACAAAGTCGAGTCCAAGTTGGGACCACAAATAAATAAAATGGACATCGTTGGTGGGCTTCAAGAGGCGGCAAAACATCCGAGAACAACCGCGATAGCCATGTTAGAGCATCGCGTCTTCATTGATGTTGGGTAGTCCTTGTTGTTGTTGGAGAGCGAGGAAACCTGCAGGATTCTGCATCATCGATGACAGTATGGTTTGGTGGTGAGCTCTGACATCGGGGTCGCACATAGGAGAATGTTGTTTGTGCTGTGAACCGGATTAGCGCCCGTGATATGCACCTTTGTCAAAAATTCCATAAACTCACGTATTTGAGACCGTTCAAGTTCTTGTAGCGTTTGCCGCAGACTTCGCATTTGAAAGGCTTCTCCTTTTCCATTCCCAAGGTTCCCGGATAGGGGGCACTGGTCTCCGGGTTGACGATGGAGAACGTACCATCGCCGTTTTCGTGCAGTTGTTGGGTCGAATGGCCGTGAGTTTTGTGGTACCTGGAGCCATGGTTAGTACTTTTATAACGGCCATCCGCCTGACCGACCGTGGAGGGATACAAGTAACTTACTTCAATCCATTCTGGTTCTTGTAAGCCTTTTCGCAGCCAATGACGGGACAACGGAAAGGTTTATGCTCTTCAGCAGGGGGGATCATCATAGCGGTCATCTGCTGCAGGACGAGCGCTGGGTCGGTGCCGGCAGGGAACTGGCTGAGGTCGAGGTTCATGGCTTGCAATTGTTGTTGCAACTGTTGCTGAAGCTGCAGTTGTTGATCGAGAGCTCGTTGTTGGCTGCTCATTTGGGTGTTGGTCCCACCGGGACTGAAGAGGCGCTTAGCCGGATCGTCAATCGTGCCCAAGGCACCAAATGCCAGCCCCCCCAGCTGAGACGCGCCCATGTTCAAGTTCCCTAGGTTAAGCTTCATAGGCATCCCGGACATATCGTCGTCCTCCTCACCCTCCCCATCCTGGTCGAACTGTTGGCCGCGTTGCGGTACCCCTTGTTGTGTTGTCAAAGTGGGGGTGTTGACAGACGAAACGGTCGGATTGTTCTGGAACCCGAAACTAACGGCAGCCGGCGTCGGAGGCTGGGAAGTACGCAAAGCTTGGTGGGGAAGCCCAGAGCTATTCAGATGTAGTTGAGGCCGCTGCGATTGGCCAAACAACTCGCGGGTTGCTTGAATCGTGCGGGTATTGTCGTCCATATCCATCGGTCCAACTGCGTCGTCCATCTCCATGTCCCCGACCGCATCCATTTCGTCGGCCATGTGCGAGAGGGGGTTGACTTTTTGGGCGGACGCTCCCACTTGGTGTTGCTGCCGCATCATCTGCCCAATACCTCCAACGCCCATGCCCGTGGCGCCCTGCCGCTGCTGTTGCGGGAATCCGTGAGCAGCTTGGGAAGCCTGCTGTGGCCTGCCGACGGTCGGGGCGACGGACCCTGCGCGGCTCGTAGCGCGGGAATTGGCTTGATTCGTACCAAAGGCATCTCTTGCGACAGCTGGCGTATTCGTGGGATGGTGGTGTTCCTCATAGTGCTGCAGAAGATCGTGCAAGGTAGGCCACTTCTGGTCACAGCATGTGAAATCGCGCATGAAGCTAGCCTCCAACCTCGGGATGTACGAAGAAGATTGAAACGATGAAGACTGGTTGTTGATGTAGGGCGAGGTTCCTGTCATCATCATGCTACGGCAGGCCACATTAGCGTCATTTCCTGGTAGACAAAGGAGGCGCCCTATTCGCCGCGCATAATCTCCATGAATACACAAAAGAATCCCCGCCCCCGTAGTAACAGGGGCGGCGGCGGGACCGGCGAGCCCTTCGAGACATGAAAACCAAAGCGACTTTATGGTTTTGAACTAAGCGCAAAAGCAATGGGGGAAAAGACAAAGGATAAACTCACTCCTCCCTAATGAAACTGCCGACAGAAATACCTCCCCAACTCATACCGCCCATCAAGCTACCCGCCAGGCTTTCGCGACGTACACGGTTTGCATGTTCACGGTTCGGGTTGGCCATGGAAATGGGTTTCGCACCAGCGCTCACGAATGAGTCCTGGCGGGTCCGGCTCGAGGCCGAACCAAAATCTGGACCGGTTGTCATGTTGGCGGGTCCGGTGCCAATATCGATGTTGTGATCTCGGTCGCTAACGTCGTTGTCGAGATAAACAGCTTTTGCGCCGTTAGTGGTGCGACCAGTTGTGCGAGGATGTTCAACGTAGTCGTCACCGACGTCAGCGCGAGCGGGAGCGCTCGTTAAAGACTTCCGGCCGATGCGCCCAAAAGTAATCGAATGCGGGCGGGTATACCCTGGAATGCCGAGAAAGCCGGAGACGGTCGAAGAAGGCGTGGCCGTCTGGGGTGTCGATGACGGCGACCGCGGCGAGTGGTTGAGAGGGGAAGGCGAATCGCTGTTCGCAGGCGATGTGTGGTTACAGCCCAGGTTCTTATTGGGATGGGACCTAGTGGGCTCCACTAACTCGGGGCTCGCTATCGAGCAAAACCACTGGGACCAGGGCAGCATGGCGACGAGTCAATGTGGGTAACTCGGCGCTGCCTGGCCTCGGGTGAAGACAACGCTACCGGGGTCGGGTACCGACCCAAACGACCTAATTGGGGCGAATTCGCCGCTTCCAGGGGCGTTAGAATCGATGTTAGGTAACAGGGTATTCCGGACAGATGGGGCCGAGATGTCCGGGAATGGACAAAGACGATGGAAGCACGAAATTAGGACTGTTGACAAGCACAAAAGGCTGACGAAAGGTAGGTAACTATCAATAATGGGTAAAATAATAAGAGTGTTACTGTACGGAATATAGAAGCTTCTGTCAAGGCGACAATAGGCCCCTCCCATTGCCTTTCTCACAGAATCTGCCCCTGGATAAGTTGAGCTTGTTGCGGGGGCTGGAGAAGCCTCCGTTTAGGTGTTTCGGTCCCTACACGGCACAGAGGCACCAAATCGGGAAGGGGCGAAGGGACAAAAACGAGGTGCTCGATCAGCCAAATTGGAAAGTTCGACCAGGGGTCCTTTCATCGGCTTGTAGTGTTCGTGAAGATGGGTGGGTTTTCGACTGAGGGAATGACCACACTACTGTGTAGTTAGTAATTTACCCATACGCAGTGGACACAAAAGGGGACCGCTGACTTTTGAGGCAGAGCCGGATGGATCTCTTGCGTTTGGAGCAAGGGGCTGGTGTTTACTGGTGCATGAGTGAGAGCCCGAAACGATGTCTTCTGTTTGAGGTATGTATATAGGTACCGGGCCGAGTGAACTCGAGCAAGTCGAGCAAACACCCATTTATAACACTGGACATCCCACACAGAGGTGTCTAGGCGTAGGCACTTACGTACCTACTGTGCCCTGTCACGCCCATGCCTTTGCGTTTGTTCTCGAAATCATCAAGGCACACGACTTGTGGGGCAAGTGGGCGACCAGAGAGGTGAGATCCACATGGCGAACCGGAGAACTGGGAATGAAGGAAGGCCACTCAAAAAAGCGGCAGACCAAGCCCCTGAGAACTTACTTTTCTACGAAAGTGAAAAAAAGACCAAAAAGAATAAATCAAAAAAGCGAAAGAAGGCAAAAAAGAATAAATCAAAGAAGTCAAAGAAAACGAAAAAGAGCAAATCAATCAAAATCTGTTAGGATTTGATCGAATGTTAATAGATTGGACTTGAGGTCGGTTTTAGTCTGCCGCTTTTAGTCTGCCGCTTTTTTTTGGCCACCCAATGTATCCAGATTAATTCACAACTCATGGGCTCGTCAACTTTCCTTTCACACACAGAAACACACAGGCCGCCTTGTTGCTCCCTTTTCGCCCCTGGATCCAAGCAGCGGGAGGTGCAGGACGTTTTTGGACAAAGCCGCCGCCCTTGGCGCTCCGACAGAGGGCATGGCCGACTCGCCCGAGCCCGGACTGCCGGGTTCATCTGACCCCAGAAGCACATGCATGAAGCTCGCAGGAACGGGGAGACGTCAGTAGTGTAAGCAGAACGTAACGACTAACATCCGTCTACCCGATGACCGCTTGCGTAAATCTTGCGTCGACACCTTGTAGCTGGGTGAGACATGTCAAGATCACGATTGCGTTGGCTACCTTACACAGTATGTGTTCAGCTCAAGGCCTGCTGTCCGTTGGAGGGGCAAGAGGGGTTTGGGGCCTCCGAATAATTCATGCATGTGGGGATAGATTATATCATGTTCCTGCCCGAACCCACAGGACGACTACTGCCTGGCACCTCGCAATCGACAGGGCTAACGTCCAAAACAATTAAGACTACCTAGGCAGGCAGGTACTTACCATATAGTTAATTTAGTAGTGTCCTAGCAACGTGCATTCAAGATCTAGTAAATAAAGAAGTACAATCCGGCACCCGATGCTAAGTGGGCAAAGGAGGTATTATTACCTCACCTGGCTGCGGCGGGAGTCTCGGCTTGCGGCTCGTGACACTAATTAATGGGTCTTTCGTCGCATCTTCGGTTAGAAGTGAACTCCCAAAGGTTTCTTGTTGAACTAAAGCCAACCAACTGAGTGAATCATAATCTCAATTACCTTTCACCCCACTGCACCTAGCTGTTATCCCTAAGCTACCGGCCGTGTCCCACAACAAGTGGTCTTCTGTATTAATCACCCTAAGGACCTAAATTGGACCACAAATTTTTTCCGAAGATTGTTTGCAGCTCACCCAAAACATTTCGAGCAACAGCCGGACCGGTTGCAGGGTTTCGGTCGCATCACTCCGTTCCAGCTACTATCGCGATTTGCAACCGCAGCCTCCTCTCAGGAGGCTTACACCTACGACGCCGAACCCCTCATTCCGGCCTATCACCATGGCTTTCAACAGCTCTTCGCCGTACCCAGAGGGGGTCATTTCTTTCCTCGATACAGACCTGTACAAGCTGACAATGCAATGCGCTGTTTTCAAATACTACAAGAACGTGCCAGTCACCTATGCTTTCACCAACCGGACACCGGAAAAGAAGCTATCACGCACAGCCTTTCGATGGCTAGAAGATCAAGTTCAAAAGCTCGGCAACATTTCTCTTTCTACCGAGGAGCTTCATTTCCTAGAGCAACATTGCCACTACTTGAATCCTGCCTACCTGGACTTTCTCTCCGAATTGCGCCTGCGTCCTAGGGACCAGGTCGTGCTTAAATTTCATCCGGTGGGGGAAGACACTGGGGCCGAGACCGAGCTTGGCGACCTTGACATCCAAGTCAGCGGCACCTGGGCCGAGACTATACTTTACGAGATCCCCCTTCTCGCTCTGACCTCTGAGGCCTATTTCAAGTTCATGGATCCCGACTGGACGTACGAGGGCCAGGAACAGCTGGCCTTCGACAAGGGCATGCGTCTTCTTGAGGCCGGCTGTGTCTTTTCGGAGTTTGGGACCCGTCGGAGGCGCGATTACCACACTCAGGCGTTGGTGTTTAGGGGGCTCACCAAGGCGAGCAAGGAAGCTGAGAAACGCGGCCTATCTGGAAAGTTGTCGGGGACTAGCAACGTCCACTTAGCCATGCGGTTCAACATCCCCCCAGTTGGGACTGTCGCCCATGAGTGGTTCATGGGCACCGCCGCGATCGTTGGCGACTATCGCAAGGCAACCGAGGAAGCCTTGTGTCATTGGGTTGGGTGTTTCGGAGAAGGCGTTCTCGGGATCGCTCTCACCGACACCTTTGGTACCCCCGAGTTCTTGTCAGCCTTCAACCAACCGGTCAGATACCTCGAGCCGCCCTCCCCGGTCACTGCGAGGAAGCCCAGCGTTGCCGACTCGTTCATCTCAACGAATTTATTAGCGGCATCGAAGGACAAGGCTAACAAGACGTATGCCGAGGTTTTCACCGGCGTCAGGCAGGACTCGGGTGACCCAAAAAGTTTCGTCGGGCTCATCCGCAAGTTCTACGACGAACAGGGTATTCACGACAAAAAGGTCATCGTTTTCTCCGATTCCCTAAACATTGACCGTTGCTTGGAGTACAAGCAGGTCTCCGAAGAGGCAGGCTTCCAGCCGACCTTTGGTGTCGGCACTTTCTTGACGAACGACTTTACCAACACCAAGACTGGCAAGAAGTCGACACCTTTGAACATTGTCATCAAGCTTAGCTCTGCTGCGGGGAACCCGGCTATCAAGATCAGGTAAGCCCCCTTTTGGGTACTCTTATGGTTCGTTCTGGGGACCCAACTCACAAATGACGGCAGTGACAACGCCGGCAAAAACACGGGCGACAAGGCTACCGTTGACAAGGTCAAACGCGAGCTGGGGTATGTCGAAAAGGCATGGGAAGGCGGTGATGAGACGGCAAGATGGGGACGTGATGAAGATTCTAAAAAGCTTTAATTGATTGGATTAGAAGGCTATATTTGCTATGAGGGGCTGATGGAGGCCGATCTGATTTCTCCGTTCTCACGGACGAGACTTTGTCATATCCAGCATTAGAGGATAGGATCCTTGTTGCGTTCAACTTGGGAGGCTTGAGGCGGTCATGTTATTTGAATTGCATTCTGTAGCATTTTTCTAGACAAGGCTTGTCCAGTAGGTCCCTATACTTACCCCTCTGGAGACAAATGCAAGAAGTTCACTGTGTGGCTCAACACTCAGTTGTAGCAGAGTGTTTCTCTGGTTCCGACGTCTCAAAAGAGTCATCACTTGCCAAACCGCATGGTTCCGACTCACTTAAGCCCATCGGATCATTGAACCGAGTTTCGCCGATGATTCTTGTTTTCGTTATTAACCTCACTCAAGGCTGTCCCTTATAAACCAGTTGACTCATGTCATCAGTGGCGTTAGTTGGCCGGAAGTCGGAGCATCCCGGCTGAAACGGCGGCGGGAAGAGGAAACCCGATGTGTTTTCGCGAACGCCGAGAAAACAGGGGACTTGGCCTGTGCACATTGCATCTCGGAGAAGGCTCGGAATCCAAATCGAGGGCGTTTTTACGTCACGTCAGGGACTCCTCGGAGAACCGGACTTCCTCAGTCTAAGGCACCATACTTCATAATGTGATGCGAGCCCTGTTCCTAAATATCAGAAAACCGTTTTTTTATCCTCAGAAAAAGGCAACACAGTCTATATTTTACAAGTCCCTCCTGGAAAAAAAGGGTCTTTCATCTCTACTCTCTTCGGCATCGTCCGATTTCAGGCTCCACCACAAGAAAACGCCCCATTTTTCTCGTTCTCGAACGTCAACGGTCAACCCCGCCAATCAATTTCCACTCTTCGTAATCGCCGCTCAACACACATCATAAAAACGAGAAAATCACGAGGCAATTGATTACCGTTATTAAGCTTTTCTTGCTAATAAACAATCGCTTATACACGTTACACCTTTCCCAATCAACACTCAACACACCAACACGATGAAAGTAATCAGCAAAGAAGTTGAGCAGGAACACTATGGTCGTGTGATCCGCGGTGGTCTTCTCGGCGGCAGCGTCGGACTAGCACTCGGCGTGGCCGGCGTGGTAGGCGGCGCGCGTCGCTTCCCCGTCATCCGGCAGTTAACGCTGCCCTTCAAGAGCTTCCTCATCACTTCCGCGGGCACATTCGGCGCCATCGTCGTGGCGGAACGGTACAGCGTGCAGTACCACCGATCGCAAGACGCCATGAACAACTACCTGGAGGAGACGCACCGGCAGGCGGAGGAGGACCGGCGGCGGAGCAAGACAGAGTGGCAGCGGTTCATGGACTGGGGCCGCGAGAACCGCTACACCATCGTCGGCGTCAGCTGGATTGCCGCCATGGGTATCGCCCTCGGCATGGTCAGCCGCAACAAGTACATGAACAAGGCCCAGAAATTGATCCACGCGCGTATGTATGCGCAGGCGCTCACGCTCGGGGTTCTGATCGCTACCGCCGCGTTTGAGACGGCTGACGCCAAATCCGGCAAGGGCCGGTGGGAGACGGTCCTGGTGGTCGACCCCAACGACCCGACGCATCAGCACTTGATTGAGAAGAAGGTGCACAAGGAGGAGTACGAGGGCCAGGATCTGTGGAAGGGTAAGTGATTTTCTCCCTTTTTCACACTCTCAAAGCGGACTTGACTTGCTAACGAGGGTTGGTTGCAGAGATGGTTGCCGCCGAAGAGAAGCGGATTGGGGACCGGAAGGAGGCCGCAGAGGCAAAGGCCGAGAAGAAGACCAAGGCCGAAGCAGTATAAAATGGGCTCTCACTGGAGTGTCCGTGATCCCGAGAGGGCGTCACGACAACTGGCGCCCGATGTGCCAATAATCCCAACTCTTTTCTTTTTCATCAAGCGGCGTTCAGGTTCATTTACTAGCAGGCAAATATGGTCTTTCGGTAGACTAGGCGATTCTGGCGTTTCTCAGGGACATACGGGTTAAGGTATTGGATTGGAGAACGGATTGACCGAAGAGTTAGAGTATGCGAGTAAAAGCATGAGACTTGGAAGGACATCAGAGAGTTGGCAGACGTTTATGTGTAACATTTGTTTATAAGCCTCCCCAAATCGTTAATCGTGAATCGCTTGCAGATATGTATAGAAATGGTCGCCCCTCGCTTATCTCCAAAAGTTTGGCAGATTAGAACCCGACGCCACGCCATAACAGGACCAACAAGTGCCTGGCTCCATCGACTAGGAAATGAACAACATTCTCAAATACATGATATCTTTTGAAGAAGAAGAAGAAAAATAACCAAAAAAAATGTTTGCGTGTGCCTATGTTTGGCTCATGAAATCAAGAAGAAAACTGCTGGTGTGAAGCAGGCAAGGCAAAACAAAGCAAGGCGAAGCCTGAGTTGACTAAACCTCGATCGTGAAGTGGCTGATCTGCGAGTAATAGGCGTGTACCGCCAACTCGAGCGTCCACACATCGCCAAACACCTCGCTCCCATCAAACCCGCCAATCATAAGCAGTCGACTGTCGTGTAGAACGGTGCCGTGGTAGCCCCTCCCACTTGGCGGAAGGCCATAGACACGGCGGTGGTCCCAAGCCATGGTGACGAGGTTTAACAGCAGCACGTCGTTGGAGTACTCGTTGCCATCGTGCCCCCCAATGACGAAGAGGTAGGAGCCGACAATCGTGGCCGTGTGAGACAGACGCCGGTACGTAATGGGAATCTTGACAATCGTCCAAACGTGTGACTCGACGTCGTAGACCCACACGTCGTTGAAGCACTCGCCGCCGTCAGAACCGCCGTAGATGATCAGCTTACTGCCAACCATGTTGGCCGTGTGGTAGCCCCGCGCTTTGGGGCGGTGGTCACGCCCGGAAGAGGCGCCTGCGACGGGTGACTTGCCGTCAAGTGACGCGGACGGGCCCGAAATGAGTTTCCACGACATTTTGGTAGTGTCGCTGACATCCAACCGCCAGATATCGTTGAGCGCACGTACGCCGTCCCCGCCACCGAATACGTAGATGCCATTCTTGTACAGGCACGCCGTGTGCGCCCGCCGCTTGGACGGTATTTTGTCGCCCACAATGCGTGGCTTGGTCCAGCGGAAATTGACCGTGTCGAGCACATAAACATCGTTGTAATACGCCGGCCCGTCGCCGCCCCCAAAAATGACGAGCTTTTTCCCCACGGCGGTGCACGTCATGGCGCGCAGCGGCACGGGCACCTCACCGACGACGTGCGGCCGCGACCAGTAGAAGGCGTCGGCGTCCAGCACGTACAGCTCGTTAAAACACGCGCGGGAGTCGCACCCACCAAACACGAACACATTGCCGCCAACGAGCGTTGTGGTGTGCGCCCGCAGCGCTGTGTGCGGCGCCCCTGACGTCGGGGCCCGGCTCCAATACATGCCCGACGACGGCGCCACCGGCACATCAGCGGCTGTCTGGGCGTCGGCCAGCGGCGGGAATAGTGTGTGTACCTCGGCGCCCTTGGCTGGCGCACCCCGACCCGTGCCCATGCGGGTTATGGTTCCGGGGGCAGTGCTTGAGCCTGCGCCTACGCCTGAGCCTGAGTCTGATCCGCCGGGGCGACTGGCAATAGCCGACGTCGAACGCAGCGCGGGGGGGCGCCGCGGGGGTTCCTTGTTGCTGCTGCCATTGCTACCAGCGGAGAGGTTCTGTCTTTCTCTCCCCGAGGACGTTCCAGCAGCCAAGGCATCATCGTCTTCGGCGATTATAGGCGGCCGTATGATAGTGGGTGTCGATGTCTTGTTGGTAGAGAGTGAGGTGAGCGAGGCGGTTGAGAAGGTCGCGGCGGACAGAGAGGACGACGATTGCGAGCGCTGGCGAATCGAAAGGTCGGTGGGCCGGCTGCGTCTGTCTTGGTTCTTGGAGGTAGAGGAGAGATGGCCGGGGGTATGCGATCGCGGTATCGGCGGGGCTCGGTCGGGGACGTCCTCGGCATCATCGTCGAGCATTGCGGGCGGGGAGCGCGGGTCTGCAGATGGCACGGGGGCTATCCTTTGCGACCGCATAATGTTCATGTCTTGCGGTAAGTGTGGTTGCCGCTCCCGCCCAGCTGCTCTGGCCTGGTCAGCCATTGTTGGGTCGAATGGTCATATCCCGGACATCGACACGGCGACAAGGTGGTAAGGCTAGACGTGATGTCAAGTCGTAGTTCGCACTTTGCAGTCTCCTGTTTATTTGTCTTCTTGGTAGTGTGGGATCGGACGGGTTGGTGTTGGTTCTGCCAAAACGTGTAGCTGGAAGGCAAAAACACAAAAACAAACTAAAAAAGAGCGTTCAATGGACCCCAAGAGACGCCGCTTGTCTCGTATAAGAGGGTAATGCTCTCGTTCGGTGGGAAACGTTGATCACCTCGAGGAGATCTGTTTGTTCCAAGGTGAAATTGAAAGTAACCTGGCTGGGTGGATTCAAAATGTCATGGTCGCTGCGGCTCGCCCTGGATGGCGCTGTTGCTTTCGTGCTCCCCGCAACTCCCACCCCTGTAAGTCCCCTCAAACTCGGGCACTCCAGTATCCACAGCACAATTGCCAGCTCAGGTCGCCCCATCGGCTCAGCGGATAGAGGGAGTTCTCATAGCCCGTATTCCATACCCGCAGGCACGGGCTGTGGGAAATCCGACTCAACAGCCGGATTAGGTGGCTAGGCCTGGAGAGGTAGGTAACTACTTAGTTATACCACAAGGCGTTGGTGCAAGTGGCTTTCGGTGATGCCCATGGCCTGGGTTGTTCAGGTTATGGATGTCCTGAGATTGAAAGGATGCCCCTGTCTTTTTGGACGGAGGTTTACACTAGTTGTCTGGCACAACAAGATTTGACTTCATAATGAACAATACTATGTAAGTGTCAAAGAGAATAACACAGTAAAAGGCCCGATATAACCCCGCATCTTTATCAGAATATTTTGCTTTTTACTTTAAGCTGCCCAAGCCCGGTTTCATCGTAAGACTTCTTCTCTACAATCGGAAGGGTTCCAGAACATCCACGGCCCGTGCCCCACTAACTCGACCCTGATGTGGGGCCCTAGCACTGTACGGATCTGTAACTTACGGTTAACGTAGCAGGAAAGAACCTGGAAACACAACGTCGATAAAAAAACAGAGGGCCTCAAAAGGCTTGTAACTACAGGAAACGAAACGGTTCTACTTTACCTTGGTCGTTTACCTTTGGAACCAGTGGTCAAACGTCAAATTTTCTCACCTTGAGGACGAAAATTTTAAGCCAGCGACTATGGACTCACAAGAAACAACAAAGCGACCCCAGGCAGAAGCCCTTAGCGACTCGGTTGACCCTGGCGGTGCTTCAATTGATGAGCCAGTGGCCAAGAAAATTAAAATCGATGCATCTGAAGATGCCACTCATGCCGCGCCAAGACCTAGAGTCAAAGGTGTAGCCCCAATCAAGGCAGAGTAAGACCGACATCACGAGGGTTTTTCTACATGTGTTAGAATTACTCACAATCTCTTTTAGATACCTAGTTTTGGCACCTGGTCAGACGGAGAAGGCCGCCGCTGAGGCCGAACCCGTTGACGACGATGCCGCCGAGGGACGCGGTGCTCACGATACCGAGGAGACGCCACAGAACGGCCAAAGTAGTAACGGGAGGCGGAAGAAACAAAAGGGCCAAAACAAAGAACGGGAGTTTGGGACTTTCTCAGACCCCCAGCGTCTCTGTAACTCGGCCGCGTGGACCCCCGAATTCTCCCCTCGCCCTTGCCGCCGCGGGGACCGCTGCAATGCCCTCCACGACCTCCGCAAGTACCTGAAGGAGGGACGTCGCGCTGATCTCACGACCTTTGACGGCAAATGCCCGGTATGGGAGAAGTACGGCATGTGTCCGTCGGGCTGGCGCTGTCTGTTTGTCCGGAGCCATATGGAAGAAATTAAGCGCGACGATGGCCGGCTGGAGTTGGTTCTGATGGAGGATGCTAGCAAGCAGCCGCAGGCGGATGGCGAGGATGAAGAAGAGACGGGCGAGGTCAAGCCGGGGGTGGTCAACCTGGTGGCGACCAGCGTCAAATTTGACTTATCCAAGAAGAAAATACCTATGGAGAAATCGGACCAATACCTGAACTGGCTGGCCAAGGACACGGAGAAGTACACCAAACACTACCATGCGGGCAAGGAACAAAAAGACGAAACCAACGACTATAGGGCCCAATACGTGGAGCCGCCGTTCAAGCCATCCGAGAAGAGGAGGCTCTATTTCGGTCGAGAAACCCCCGTCCTAGCGCCGCTCACGACACAGGGGAACCTCCCCTTCCGCCGCCTTTGTGTAGAGCTCGGCTGTCAAGCCACCTACTCGGAGATGGCTTTGGGCCTCCCGCTCTTGCAGGGGCAAAAGGCAGACTGGACGCTGATGAGGGCCCACGAAAGCGAGACGACACCACCTGCTTTCAACACGGACGGGCCCATCGTGGAAGGCTACGATAATTCTAGAGATCTCAAATTCGGGGCCCAGATTGCCGCCAATGTCCCGTGGGTTGCCATCAAATCCACCGAGGCTTTGACCCGGTTTCTCCCCCATCTCCGCCTCGTCGACCTCAATTGCGGCTGCCCGGTGGACATGGTGTACAAATCCGGCGCGGGCTCGGCGCTCCTCGATGCGCAGTCGAAGTTAGAGAGGATGATCAGAGGCATGAATGCCGTGTCGGGTGAGGTGCCCGTCACGGCCAAGATTAGGATGGGCGTGAGGGATGACAGGCTCACGGCCCATAAACTTGTCGAGCGCCTGGCTCTGGGAAGTGAAGATATGCGTGACGTGGTCGGCGCGCCCGGTTGTGCAGCCGTCACTCTACATGGCCGCACTAGACAGCAGCGGTACACGAAGGCCGCCGATTGGGGCTACATTGCGGAGTGCGCGGCGTTGATCAAGCAGCACAACGAGACAGCCGCCAGCCTAATCGACACGATCCGCGAAGCAGACGAACGCACACTACCCAACGGAGGCAAAATGTACTTCCTTGGCAACGGTGACTGTTACTCCCACGTCGACTACTTCAACCACGTGGACAACGCCAAGGTGGACAGCGTTATGATCGGTCGAGGAGCACTCGTCAAGCCGTGGATCTTCGAAGAGATTGAGAAGGGCCAGTATCTCGACAAGACCGGCGCGGAGCGGCTGACATACGTCGAGAAATTTGTCCGCTACGGCATGGAGGCCTGGGGCTCGGACGAGCTAGGCCTCAACTACACGCGCCGATTTCTCCTTGAGTTCCTGAGCTTCTTCAACCGCTACGTGCCGATCGGGCTGCTGGAGTACCTCCCGCCCAACCTGAACGAGCGACCGCCTGCGTACCGTGGTCGCGACGATCTTGAGACGCTGTTTGCGAGTAAGAATTACAAGGATTGGCTCAAGATCAGGTAAAGGCTCCCGTATCGCCAAATGAGAACCCTTTAGCTAACCAATTATGTATAGCGAGATGTTCTTAGGCCCGGCGCCGCCTGGCTTCAAGTTCCAGCCCAAGCATAAGTCGAATAGCTATGAAATTGAGGCTGAGGGATAAAGGGCCAGGGGGGTGGGTAACCGGTAGCGTGCTTTGTCTAAGAGGTGGACAAAGAAGTGATTGCATTCTTTAGGGTGCTAATACATATCCAACGACGCCATCTCGGGCCAAGAGGGGATGTAATATCTTTCGGGCTTGCCATTGACTACCGGGGAAGATGTGTAAGATATTTGCTGTCGACTTCTTGACGGCACCGCTAGGGAGACTGAATTGTAGGTGTATACCAGTAGGTAGGCTTAAGGTACTTGGCGATAAACAATCCCAAAATCTTTGAACGAAAGATCCCTTTTGTTACAGAGGGTAGTCGAGGGACCGCATTGTGTACGGCAGATTTGGTTGCACTAACAGAAGGAAGGGGTAGTGGGTGTGACTTCTAGCTCTGCAGTTAGATTAGGTAGGAAGGAACTCCTTGAAGGATTAACTGTGAAACAATTAGGTATTCCTTGTTTAGACCATTTGTCCCATAGTCATCATCGGCAAAAACATTATCTGGTAGGCACTGTTGCAATTAATGTGTTGTTGTCACAAGATGTTCCACCAGACATTGCTGACGATTGTACACCTAAATAGCCCGTCCGTTGAGGTCAATTATTCAGGCAAATCCCTGTAATGTTTCCAGTTTGATCAATTAGGAATGCTATAGTTTGCTGTCGTGGTGTTTCAAACTTGGCTACTTTGCCTCAAAGCTCAAGATCCTTTGCCAAGACAGCGGAAACCTCCCACATTCGAAATCACGACGTCTCGCTTCTTTGAGTGGGAGAATTCTACAAACAATACTAATAATTTTCAAGGTTCCATTTTATCCGGACGGAACTAAGCCACCTAAAATTCAAAGCTATCATATATTTTTGGCCAGGGCTGCTTTGTTTGCATCTTTGCCACCTGGTAGCCGCTCTTGCCACCTGCGAATCTCCCCATGGGGTAACAAAACGAACCCTTGCCAACACCAACGTCATCTTGGAGGACCAACAACCCCCAACATCCCCAACATCCACTCCAATTTCACCAGGAAACTCACAACAGCACAAACAAAACGCTTCCCGAGAATTCCGCGATTATGGCTACCGTACTTCCCAAATCGGGCAACCCGCTGTAAGCATCTCCTCTAATTGTCTGAGCTCTCATAATTTCTAGTGCTTTTGTTGGGTTTGAAGGTCAACAGCGGGAATGCGGTTCAAGGCGGCGGTCTGAGGCCCCGCGAGTGTTCATTTCAAGATTTCCATTTTTCCATGTCTTCGCACCCTAGGGATTCTAAACTAACGGAATGCCTCTTGAAACAGCGTTTTCTTCGACATCACCCTTGGTGGTATGGACCGATTCGCCTGGATCTCGGAACGAAAAGGTTAAACGTGCTCACTGTCTTTTCCCATAGGTGAACCCCTCGGGCGCATCACTTTTGAGCTCTTCAACGATGTAGTGCCCAAGACGGCCGAAAACTTCCGTCAATTCTGCACCGGCGAGACCACGAATGCCCTTGGACAACCCCAAGGATACAAGGGCTCCAAGTTCCACCGCATCGTACGTCAGCTCGCCTGGATTCGATCCTGGCTACGTATTATCAATCGTTAGACTAAAGGTCAGCGCTGGCAACATCGACTAACCGACTTTCTAGATTCCGAGCTTCATGTGCCAAGGTGGTGACTTCCTTAACGGCGACGGCACTGGCTCGACCTGCATCTATAAAACCACAAAGTTTGCCGACGAGAACTTCACCCTAAAGCACGACCAGCCGGGGCTGCTTTCCATGGCTGTGAGACTGATCTGCTCCCCATTCCCTCCCATTCTCTTTTTTTTTGTTAAATTTATGAACCTGAGAGCCCTCAAACTAACCTCAACCCTGCGCTCTCACCCTCTCAGAACGCCGGTCCCAACACCAACGGCTCCCAGTTCTTCATCACGACCGTTCCCACCCCCTTCCTAGACGGCAAGCACGTCGTCTTTGGCAAGGTGGTGGACGGCATGGACATCGTCAAGAAGATGGAGAACACCAAGACGGGTTACCGCGGCAGGGATGTGCCGAACCTAGATGTGGTCGTTGCCGAGTGCGGGGAGATGTAGGGAGGCAAGGTGGCAAGGAACGTGGCCTTTCTGCGGCGTGTCACGGGAGACAGCCGACCGGGTTAAGAGTGAAGGTGGCTGGCTGAGGTGACCGGGTCGTCGGGTATTCGGGGAACTAGCTGAGGAACTGATGGACACGGTACATCACACGGTGGGCTCGCTCGGACAACCCGGGAGGGAAACCTTAATCAAGCGATGGACGTGAGATTACACCGGAAGGGGGCCCGCAGATTTGCCGCTCGAATGGAATGTTTGTCCCACGTGCATGGTGCATCACCAAGGCGGGCTGGCAAGCTGGATCGCGGATACTTGCTCGTTCGGGATCTGCGTGGTTTATCTAGCACGGCGTTTTATGGACCGAGGCCGGCTTTCTACGTGGTCCCGTTCGTTCCCTTATCCATTTTCTAGGCACAAAACGTGATCATTGCTCATCCGTCTAAAAGTCTATGGCAATATATTACAAGAGGCGTCGACCCTGAGTAACAACCCCGCCGTCAGCGTCCCACTGCCTTGACAAGCAGGGACAAGGACGTTGACAACCAAGTTGTATGCCAGCAGGGTCACAGAAAAGGGCGGATTACCAGATCCACTCAAACAGAATATCAAAAGGGCAAAAACGAACTTGGAAAAAGAAGAAGAGCAACAAATTGGAAGAAAGAGGAAAAACAGGAGTTGAACAAGAGCGAGTGAAGAAAGAAAAAACGAAGGAGGAATTTGGGTATCGCCGCCGTATACCTTGGAAACCCCATCTACCAGCCCAACACCGTGCCCGTTAAAAAGCAAAAAAGCATGCCGCCGTCCCATGCACCAGACCAGCCAGCCCTAGACCACACTTCCAACCAGAGAATGAATGTAAACGTTGTCATTGTCATCATCATCGTCATCTATTTCGTACATTGATCGTTGTAATCACGATCCGTCGGCACTAGAAAAGGAACCGGTGTTAGCGAGTGGTGAACTGACAATCTGACACATAGTGTATGTAAACTTACTCACAATAGCCCACCCACCCAAACCACAAACTTGAAAACATCACTTCTTTAGAATTGATGCACATGGCGCCTAGCACGAAGCGCCCTAACCAGCTTCGGCGGGGCAGTCTTGGTAGCCTCAGCCGCACCGCGGGTGACGGTCATAGTCGTCATACCCTCAGGAATCGTTGAAGTCACCGTGACCACCACATCGCCGCTATCATCACCAGCCGAGGCATTGCCACCGGCCCCGCCCGGCCCAGGCGTCGGCATGGGGATCTTGCCGCCGCCCGGGAAGTTCTGGGCATCGAGGATGGACTGCGCCAGGGGGAACTGCAGGTTTTTCTGGCCGATGAGGTTGGCGAAGGGGATGTGCTTGGTGTCGGCGGTCGCGGCGGCGACGCCAAAGCCGGCCTGGGGAACCTTGACGAGGAAAGGCTCGGCCATCTGGGAGGCGATGCCGCGGGACTCGGCGGGGGCGTCGACGGCGAAGTTGGCGTTGGTTTCGACCTTGGAGGTTTTGCAGGTTGGGCCCTTGGTGTCGCCGAGGCTCTCGTCGCAGGGGTCGACGATTTTGTAGTCTACGACACCGGTGTAAAGCTGGACGCTGGCGACTGCGTCGGACTTGTAATCAGCGGGGGGCACTGCCACGCCGACTTCCTTCATCAGGGGCCAGTCCCAGACCCAGATGACGGTGTAGACCTTGCCGACGGGGGCATCCTGAGGGATCATGACGTCGTTTTGGCAGAGGAGAATTTGAGGCGTGCTGAATTTCTTGGTGCGGTAGGCGACAATACCTTCCAAGTCGCCGTCGCTGGGGGGAGCCTCGTGGCATTGGCCATCATCGTAGTTCCTGGTCGCGAGCAGCTTCCCCTTTCCGTTCCCGCCCTTCCCGTCGGAAGTCCACTTGAGGTGAACATCCATGAGATTCACGTTGGAGAGGTCGTTTTCGGTGGTTCCGTAGAGGTAAACGGTACCGCGGTTAATGGGGCGCCCCGGGTCGGTCTTATCGGGCCGGCTGACATGGCCGTTTTCGCGGTACTTGATTGCGACAAAATCGCCGGGAGCGACTGAGAGCATCGGGTTCTCAGTGGTGTAGCTTGCGTCTGTGAGCTTGGCCTGAGGGTCCCTCACAATCTTGTCGTTGGGAGAGAGGGCCTGGCCGTTGGGTGGAAGTATGTAACTGTCCGAGGGGTGGTTCCTCTCCGTGCCGGGCTTCCCAACCTCTTTGCCATCGGGCGCTAGACGGACGGTGGACTCGGGCCACGAATGGGCGATTGCTGTTCCGGCGAGGGCGGCCAATAGCCACCCCGCAACAGTTCGGTCGGGGAATACTTTCATGGTGGTTGTTGTTGACTGTTTGGGTCGGGATTTTGTGATGAAGAGAGCTGAGGTTGAACTTGACGAAGTCGGTAGTCCTGCTGTGTCAGAAGGGGGGAGTGTTTTGTAGGTTATCGGTTTTGTTATTGTTGTTTCGTGGTTTGTTGATCTGTAGAAAAATTCGTGCGGGAATGAGAACGATTTCTCAGAGAAGGAAGAAAGCCGCCGAGGGAGGGCGGCCGGCGTTGATATTGTTGGTGCCTGCACGAACAATACCGAGCGGGACAACGAGGGTGTGTTGAATCGATACGAGTCGAGGGGTGACTTGTTCTTGCGGTATTGTTCGAAGTGTTGTGTTGTGAATGGCGGGTCAAGAACAAAAGGCGGCCAAACAAAGCGTTGTTGTTGATGAACAGGTTGCCTCGGTGAACAAGGAAGGACCGGGTCAAGGACAGCAACCCGGTTCGTAAAACACAACAAATGTTGCCAGCGTACTTGAAATGCCGGTGGTTGTTGTTGCCTTGCAGACGTTTGGTGCCTGGGGCGTCCGTTTCTCGCGAGACTGAAGAAACTGGCGTTCCTGACTGAGGTAGGTGGGAGAAACGGAATGGAGATGGGAGTCTGTCTGGAAGAAGATCAAGTCGCCAAGACGGCGGCGACAGCGGTAGATATTCACTCAAAGGATACCGCGTACAAGGCCCGGGACGGGATAGATTCCAAGAGGAGCCGGCCGCGAGAATAGGACGTGGAGGACTGAAACTTTGGAGACCGGTCCGGACCACACGATCTGTTTCCCACAATGCCGGGTCGCGGGGCGGTCACGGGAAGAGGACGATCAACTCATCTGATGAGGTGAAGGGAACAGACAAGAATGTACAAGAGCGGACGAAAGCAAAAGAGGACTCGCAGGATCGGCCACGCACCGGGCGAAGGCCATGGTCTGGAGGGGGTTTGGAGAGGGTCTGGGGACACCGGGCGACTGGCCGCCGCTTTACTAGTATGTTCACACTCCATGTCTAGACTCGAACCCGATCCGGGGTTACAGCCGGAACGTAGCAGGCGCTTTCCAATACCTTCCAGCGTAGCACCCTGGGCCGAACCAGCATGGTGGACACGCGGGTTGTCTGCGGGTGTTCCGTTGACGAAGCGGGTGGTTGTGGGAGGATGTTGAAGACGGGTGGAAATAGGTCTTTTGTTTTAGACTTGCTAGCGTGTAGGTCACCATCGCATCAAATCTTGGTGTGAAGTGACTTTGTGTCAATCAGCGTCGCAGTCTTGAGCCAAGCATCAGAAGCCGGCGCTTCTCGTCCAATCGTGCTGCTTTCTGTGCAGCTCAGATTGGCGAGTTGTGCCTGGCGTACCAGGGGGTCTCGACCCACTGGGTTGCATTGCCAGGGCCCAAACCGCGGGCGATTCGCTGCGATCGCACCTCATTGCGACCTCAGGAGAAACGGGCTGGCCTGTCTCATGGCTCGTCGCCGGCTGTTGCCAGCCCGGCCCTCTGCTGGTCGGGTCCGGGAACATAGACGAAATGAGCGCGCTTCCGGTTTAACTATGAGGAACGCTTGCCGAGTGCCCGAGAAGCCGAATTTGTTTCGAAACGGGTCGCGCTTCGCTCGGTAATGGTGCAAGAAGAGGTCGGGCGGGGTCAAATGAATCGAGCCAAAGGAAAAGAACCGGCCGGTTAATGGCTAGTTATCGATGGTCTGAAAATCGAGACCCTAGAAAAGCCTGATTCACTTCACTGGGGCTCTTTCCAAATCCTCGGGTCTTGAATGATTCTGCAGATACGGGATTTGAAGGAAGGAAAGAGAGACATGCATGGGCATCTGAGGCAAGCGCGCGGCGCCAACCGCGAATGATGCGACGAACGTTTGGTTGTTTTACCTGCGGGTATTTTCGCAGCACAAAATGATTGGTGCAGGGATCGCGGCTGCTTGTCTCATCCCGACCCCGCTCAATGGACCCCTGTCAAGTTATCTCTCCCATCTGTCATGCATCCGAACTGTCGTCCTCCGAACCTCCTTGGCAATGGGCGAAATATTTGATAAGCCACGAACCCTCTAAGAATTTACGAACGGAGAATGGAGAAAATAAACCGAAAGTTTGTGTTCTCTTTCCAAATCTCCATCACCAACACTCGTACCGCAAACGATTCGAACCCACGGTAAGTGAGATACCGTACATACAGTTGACACAGTATCGCCCCCACGTCCACACCATCATGTCCCACCCTCGGCTTCCTGGACCTTCCCAAGTCCGATCTATAAACACCGTCTGTTGTCGGTATTTCGTCATCATCAGGCCTCAACAAACACACACCCACCCCGCCCCCAGGGCCAAACCCCAAACAAAGCCACGTTGTTTGCGCCACGGCGGTTTGTTTTTCCGGCCTAGGATCCCAAAGCAGTCGTTTCATCCTTTGACAGTGAGGTGGTGATGGTGGCCGGGGCCAACCCACCACCGGACTGGTCAGGCAGGCAGGCTTGCCAACCTCATTTCCGTACTTGGGGGCTCTATGTTTTCGGAGGCCGCCATCTATTAGTAATTTATCGGGCTTTCGGCACACAAAGTTTACGCAGGTGGTAAGTAACACCGCTGATGAGTCAGGGAGGTCGGCCGGTTGTCTAAAATGTGATGATGCTGGGGGCGACGAGTGTTGGGCCGTTAGGACTGGGATTATTGATAATTGGCGGTTACGAACGAATACCTGGCCGCTGATTGCTATTCGTATAAGGTAATCAAGATGTTTCGTGTAGTGCAATTGGAATAAATGAAGGACATGGGGTGGGCGTTTAAGCTAGTCGACCCACAGAAACGCAGTTGACCCCCAGAGCATTGGCGGGTAGAAACCTCCGTCGTCTTCTCGTTAAGCGCTGCTGCTACCCGACCATCTTCCGGACCCGATACTCTCCCACTTCGGTACGTATTGTAAACATAAACCAGGACTCATGCGCAACCGGAAGAAAGCAGGGAAAGAAAATCAAAACCAAATAATTAGTCCAATTACCCCCAAAAAGAGATGCATTCCAACATGTGCGCACACCTTTACACCAGATTTAATTAACCTCCTCAACTCCTCGACCGCTGTCGTCGATGCCCCTCCCCATCAACCCCCTCTTCCTCCTCCTCTTCCCCATTACCCCCTTCCTCCTGTCCCCCACCCCCCCTCAACTCATCATCCCCCCCCAACACAGGCATCCCCGACCGCCCCCGTTTTACCCCTGCCGCGGACATCCCCTGCGACATGGATAAGGATGATGAGGAGGAGGAGTACCTGTGCCCAGATCTAAGCCCATGCCCATGCCCATGCCCATGTCCCACTACCATCGTTGCCGCTGCGGTACCCGGAAAGCCCCCTTGCACGTGGGTTGATACCCGGTGCTGGTGTTGGTGCTGGTGTTGGTGCTGGTGCTGGTGTTGGTGCTGGTGCTGATGCTGGCGCTGTGACGAAGATGGAGACGATACAGACGATGACGGCCGTGACAGGTGTTGCTGCTGCCTCTGAGCCATCATCTCTTCCCAGTCTTGTGAGACGTGTGATACGCTGCTGCTGCCTGGCGTGGTTGATAAAGAGGCGGGGATGATGGTGTTGGGCCAGGTTTGGGGTTGGTGTTGTTGGTGTTGGTGGTGATGCTGCTGATGCTGTTGTTGCTGACGGCGATAGTGGTAGTATGGGGGTGTACTCTCTGCGGGTGGTGGTGGCTTTGTTGTTGTTGTTGCCCAAGGGTCATCATGAATGGTGTTGACGGTCGTGTCCCATGGACGTCGGTGGGGATGATGGACCAGCCCTGTTGGGTGCGGTTTCTGCTGCTGCTGCTGCTGTTGTCGGCTGTGAAGGTGCGGGCTGCTGCCATGACGTCTATGGCTGCGGCGTGGGGAGACGGTGTGGGAGTAGTGTTGCTGCTGCTGCTGTTGTTGTTGCTGTTGTTGTTGCTGCTGATGCTGAGGGCCAGGCCAACTTAGCGTAGCGTTGTGTGCATGATGAGCCGAATTGACATTGACATTGATGCTGACGTTTGGATACCCCGATGACCAAGACGTGGCGGCGGCGGCTGTGGCGGAGTCCAGGCTGCTAGCGAGACTTTGATTATCCCAGCCGTTATGAGCTTCGCCTTGCGGACCGCCGCCGTATGCTGCAGCTCCCAGAGTTGAGAGAAAAGGCCCTGCTGCTGGTGACAATGCATTGGCGAGCGCGTGCGAGCTAAGGGCCATGGTGGCCGTCGTCGCCGCAGTGCGCGGCGCGATGTAGTCCGGTAGCATATCCGAGCTGGCTGAGGTTGTGTCGAAGGACTGGGGAAAGGGGCTGGCGAGTAAGGCGCTCGAAGGCGGAGTCGCTAGGTCGTCGTGGTGGCTGCTGAAACTGCCTAGCAAGCCGTATTCTCCAGCCTGGCCACCATCACCACCGGCATGACTGGCGGGCGCAGAGTGGGTGTGGTGGTCATCGCCTGCTTGGGCTAGGAAATGCGCCTCGTACGCTTGCGCTGCTGTGCTGGAGAGAGAGCCGAACCCGCTGCTGGTGTTTTCCCACGGTGGCGGAAATCCATCGCTTGTGTTTGTGCTCGGCTGCGGGTAGCCAGGGCTGGGCGAGTAATACCCGGCAGTACGGGAGGAGGGTCGCGAGGTGTTGGAAAGACCGTCCAAGATGCCGCGATAGCCGTCCGTCGAGGAAGAAGAGGATGTAGTAGTAATAGTAGTAGTAGTAGAAGCAGAAGAAGCAGTAGAGGAAAAAGAAGAAATGGAAGAAGCCTTGCGGCCACTGACAACGGCGTGCTTCTGATGATGCTCGCTAGCCGGGTCGATAATGGTCAAGAAGCGCCAGTTGGTCTTCCCACTCGGGGCTGTCACCAGTTCTCCCTTGTCCCTGTTCTTGGTTTTGTCAATAGTGTGGATTGTCTCGAATGTCCAGAGAATCACGGCCCGCCGTGTCCACTGATCCGACGCCTCGCCATCTCCCTCGTCATCTCCCTCAGCGTGCCTTGCAGCAGGCGGACAGGAGAACACCTCCTGCATCATGGCGATCCCCGGGACCAGGTCCATCTGTGTCGTGCTCTGTCTACCACGACGACGGGGTCTTACCCCCCCATCCGTACCCTCACTTTCACCTCCAACACCACCGAGACCCCCGCGTTCTCTGCCAAACCTTTGGCCGCTGCTCAACGGATGGGCTGGGTACTCGGCACAGCTGGTGAGCGTTTCCGCCCAAGCAGTGGTAGGAAAGGGGAGAGGGAAAGGGAGCGAAACCCCGTCACGACGTCTTCTCTGAACGAGACACTCGCATGGCCCCTGAGTGGTATCGCCGAGGGGGCCGTCACACCCCGACTGGTGGCGGTAGTTAATAGTAAACTCGTTATGACGCTCACATATAGTATCTTGGGACGACGCAACCCCTCCTCCTCGAGGGTGGTTATTTTCTGTGGAGCAGCTGAGCTCGGCAGGCCTCACGAGTCGTGTCTCGATCCTCCACCGGTGGGTTACCAGGGCAAGCTGTTCGATGTTGATCTCGACCCAGGAGCTGAGGCTCGACTCGGCAGGGAAGTTGGGCCTCTCCCTGAGCTCGAGGGTGGAGTGGAAATGCAAGATGTCGCAGGTCGCGTCTGTCGTCAAGGACGTGATGCTTTCCAGTCGCTTGTGCAAGCCGGGGAAGGTCAACTCCCATTCCCTGCTTAGCTCTGACACACTGCTCGACTCGACCTGGTGGATCTCCTTGGTGAACTCGTGGAGCAGCGCGCCCTGGAACAGCTGCTGCTCCTCCTTGGTCCAGGTCTCGCGCTGGAGGTTGCGCGCGAGGTGCGGATACTCGGCCGCACTGAGCTCGCTGCTGCTGCCCAACTGGCCCAACTGGCCCGACCCATCGTCTCGGACCGATACATCCTGGTGCGAAACAAAGATCCAGCAGCGCCTCGGTCGGAACTGCACCTGCTCGTTCAACGCCAGAATTTGCGCAAAATATTCGTAATTGGGTCGCTCATCCGGAAGGCGGTTTTCGGACAAGGCAATCAAGATAGTGTTGTTCTTGAGCAACCCTTTCTCCATGTGGTCCGCCTCCTTGTCGCGCCGCCGTTGGCCAAAGAGGAAGTGGACTGCAAGGCAAGGGAGGTTTTGTTTGTCAGCGTTTGTTGGTTACCACACCCAGCCCTGCAAGATGCAAGATGCAAGCAAACGCCATTTACCACCGCCACCACTTCGGCCGGGGGAGGAAGAGGGGGAAGAAGCCAGGGGGTCAAAAAAGGGAAATCGGGAAAGAAAAATCGCGGAGAAAAGGGAGAGGCGGGGTTACCGGCACACACATACACACCGACATAGTTAAAACACACTTACAGCATCGATGTGCCGAGAAGAAGTTCTTGAGAACCTGGATGTGGCTTGACACCATCTTCCGCCCCCCGGCTTCTTTGATCTTCAGCAGCTGCGGGTCGGGACTCGCTCCGGGGCCCAGGTCGAGACAAGACGCAATCCAAAGGTACTCCCCGATCAGCTGGTTCCGGCCGAATGGGTTTGGATGTCGCTTCATTGTGTATTTACTGCGCCCCATCTGGGGGATGAGCAGGAGGGCTAAAGAGAGAACCACTCAGAAGTCAGCCACACAAAAAGTCTGTGTAAAAGGGTACTTCCAAGGGTATTCCCAAGGGCTATGCCCGGGCTTTGTTTGCCCACGCGCGAGAGGAGAAAAAAAACACTAGGTAGGTCGGTACTTGCCATCCAGGAAATGCCCCTCCAACGCGTCCGGCCACTTCTGATCCGGTTTGTCTGCCTGCTTCTTCCGATAGTTCTGGAAGGCTTGGCTGAGCAAGGGCATGAGCGGGTTAGACGCCGCCGCCGCCGCCTGCGGATGCCGTCCGCTGTGCGTGTGTGCGTGCTTGTGGGTGTGCGCGTGACGGCGCTCGTGCCGAGGGCGGGCTGCTTTGGCCACTGCTGCTGCTGCTGCTGCTGCTGCCCTTCCGCTGCCGTAGTCTGGTCCAAGGGAGGGTGGTGTCCGCATGACGGATGGCGTGCCGGGCGGGATCGAGGACGGCGTGGGCGGGAGAGCCTCTAGGCTCTGTGCGTACCAAGCCATGTGATGAGGAGGAGGAGGAGGAGGAGGAGGAGGGTACGAAAGGACGCCTGTGGATTCCTGAAGGGGTTGTTGTTGGTGTCTCGAAGCCGATGCTACACCACGAATCTCAGAATCATGATCTGACGAGGGCGGGCTGCACTGGGTCGGGAGGAAGGGAGTTCGGACTGCGAGGCCCATGGCCTAGAATGGGTTGCAACGCCGTGATGGCGATCGAGAAGGCGGGAAGGGCCGGGCCACGAGAGGAGTGTTGGATGAAGCTCTCGAGTTGGCAAGGAATGCCCGAAAGGAATGGTCCACTCACAGAACTTCGGCTAGGTAAAAAGAAGAAACAGTGGAATATGCTGAGATACAAGACAGCTAAGCTTCCTAATGGTGGGCGGGGGACACCACGGGTTTTAATCAGGAACGTCCCTCGAAACCGCACGAAACTGGGATTAAGTGTAAATAACTTGGTAGTATAGGGATGCCATTGTAGTGAATAGTCAGCACCACGCGCTCACACACAGACACACACATACCCACATTATCTCTCTGGCTTGCACACACACACACCCAGAGAGAGAGAGAAAGAGAGGGACACACCCGCCCAAGCACACGCAGTCCGGGGGCCAAATGGGGGCTGTCGGGACCAACCATCCTGGACGAAGTCGACTTTCTCTCCCTCTCCACTGGAACGTAAGGGCATCCAACCCGTGGAGGCGGCTCCCGCAAAAGGGTTACGGGAACTAACTCGGTTGGCGCGAAGCGTCTCGGGACCGCTGGCTATTTTCGGATGTGGACGGCCATCCCGGGACGAACAAGGTGCGGCCGACCAGTCCCTGCGTCGGCCGCAATGGGAAAGATGTGTGTGTGAAGTTGTCCAAACAATCTTTGAGCTGCCGCGGTGGGGTTTCTGCAGATGCAGAGCGCCCGTAAAGCCGCAAGGGGGTAAGGGATGAAGGGGGGGCTTCGGGGTGGGGGGGCGAAATGCTCCCTGGCAGCATGGCAAGCACTTCTGTATCCGTAGGTTTCTCGAGATCTAGCCGCCAACTGAGTTGGTTCACTTTTGGGGGTATATTGTTTTGTTTCTGCTTCTGTTTGGTCCGGAACCACGGAAGGTTGAATTCTTCCGTGTTGTCATGGTTCATCATCATCGTTATCCCCAATGTTGACCCTCTTCCTCCCTTCTCCCGTCAGCTCTTGCAATGTGACCTTGTTCACCTGGCCCCTAATCTTCTTCTCCATCGCCTTGATCTGTTCTTCTGGGTCAACCTCATCCGCTGCTGCAAAGTCAATCACCAGCCGCCGCCCCAAGAGATGTGTGTCTTTGAGGGATGTGAGAGCATTGAGCGCCTCTTTCGAAGTCGCAAACTCGGCAAACGCAAAACCGCGCGACGTGTGATTGAACTTCTTCGGCACCCGAAGTGCCACCAATTTCCCATATGCGCTGAAAAGCGTTCGGACATCCTTCTTGGACGCCTCGAATGGGAGGTTCTTGATGACAATCTTCGTCCGCTGCGCCGCTGCCTTTTTGGCGAGGTCTTCGCGTTTGCGCTCCTCTGCAGCATCGTGGCCCCGATGTGATGCCTTGACCAATAGCTTGTGGGCGTCAAGGACATGGCCGTCCATGACCTTGAGAGCCGCCTGGGCTTGCTCCTTGGTCCTGAACGCGCAAAACCCGAAACCCATGCTGAGCACTTGGCCAGGCTTTTTCGGGTCGGTCTTGGTTTTGACCTTTGCGCTCACAAACCCCTCCAGGTCCTTGAAGGCGTTGGTCAATCCCTCGCTGGTGGTTGAGAAGTTGAGATTACGGACAAATAGCGACGCTGTCTCCAGCTGATCATCGGCGTCATCGCGTTCCAGCAACTCGGAAACCGATGCCTTCTGGACTCCCACAGCGGTATCTGTAGATGCTGGCCCTGTATGGTCTACGAATAGCCCTTTCGGGCCCTTTTCAAGGTACAGGACCGACTCTTTAAACCGTGAGTAGGCCTTCTTGACAAACGCGGCCCGGCAAGCGGCCGGTTGTGCGAACTGGACGATGGCGATGGTACCACTTGGCGGCATCAAAACTCTCAATACAGCGCCGTGTTCTTCGAATAGAGTCCTCAGTTCTTCCATGGAGGCACTTCGGATATTCTTCACTAGTATTGATGTATCACCTCGTTGTTGGGACTTGAACGCATCGATGTTCACCCCGTGTGACGTGAAGTACGTCTTGGCTTCATGAATCACAGTGGTTTCGGCAATTGCCTGCTTGACGGCAGCCGATGCATCTGTCGGATCCAATAGCTCGTGTTTCGAGACGCCGAGACGTTCAGCCATAGCCGTGTTGACAGCATCCTGGCTCATGAACAACGAATTCCAGTTGAAGGTGTTCGATGCAGCCTCGGCCTTTTTCTTAAGTAACTGCTGCTTTTTCAGAGGCAGTTTCGAGATTGTGAATTCATCAAGCTTATTCTCTCTCTTGGCGGAGGCTGGGAGAATGTGGATGATTCGACCCTGTAAGACTGAGCCGTCCTTTTGGAATGCGGCCACTGCGGCGGTGGGTTGTTCATACCTGACCATAGCAAAACCTTTGCCTTGGCCGCGGTTGTCCAACGGTACATGTACCTGTCGCCTTGTTAACGCAAAGCCCTAGCATCATACGGAGAAGAGAAGAAATCACGCCAACAGTCGGCCGTATTGTCAGAATCTCGAAGCATCTACTAAAATACCGAGCCCAGGTCTCATCAAATGCCTTTGGCATAAGCTGTCCCTATCATGGGATTCATCATTTGGACGGCCGCTGCGCGAGTGCGGAGTGGAAGAAAAAGGGGAATATTGGCTACTGCTTACCTCTGCAAGGTCTCCAAACTGGCCAAAGTACTCTCTGACGTCATTCTCTGTGACATTGTAACTCAGATTTCGCAGGAACAGCCTCGATGTCTTCTCGACTAGCTTCACATCGTCTCCGGTGTTCCGAGCTGTCGTAGGGGTGCCGTCTTTTGCCTCATCGGCATCGGGCTTGGGGCTTCCGTTTGCTCGCGCTTGCGGGTCGGGTACAATTGCGGCATTGGCTCCCGGTGGAGATACCCGTGCGGCAAACCCCGGGTCATCGGGGTCCATGAGGTCGAGCAAACGACTTGTTCTTGATCTGAGCCAGTCGTCGTCTGTGGCATCGGCCGATACTTGCGGAACGTTCCGAGCGGGTTCGTCTGCCGGCATGGACGCGGGGCCTTCATCATCTCGCACAAGGGGGGGTATGGCAATAACCTGGGCTTGACCGTCCTTGGCCAACTGTTTGGGATACCGCGCAGGAATGTCCTCGTACTCATCATCACTTTCCCCAGCTTCTAGGACAGCAGGGGGGGGCGCAGGTGTTGACTCTGGCTGTGGATCGCCGTTGGGTGTACTGTGGTCTCGGAGCTTTTTGGTGGGATGACCCATAACTTCGAGGTACTCCTGCAATTTGGGGTCCGCCTCATCCACCTCGTCTCGCTTTCTCTTCCTAGCGTCATCGCCCTGCGCCCGCTCATCCCCAAGTGGTCCGGATGCACGGTGTGCCAACGCAGCCTCTGCTTGACGTGGAGCATTCTTCACAGTTTGGAGCTTTGGATTTGAGTCTGCAATCTTTCACCCAAGGTTAGCACCGGCCCATTGACTTTAGCACAGGACTTTTTGCTTACTGGCTTGGCCAGATCAACGGCGATCCTAGACATGCGAATAAAGGACTTGTGGAAGTACTTGACGGCGGCTGCAGCATCTTGGTGCGACTTGTAACCAACAAAACCAATGCGGCGGTTGGGGATGAGCTTCACATCCGTAATCTCGCGGCCATGGGCCGAGAAGTGTTTGCGGAACTCGGCCTCAGAAATGGCAGGCGGTAGGTTCTTGACGAAAATCCTAGATGACTCCATGGTTCCTGATTTGTCGCTTCCTTTCTGCCACAGGCAGTGTCGGGGGGGCAACTCTACCGCGTGGTCATTTCTGTGACTTGGTGTGGTTTCTCGGCCTGCATTTTCCAACAAGGTTGAAAAAAAGAGTCCAAAGTAGTTTCCTGGTGTCCATTTTCCTTTCCAGAAATTTTAGAGCTGAGCCCCACAACTAGCCTTCTTATCCTATCGGTCAAGACGCCGGGAGCTCGTGCGCGCATCGCCCCCGGGTCTCCCAGCAACAGCCCTGTCAGGTTTCGAGTACCAAAGTTCACCGTGGCTTTCAACGACAAGGTGGGTACCTGTACTTGTCCAATGCATCAAAGGGGGGCATCCAGTGACAGCGCGTTCGGGGCGGTCGCTAGCCACGCTCGGCGCTGATCCCGACCCTGGAACATCGACCCCAAACAACTGAAGCACAAATCAAGTCGCCTTGATCTTCCCAACAGCATCGTGACTCTCTCACTTTACACCGTTCTCACACCTTGCAGTTCAGCAGCGCCCATTTCCCCGTCCGCATTCGCATCGCCGGTTCCAGGTACCTACTCTGACCTCCTTAGATATTGTTTGCTCGTATGTTGGACCCCCAAACGAAGGCCCACGATGCAAGGAGAATGGCGGCGTGACCATCTTGAGCAAACATCACCGCCAACCCCCCTTCCTTCCTACCGACCTCTGTTGCCGCCCGTTCTCTCACCACCAGCGGCCTTGTGCTTACCATTGAATAGCCCGCCCCCACGCTTCCAGAAGACACCATGCCTACCGACGAGGTCAAGCGAGCCAGGAGCACTTCCCCGGTCAATCGGGAGAAGCTCGAGGGTATGTTAGCCATGTCGTCTCTCCTGTGGACAGTTCCTTAGTCTTGGACAGGATCAGCTGATTGTGCATGATGTGTACTGCTCCAGCCCAGATCAAGAGTGCCGATATGGTATGTCCGTCATCTCGAACCACACCCATGCCGAGCCCGGACCATTAACACGCCAATTAACTCCAGACCGACGACATGCAACAAGAGGTTATTGAAGTGGGTACGTGAGAGCTGCAATTCAACCAGCCCCCTTTGGATTAAGGGGAAGAATAATGGGTCTAACCATATACTAGCTCAGGAAGCAATGGCAAAGTTCACTGTAGAGAAGGTTTGTATCCCCCTGACACGGGCGGCCCTCTCCCAGCCCGGGTCCACCCACGACGGTATATTGTACTGACAGTTACATGTAGGATATTGCTCAACACATTAAGCGCATCGTATGCATCCTACCGACCCCACGTTATTTAGTTCCTCGACTAACATGTCCCGCAGTTCGACGAAAGGAAGGGTCCCACCTGGCACTGCATCGTGGGCCGTAACTTTGGCAGCTTTGTCACGCACGGTAGGATTCAGTTTCCATTCCATCCCAAGCCACATATAGCCGCCCGCCGCTAACAAACAACCTCCGCCCACAGAGACGAAGCACTTCATTTACTTCTACCTCGGCCACTGCGCAATTCTACTATTCAAGACACAGTAGGGAAACGGCCTCCTCCGTTTTCTCTCTAAGCTGTAAAGCGACCCAGGCCGCTGTCTACCACACGTAGGCCCGCCTTAATACCCAGCGCGCAAGCCCCGAGAAAAAGGAAACGGACGGAGGATAATTGTCCCGTATTTGGGCAACTGGGACTGGCTGATCAATGCCGAACGGTGCACCCAGAAGTCGAGAGAATCATAGTGAAAAGGGAGCCACGTGCTCGGCGAGCGACGGGGAGGACCACGCGGCGATGGGCGCAGCGGCTGATCTACAGCAAAAGACTCCCATTGAATTTATGTATGTTATGGTCAGGGGTAGGGACCGGGCTACGATAAGCCCTCGGCCCGGCCGCTTCGTTCTGCGAATTATATTCATCCAGGCCTAGTTGCCACACCCGGGATTTTGGTTCTCTCGTTTCGCATTTGGAAGCCCCGTGACCACGACTATTACATGAGGTACAATGTATGGACACATTTCCACACAAGTCCAACAACGTAACCCGCATGGACCAGGCTGAATTACACGTCGTGCTGAATCTAAGGGCATACATGTAAGCTCGAACAGGCTCAACTCCACGTTCCCCATTGAAAGACAACAGCACATATTCAACATCGTAACATAAGCATATGAGGGGTATTGTTTGTGTTGTGCATTGACACGAAAACAAATCATCTACTCGTCACAGAAGGCTTTGACTAACTCCTTGTCATTCGCCCTAATATCGTGAGGATCCCGCCACCGACCAAGTACAAATAACCATAAAGGAAGATAAGCCGACACCAGAATAATTCAATTCCGCCCGGAAAGTGGGAGGGGGGACGCCAAACGTAGGGAGAAGCTAGGCCAAGCGCCACGCGATTTCAAATGCACTGCTTCTGAGACTTAACAGTCATAACACCATCACCCTAAAAAGGCTGTTGCTGCTAATCCTCCGGGGTTCAATCCTTCCCGTTGCTTCACTCCCAAGCTCTAGGACCCTTTTTTTCCGAAACACTTGAAAGAAAATAAATCTTGTAGAGCAAAAATAGGAATAGTGGTATCAAAGGAACCCGCGTTCCATCCTCCTCCTCAACGATGCTCAGACCTCCACTGCCGCATAAATCTCCGTCTTCATGCGGCTCAACTGTTGGTGCATATCCAGCAAATCCGTCACCTGGTCGGGATCGGGGTTATCATGGCTAGCAACATCGCGATGAAGCTGCAGATACCGGCCGTAAAACTGTCTGAACTTGGCCGCCAACTCGACCGTCTCTTGCGAGGGCCGCTGCCGCTTAGGCTTGCTCCCAGACAACGACTCCACCGGAGGGCGCTTCCGGGCAATACCAAGCCCAATACTGCTACTGTCGGTGGTGCTGCTAGAACTCCGCACGGCCACCTCCCGGCGCCGCTCGCGCTCCCGATCCCGTTCCCGGGGACGGGCAACACGATCCTGCTCAACCTCGGACGCATTCGTTGGCGGGGACAAAGCGAGCGGTGACGACTTTGTGGGCGACGTGTTCTTGGCCTTGGCCGCAGACACACCTCGGTTCTGGCTCGCATCGGAAGCTGTGCGGGCTTTGGCTGAATTGACGGATGCGGGAAGGGGCTTGGCGGGAGGTTTTACTCGCTTGCTCAGCGGCGTGCCAGAACTAGAGCTGTCGTCGTCCTCAGCATCCCGTGGGCGTTTCGGCTGCGGTCGAATCGGCTTGGCGATGACCTGGTCATGAATGGTATCCTTATCCTTCTCGGTCTTCCGCTCCCGCGGCGGAATCCTAGCCGCCGGGGTTGGTTTCGGCTTTGCTGCGGTCACCTCCTTGACCCCTCGCTTCGGCTTCTCCGCCGGTTTTGGGTTCTCGACCCTCTGTGGCGGCTTCGGGGCCGAAACTCCGGCGGCTTTGCTCTTCCCCATCGACGTCGAAAGGGGTACCTCATCGTCACTCGAGCTTGAGTCGGAAACGAACTCTTTGGAGAGAACCCGTCCACCTTTGGCCGGTGCGGCTTTGGCCGTTGGCTTGGGAGCCGAAGTCTTCGAAGCAGCTTTTGAGCCCGGCGCCGGCAAAGCCTTCTTTTTCGTAGTAGACAACAGTCGCTTCGCCTGCGCTTCGGATGCCGACAACTTCTTCTTCCCAGTCGACGTTTGCGAGTTAGACCTTGACATAGCCTCGCCACCTTTGCCCTTCGCCACTGGTACGCCGGACTCATCCTTTTCCGAGTCGCCGCCGCTCGCGCTGGCAGTCTCGGCCCGCTGCTTCGGCGCCGTAACTACGGGGCCCTTGGCCAGGGTCACTTGTAGATTGCTCAGACAAATACCTTTGCCGCGATCTCTCTTGGGCAGGAGCTTCTGCCACAAGGGGTCCGAGGCGCTCACACGGTTGCGATCGAACCACTTGATCGCATTGCTGATCGCCTTCTGTCGACGATCCTCGCTTGAATACTTGTACTCAAAGATATCGAGGTCTTTCCAGCAGTTCTTTCTCAAAACCCACGTCTGGAGCTCCTCGTCGAAAGACGCCACTTTGTCGAGAACGGTGTTGAATTCCTCCTCCGTCCCCTCATTCCATCTCGCCAGGAGGCCGTCCCGGGACAAATCTTGAACGGCAAGTTCATGCATGAGCGGGAAGCGTTGCTGCTTCGCTTTATCCTGTGTTGTTTGTCCGGAAGCCGCAAGAGACGGGGAACCGATCCCACTCAATGCTGGGCTGGGAGGCAATGATCGAGGCGAATGGCCGCCATGCGTATCAAGCAGTCGCCCGAATTTCCCCCCTTTGGGGTTGGGTAGACCACCAACAATAACAGCGCTAAAACTCATGTCAGTCTCAACTCGCTTAGCAGACCGCTCAGATATTCATACGAGTTCTCCCTCTTGTCCGCCGCCAAGTTATCAAACGAGCGCTTAAGCTTTGCTGTAGCATCCTCAGGGCCGCCACGAGAGTCTGGATCCTTAGTCGAAGAGCCGGGGCGGGCTGCGGCAACGGTCGGTGCGGCTTTCGAGGTTACCGCCGGAGCTCGGGCTGGGGCCTTCCTCTGTGTCGGTTTGCTCGCCTTGGTAGCCTTGGTCTTCAAATATTGTTGGTGTTGCTTCGGGGTTTTTAGGATCGACATGGTGGGGTTTGGTAGCTTGGTTGCGCTCGATGGGCGATCAGAATTGGCCAAGAAAAGATCGTAACCGGAAGGGTCGGACGTCTTAGGGATGCGAATCTCGTGATCGTCAAAGAGGAATTTCTGAAAATAGCGCAATTAGAGAGTGGTTCAAGGCCATGTAAAGGAGTGGTAAAGTCCAGAAACAAAAAGACAGTATATATATGCAAAGGAAAACCAGCGGAAGTATAATTCCTCAAAGTGGCCGGTTGTACGTTGTCCCGTTGGTTAAGGTTCTATTGAGGGTGCTATTGTGAAGCACCGCTCAATAGGTACAATAGGAGAGGGTGCAGAGGCGGGGGGTTCAATACTTACTGGGTTGCTTCCCAGTGCCAATTGAATATCTCCGCCATTCTGAACACAGGAAATCATGTCCTCAATGACACTTCCACTTAAACTAATGGCGAACGCCTGCTCGGGGAGCTTGGCCGCAGACCCGACCGAGCCCTCAAGCAGGACGCCTCCATCGGGAAAGTCGAGCACCATCCTGAACCTGCTTGAAGCGCCGAGCGTAAGGTTCCCGCCAGCTCTCCCTCACTCCTCCCCTCGCGTCCCACAGGTTGGCAAGAAAGGACTCCGTCTCGCTTTAAGGCAACTAAACCCTCGAAAAAGTCGATTATTTGTAGTACAGGGCCGTCCGGATACAATCCTGCTCCAGGCGCGATGATCCAGCTCAAAATGTCCGAAACGCTCGTGTTGGAAGACGGTCCGCGAACAAGTTAAGGGAGTTCTGGTCGGGGATGTCGGTGGCCTCTCTGATAAACCAAGAAGCAGGGTGCGTGGTGATAGTTTTAAAATAAGAAGTCGCTATGACGGGGAAACGCCCAGTGAGGAGGTTGTCACAGAAGTTGAGAGGTTTAGCTTGGTCAAACTCCAAACATTTGATCATGCAATCCAGCCAGCAATCATGTACGTGTTGAATCTGATGACGTCCCCGGCGAGGCGGCTGCCACTCGTTCGATTAGTGTTCGGTACCATGCGGGCGTAAGGCATGTGGTAAAGGCACAAGCAGGATCGAATCGACGAGCACGTATGCACTGACGTGGTGCACTGGAACGGGAGAACGGGAGATCGGGGACCGACAAAGCGCGCAAGACTCGTGGTTAGTGGACAAAGGGGGGAAACGAGAGGCTGGCCCAAAGGAGCACAAAATTGAGTCTGGAGATTGAGAGGACAATGAGCGCAGACGGGAGAAGAGGCGAGCTCCCAGAAAGAGGAGGGCAAAAGAGGGCGTGCACCAAAGAGAGGCACCGAGGGTGACAAGCAAGAGATGGGACAGGGCGGAGCGGGTGGGTTGCACGATTCCCAGGTCCCCACACGTCCTTTGGGTCGGGCGCCCCACCCGGAATGGAAAACGTACTGAGCTTGTCACTTGTGGGTCTGGGAGCCCCACTGCGCTCAGTCAAGGGCCTAAAAACAGAGCGTAGCGGCCTCCGACTTGCCCAAATGGTTGGGGTTGAAAGGGTGGGGTCCGTGGCAGTACTATGAGGTACCTTGAGGAACCGGCACGACCTGAGCTGCTGCTTCTTTTTGCCTGACAGGGGGCAGGGATTGCGGGTGAGCAGCATTGTGCATGTATCCGATGCGGACCATGATCTCCAAGCGACGCCAGCAAAGTCATCGACACCTGATCGGAGCTGGGCCGCGACTGCGAACAACTTCTTTGAGGCTCTGCCGGCGTCAAGGCGAGCCGGCCAGGGGAGCGGAACTCAGGTCTCACGAGGCTCCAAGGTCAACACCGAGGTGCAGACCATCAAGCCCTCTCTCTAGTGGAGTCCCTTCGCCTCGCACTGGTGGAGCTGGAAGTCCGCTGCGTTGGGTTTCGGGGCCAGGAACGGGCAGACCGCCCAGTCTCACCCAGCAGCCGCCAAAACCGGTCGCCCTGCTCACTCTCCAAACATCAAGGCCGTGATGGCCGGCCCCCTCGTGATAAGAATGATGGTCGCTTAACAATGTGATTTATTTTCAACGAAACTAGGTTCCGTTTGGGTGGGCCTTGAAGCTCGGCGTGGCGCTCCACCTTCTCGAGCAACGACGAGACCCGGACCAGTCCCGCGCTGTTCCCTGTCCCGCCCAGGTCTCAACCAGGCATCCCCAAATCTCCCAGGACAACGACATCGCTTATTTGGTTTCCTCTTCACGGCGAATTGAATATTGTAGCATGTGTAGCCCGTCTTGAGTCTGTGTAGAATTGACCCGAACAAGAGGCGCTATTGTTTATTGCACCTCCAACGGCCATACTCCTCCAAATCGGACGAAATAGCAGACAACTTACTCAGGCTGACGCACTTGGCAAGCACTGCCATGCCTGCTCTTTTCGTACCTGAGTGGCCGCCAGTCAATCCCTGTTTCTTCTTGCAACCTGTCGAACCAAAGGAGAGGAACCGAAACAAGGGAGAAATGAGATTGGGCGGCATTGAATTAGGATCATTATTTATAATAACTGTAGAATGTAAAAGCTGAATATAACAGGTGGCTTCGTGGGAGTGAGTGTCAAAGAAGGTCAACAATCGACGTTTTGTTGTCGGGCAGGTTCAAATGGGTTGTCGTCAGCCCTCGAATGGAATCCCTATTCCCACTCAAAGCCGACGCAGCACTCGCCCATGGCTTCGAGTCTTACGAGGTGTAAAGATACACACTTTTCCTCAGGGCCCTTCACCTCATGTTCGAGTGATTCTGATTTATCGCTCTAACCGGTTCTTCCGACCCAGAGGCGCCGAGTATCGCTCAAGCACATCCTGCCCTGTTGCCGGGTGCTTCAACAACCATCACCTATCCGTACTCCGGCTTTTCCGAGAGGGAAGTTCAATACCACACCAGTAACTTGCTCACACACAGTAAGCCGCTGGTGGCACGGCCCCACTCAACACCGAGTTCTGAGAGCCTGAAAAAATCAAGACAGGACAATGAACCACAACGATTGTCCTTTTCAAGTTTCGATTCCGTTCATGGTGGGTAAAAACCCCTTTACAAACCCCATCGTTCAAACGGCCGACCGAAAAAAATCCAAATTTCTCATCCTCAAACTTTCTCCCTGTTACACCGGGGGCGACACCCACCGGCCTCACCGAATTCCGCAGAACTTGGGATGTTCTTCAGCGGCACGGTGACCAAACCTGGAATGTTGCATCGTCATACCGAATGACAGCACACCGTCTGCCTTCGCGAGACGGCAATGACACGGCAGCCACAGAGCATCTTATAGGTTAACGCATTGCATCGAATTCGAACAATTTAGACGCTCATAGATGGCGATGGCAATGGGCTTGCAGGGCTAGCTTAGCTCGCTTACTCATTAACATGAGAAATGAAGTTTTCAAGCTCGTCTGACGTACCAAACGACCCCTACACACTTCCGGGTCATGTTGGTTCTCTGTATTCTCCTAGCTAGCCACTAGACAGGCGGATCATATCGGTTTCTGTACCAGATGTAAAACGTCGGCAGATCAAAGGGATTGCGCGAAAGAAGTAGGTTTCGAGTTGTTAAGATCAAGAACAAGAAGGGCCCGACTCCCACCAAGCCGGAAAGAGACGGCACCTTCCAGGTTGGTATGCCTTCCCAATGCATTCCCCGCTGTGTCACCCCCGAGAAAAGACAACATGTATGTACATACCTAACTTCTCCCTCCCTTGAGAAGCGTGATATCGGCAGCCATTGGCGAGGTTTTCGTTTAGCGGGATGCCAAACCTCCCACATCCTGCATGTCTTGGATCCTCTGCAGAGTTCCTGTGACCGACACATGGATCCGGGCCAGCCCGGTTCCAGTTCCGTCAACAGCTGAAGAGTCGGGAACCAGCATGGCGCCAATGGTGAGATTCGCCAATCCAAAGTGGCATCGGCACACCCCACTTTAGTGTAGTCGTCGGGCCGTCCCAAACTCATCGAAGGTCGCACCCAAGATACCATTTCCCTTTGAATGCACACCTGTGTCTCTTTAATGGACAACAGCTGCTAGACAAAAAGAACAGGAAGATAATAAGAAAAATAAAGAAAGCAAAAATAGAGAAAAATGAACAGACCTGTCTCGCTAGTCGATTGGTCAACGCAGGAGTGGTCCGATGTAGCCGACGACACCTGCATACCACATTTACCCCGCGCCCACAAGCATGCGTCGGGTCGTAACATGGTATGCGTATATCATGGAGAAGAACGGCGTCACCCGACATTATCCATAGAAAGCCGACTCATCCACCGCCGTTTCAACCCCGAATTCGGCCATTGTGAAGCAAGAGAAATGATCATTCCGCACTACACTTTGGAATCAGAAGCCAAATAACTTGGCCACTTCGCCGCTGAGCCACATCCTCAGCATTTCAAATGGACTCAATTCCCAAATGAACAACATAACCCGTGCCGAACCCAGCATTGCCGCATTTCTCTGACAGTTTCCGACCTCCTTATTTTCCACGGTCACCGATCATCCTGACCCCGACGACCCGAAAGCGCCCACTCCACTCCCACCATGAAGAGCGTGCCATCGCAAGGTACGTTGCAAATAAACAACGTCCACCCACGTTGCATGCTCTGGACGTGCTCCGTCCATGTACGAGATCGATAATATCCATATTTAACTGCACCGGAAGGAGGTGGCCCGCAAGTTCTGCCGCGCCATTCGGCCGGCTTATCCTGCCGGGGTAGGTTCGGAGCTCGGAGAGAAGGCTTCTAGAAGGTGAAAACTCCGCCCGCTTTTCCCGGACTCGGCCAAACAGAAAAAGAAAAGCACCACTTGCCGATTTTGTTCCAAGGGGTCGAAAAAAAGAAAAAAGAGACGGAAAAAAAAACAGGATCTCACGGGCCGCTCAACAACAAAGCCCCGATAGAATACTAGTCTAAAAAGGTCAAAGAAATACGAAGTACTAGTCTAAAAAGGCCAAAGAAAGCCTTCGGCACCAACACCCGTTTCAACCGCTCTAATCCTAGTTTTCAAGACCAAAATCAAAACTACCCCAATAAAGATGTACTGGAGATTGTGTATTTACGGACGTCGTTTCAAAAAGGTATGTAATTTGTTGACGACACCTCCCCTTCAATTAACTACCTAGAGATATTGTGTAACGAGGCGGCATACCGCTCTCTTCCGTCCCAGCCCTTGTATTTCGTATGACCTCATCTACCTCACATCCACACCAGCATTGTGTCGGTTGTGTAATCAGGATCCCACGTTTCCCTGTGATGGCCAACCGAGGTGAACAACAACCTGGTCCCGCCGTTTTATCGTTTGGCATCTAGGCATCCTCACCCTCTTGATCTATTTGTTGAGAAATCATGCCTTGGTGTGTACTCTTCATTGTGCATGAGAGTGGAGGAGCAGCATGCCTAAGTACTGTGTCAAAGAAGGTGATGAAATTGTTTGGCATATAATTGCATACTCTAGAAGCTTTTTCGGCAGAAAAGAATGGCGAGTTCGCCCATTCGTGAGTTGAGGTAGGGAAACGACACCAGTCTTTCATAAACTGAACCGGGTTCTGGAAGCAGATTTGACAAAGGTTTGTCACACTGACGCAGATATGCAAAACAACAAATAGAGTGGGAAACACCCTCTACATCCAAGGCGGGCAAATTGTTTTGCAGCCGTAGTTGTCCATTTGCCTCAGCATACACCTACGGATTTTTATTTGGAGCATCCATGTTTGCTCACTTGCTTTGAACCATGTTCTCTGCTGAGAAGCTAAGTATGGTGAAGAAACAACAACGCTTTGCAAAGCTGAGATTGTTACAGCAGCAAACTAAAGGAGTGTTTGCACAAATGACAATGCATGGAACAATAAACTGCACGTGAATGGAAGGAAACTATCTTACAAGACTGCTTGCTAGAGGCAAAGGAACTATACAATCCATTGACTTCTAGTATGTCTCACTGCCTAGACAATTATCTTCATGACGATACCATAGTTGGGCCCAATCCCAAATACTGCCGTTGATGAGAGAACGACTCTCCAGTTGAGATGGACTTCTACAACTACAGCCTACCAAACTATTTCAACCACGGGGTATACCCACCGGTGTTCTCCGCCGGTATAGAGCCTCTCCAGAAAAACGATCCAGATAACGGCCAAGACATCTTCCTGCGAGATCCCGACTTGTCGGACCACGGCCAGCCCATCAACAACATGCCTTACTGGACCAGGACAGCAAGAAACTATACCCCCCGACTATCGCACCATCGCGGCTCAGACACCAAAAACCACGAGACCAATAAGGCCACAGATGCACCAGGGTACCAAACCCTCGGCATCGATGCTGCTCTGCGAAATCTCTACCACGAGGTCACAGCTTCGCTGAACATGTTTCATACGTTTGTGCAATGCTTTGAAGCCGATGTTGAACCTCTCAAGGGTTGGGCCGACGAGCACACCCTTGACACCATCTGGAGGAACAAGATCAGGAACCAGTTTTTTGGCGACAAACGGGAGCGAGCCAGGTTCCATGGCGTGGCAACGCGGATTATGTCCATTCGACTGGCATTGAAGGGTGCTGCCAAAGATACCAAAGCCTTGTTGAGGGTGTGGGAAAACAAGTACGCAGCTGAGCGCCAGCTTCGAACGGCTAAGAAAGCCGTTGTTTTCTGTGACGGTCTCATCGATCTCGCGGGAAGAACGGCAAGCGAGCGGCAGGCTTGCAAGGAGCTGTTGATCGAGCTCGAGGATACGAAATGTCTTCTTGACCGAAGGAAGCATCCATGGATCTGTAAGTTAACCGGCCTAAGCCTCTCCAAGCCGCGGGGCACAAAGCAAACGTGCGCTAAGACAGGCAGATGGTGAAGATGAAGTCGACGAACAAGCCGAGAGTTGGAATGAAAATGACGAAGCGAATGGTGAAGAGGGGCTGAACGATTAGTCTCCGGCGGGTGAGAGTCATGATGGGAGTGTGTAATAATTCGAAGTCTCATGTCGGTTTGGGGTGGTTAGTGTCATCTGATGAGGTTGCCAGTGTTGGAGGGAAACAATCGTTAGCAGTATCCTTGCCCTTCGAATTTTCTTGAGGGATTGTTTATTTACCTGGGCAAAAAAAGTTGGTGAAGCCTTGTCCTCGACAGAATAATCGGAATCGAATTGTGTGGCCATGGTTCTTCCATAGAGGGAAAACCACAGCCACACGCTGCGTATTGCACTCAAGTGTTTGGCACAAGCTTCGTAACGGCTCTCCCAGAGGAACCATGGGAACCGAAACCCGTGTTGCCACAGGACGGCCCCAGGTCCTGCTTTTCTGATGCCAATTACAGACGCGCGGTGGCGCCAAGCCGTCACCGGCAGAGTCCGCAACCCATCGAACACCCGAAAGCGCAGACAGACGAACTAAAGAGCGAAGCGGATTCTCCGAATTTCTCATATGCCAGTAGGGGTTTTGAAAGCACTACTTTCGCAGGCTTTCCGTTTGTAGCATAGAAACGCAGCGTTGAAGAGGACAAGGCTTCACGAGGAGAAGAAAAAGAGAAAGGAAAAGGAAGTCAAACTAAAGCCCGAAATAGTTTTGGAGTCACCCAAAAAATTGCGGCTCGTGCGACCCCAGCCAATCAGTTGCCAAGGATCGACCCACCAAGAGGGCTTCTGCTCGAAACGGTCGACCCCCACTCATCAGCTTCACCACCCTCATCCGTAGCCCAAAAAAAGTTTCTCCCGAAACAGAGCGGGTCACCGCCGGACCTAGCGCCCCTCGTGGGCTTTCCCAGCGACACGGGGGCGGCTAGGGCGGTGTTTCTCGATGGTCTTTCCCAATGGCTGCTTCCCCCCAGCTTTCTAGAACCGGAAGGAGGCATTTCCGTTATCCATGTAAGCAACGATGCCTACCGTAATCATGCCCGTCTCAAAATGTCCCTTCCCTTATGCGTATTCTATGATGTCCTCCTGTTAAACATCCCGGAATCGTTTGCGGCTTCTTCAGTGAAAATTTTACCCCCCACCCCATCCCCAACGCCGTTGGTCGTACTTCTCTTTCTTTGATATTCACGTCCTGTGGTTACTCAACGTATCATGCTCCTACCGGTTGCGGAGGATGAGTTTCCTCACCTCTGGCAAAGACCCAGTTATGAGGTGCTTCTTGCACGGCTGCAAAAGCTCCGAGTGGAACCCCGGGTTTGGGGCCTTCGTGATTCGCGCGCCGAGATCCTGAAGGACCAGGCCGCCACTGCTCACGACAAGCGAGAGATCATCTCATTTTTATCGACGATCATATCTAGTAGTTTAGGATGGCTTGGGGACGACGACGAGAGAGAAGTTATATGGGAAGAAGCTAGCAAGCGCATGTCGGAGCGGTGTGGTCGGACAGGTATGTCTGGCCGATACGGCCGTAACGGGCTTGTATTGGTTGAGCTTTGAAGAGAGGGGCTAACGACGGCCGTAGCGATGGGCGAAATCACAAGGTGTTGGCCCTTCTCAAGCCGAGACTATGGCGCCTTCGACCTCACGATCCGAGAGCCACCCCTGGTTGGAGACTCGCTGGGTCTCAAGACGTGGGGTTCGTCGTACGCTCTCGCCCAACTTCTCCAAGATATCGCTGCCCGGTGCCTGACACACCTATTTGTCCTTGGCGCCATGTCATCATCACATGAAGTCCTTGAGCTTGGGTCTGGCACAGGGCTTCTTGGTCTCGCAGCAGCCTGCACCTGGCGAACTAGCGTTGTGCTGACGGACTTGCCCGAGATCATCCCTAATCTGGCGTACAATGTGTCTCTCAACCAGAAGGTTGTGGAGGACCGAGGTGGCAAGGTCGAGGCCACTCCGTTAACATGGGGTAGTGGCAGGGAAGGTACCGCCGCGATGTTCCGGGAGCTGAATCGTTACAAGGTCAGAGATCTTTTTCGGGACGTACCCAAGCGGCCTGTAGATTTGCTGACACACCGCTAGCTCATCATCGTCGCGGATCCCTTGTATGACGACGATCACCCAGACCTGCTCAGCGCCGCACTCGACGAACAGCTTTCTAAGTGCTCGGATGCAAGGGCTCTTATCATGGTACCACAAAGGGATGAGATCACCCAAGGTCTTCTCAATACTTTACGGGACAGCTTAGCTAGAAGCCAGAACCCTCTGGTCTGCCTAGAGGAGAACGTTGTGGCTGGCCAAGATGACTGGGGCGATGATGATAACAGCAGCGAGACCTCGAACATCGGATTCTGGTGGGGAGTTTTTGGGCGAGGTAGGGCTTAGGAGCTTAATCTGGGCGCAAAGTTAAGGGTTTGGTAATGTTCTCTAATATGCCACATACCGGACGCGTAGACTTGTTAGAGAAGAAAGATAGACCGGATGATAGACATACACTTCGGCACCATTAGATAGTTGCTATAATCATGATGGGTTTGAACCGTCATCCTCTCTCTATCCCGATAACATCGGCTGGTGAAAACGTGATACTATAGGACTTGAATTAACGAGACGTATCTAAGGATAGTGTTCACAAGTTAAAGACCCTCCTTTCATGCCCGATTCCACACATTCTACACTTTTCAGGAGGATTCGCCGCCTCCCTGAGCCCCCGTAGATTCGTACATGAGTCGGCGTGATGCGTACCGGTCCAGGAGGACCGGTACATACCGGCATTGGTGGTTGTGTGTTTAGTCATGAAGCAGTCTTAGACATACATGTTTCGGGACCAATCTGGCCCGAAACAGAGGAAAATGGGAAGGGGATACGCGAAGCAAAGGGCTATGGCTGTTCGTACAGTACAGGGTGAATGGGGGACTGGTATCATAGGTGGAGTGGGCAGATCACACTCGGTTGAGAGCCTCCTCGCCACCAATGAATCGACCGAAGAAAAGACGTGGTGAAATGAGTTGGATAGTGGCTGCGATTCACAAAACGGAAAAGGCTATCGTTAGTTCCCCCCTCGTCTCTTGTGTCTATCTCATGTGCTCTGTAGCCGATCATCAACGACTAGCCTTCCGGCGATCCGGGTACACACGTTTCTTATTCTCGGGACGAAGGCTTCCCCCACCACCATCATAACTCTAGCCAACCTGGCGCATTCTTACACCGACCACCCCCATCGGCCAACCGTGGGTCATTGACGGAATGAGAAAACGGGACAACGTGACAGGATGAGTTCCAGAGCGTCATAAATTTAAACCTATCCCCAAGTATTTTGCACCAGACTAAAAAAACACATGGCAGAAAGAAGAGTGCTTTGATAAACCAAAACCCCTCGCCAGGCCCAGCGCCTAATATCGAACAAAAGAACGTGATTTGTGAGATCAAAGACGGGGTATCTACAGAAATAAACTCCGACAAGATAGAAATAGGGGAAAAGCATTATTCATGCTGGATACGGCGTAGGTAGGTTTGGGAAGATCAATAAGCCGTTCCAAGCGAGGCGCGCGGTGTTGAATAAGGGGGGTGGACCAATGCGGGGCTTGAGTCCGAGGAGTTTTGTGTGACACGGTCTACTCTGCGGTGGCTAGAAGGACCGGGAGATGGTTTCGAAGTATGTTTGGTATACGTTCTGGGCGGAACTGTGTTACTAAGAACACAGATCGGGGTATCGCCGTGTCGGTAATGTGATCATTTAGACGGCGATACTTAAATTCTTCCTCGTTTCCGCGTCATCTGGCAAAACACCAAATACGAGACGGAAAAGGTCTCGGAGAAAGCTGTACTGATTAGAGCGAAGGGTCATCCAGCTGATGCTCTTCGCGATTTCGACGGCCGTGAATCGCTTTCCGCGGACGGGAAGACTGGCTGAGGCGCGGAAGGCGTTGTCGGTAAGAATAAGGTTTCTATAGCTCTGCAGCAAGGTTGCGTGGCTAGGTAGAGAGCCGAAGGAGCCTGTTGGGAGAGTCTTGACAAAATTTTGTAGAGAGACTGCACCGGCGGTACCATTCGCTGCTGCAGCATCCCGGTTGAAGCCGATGTTCATCGCAGCCTTCAATATGAGCGCCTTCACACGTGTGATATTTGTATCCTCCACTGTGGCGGCGGTTGTGGCAGTGCTCGAAGTATGTTGACTGCTTTGGGTGTAGCCCGATAAGTTGGAGGCATTGCTTGACCAGCGTCCACCGCCACGGTCGCTGCGCGAATCTGTTGAAGTGCCTAGAACCAGAATGTTGGGCATCTGAGGACTGGCGTCGGGCGAAACGGGGGTGTCCTCGAATTCAGTGACCGGTGTCTCGGGTACGACGGGGTGTGGTCGTGGCCGGTCGATATCGGCGAGGCTGCGGAGGCTCTCGCGTTTTGAATGTAGTGAAGCGCGGCTACCAGCGTTCGACCGGGAGACATCAGAGGAGTGACTACCCATCGGCTGGAGGCCGAAGGGTGGACCGGCAGCGAAAAAGTTGATCTGGTTCGGGCGTGGGGTGCCCCGATCTGGTCGTATTTGGGTCCAACCTTCACGGAAGATATCGCAGAGTTCCCAACATGCCTGGACGGCTGAGCCAAGGAGTTCTTCATCGGGTGCTTTGCCGTCTCGTCGATTTTGTCGTAGGCTAAATAGCATCTCGGCCAACGACCAACAGGCTCGGAGGAGCGAGTCTGTTTCTTCGGCGAGGTCACTGCGTTGTTTCATGAGGCGATGGCAGAGCGTAATATAGAAATCTAGGGTCCGTTCCCTGAATGCCTCGGGGAGGGACCGGCTGTCCTGTGCGCTGTAGAGGCTGGAGAGATGTGTTAGACAAACCCCAGAGCACGGAAGCAGAATTTAGAGTAGAGTAGGGCATGAGGAGTCAGTTCGTACTGGTTGTTCAGCTCGAAGCTCACCCGGAGGATTGAATCGGCTGTCTCATCCTTCTTCAGTCGTACATCAAACAATGATTGACAGAAATCACGGCAGAGGTCGAGGTTCGTTCGGACACCATAAGACTCGGAAATATCGTCCCGGCTTTGATAAAGTCGCTTACAGAGCTTCCAGCAGCTCTTCCATGCTTTCTCGTGGGCATCCGGTGTTCCCGAGCTGTTGAAGACACGCTCTCGGTGGATCGAGCTAAGGTTGGCGAGTGTGTTGCACAGCGTCCAGCACTCCTCAAGGGCTGCCTTGAGCGCTTTGACCTCGGTATCCTGCCCAGGCGAAGGCCCCGGGAAATCGTCCGCCTCATCATACTCGTCATCATCCGCGTCCTGCTCATGACTTTCGGGTATCACTAGATGTAGCAGGGGGTGGTCAGATTGATCATCATCCTCCACGAAACCCACATGACGAGACTTACACTCCAAGCTACTGGCAGTACTTGATCGTAACTTCGAGGGGTCGCCTGAAAGCACATCTTCTAGTTTTTGGGCTTGTGGCGTTGGCGCGTCTAGCCCAAATACTACCGGCTTCACCTTCGTGTTGACCACGGGCGGAGGCAGTTGGTTTGGGGGTGTCTAAAACCAAAGTCAATACATCAAGTCCGTTGAGGCCGCGTAGACCGGACTGTGAGTTCAAAATCATACCACGGTTGATGGTTCACTTGGTGGAGGGCTGCTTGCGTTTGTACTCTCTACGCTGGCGATGCTAGCCGTGTTCGACTTCGAGGCTGCATCGCTTGACTGCTGGCGGCGATTTCCCTGGTAAGTATGGCGGCCATGCTAAAATGACGAGGATGAAGGGCATACCCAATTCTGAAAGCCAGGGGGCGCATGTATCACTGAGACAACCTCTTCGCTGAGTGGCCGTCGGATGTTGTCAGGGATGTTGGTCCTCAGCATCATGAGCTAGCGACATTCCGGTCAGCCGACTGTATCTTGCGCATCGAATCCATCACTACCGTACCGAATTTCGTACATGGCCGTTTTCCTGCTCGGCATTCTCGGCCGCTTCATCTTCAATTTCTGTGGTCTCAGTCCCGTTGGACGTTACGGGAGAGGGGCCGACGATATCACTGCTGGGGCTCATCAAGTGGGCCGAGCTTGGCCTTACGAAGGAATTGGGACGGAGGGATTGTGAATCGGGACCGGAGGAGGAGCTATGTCAAAAACATGGGGGTTAGAGTTCGTAATGGGGGACGCAAGGTATGCAGCGGGGACGGTGATTTCGTACGCCATATACTGAGAAGATAGGGAGCGCGGTGAGTCTGGTCCCGTGGAGAGCGACATTTCTGCGGCATGCGACAGATACCTCGAGGCGATGGATCCCGTTGACGACCTCAAGGGTGCCTCAAGAGCCATCGCGCCCAACCGTAGGTAGTGGGGCAAGCCGAAGTCGAAGAACGGGAAGAAGTTTTGCAGCTCGTGGTGGTGTTTTCCGCCGATCCGGCTTAATGATACAACAATACCGGGTCGGTGTTGGGCAGCAGCGAGGTCTCGCAAAGGGGCGCAAAAATTGGCGGAGGATTTGACGATATCACACTCGATGGGGAGGACGAGGCGGATGGGAGGAAAGGAAGTCTCGGCCGTCTGTTGCTCCTGGGTCTGGGAAAATGTTGAACAAAAACCGGTAGCCCCGCCCTGCAAGTTGGGTCGGTTGGTTTGGAAGAATGATTCCTTGCCTTGTTGCTGGGAATGGCAGAGCACGAATCGACGAATGGAGTGGCGAAGGGATGCCTCTCGGGTTTGCAGAGATCCAAAAGCGGGTGCGCGTAGTCTGATCCAGGTTACAGCTTTGGAGCTTGGATTGGACTTTCCTCGGTGATGATGAGACGTCGAAGTTGAATATCGAGTTGTACCGAGGAAGGCTAGTATCGCCTATCTTTGTCCTGCGGAAGAATAGCGACAGGCACAAGAACGGCCTGAGCAGCGCGGCAACAAAAACGGACAGACGGTAGCGGGACTTGTTGAGCAAATACGGAGCGCAGCTTAGCGGGGTGCGACAAGTGGCCAACGAGCGTGACTGTCGACTCTCTTCTGGCGGCGAACCTGTCGACGCGGGCAAAAGCGGCGGGGTTCGGCGGAGGGAATTCTAGCGCTAGGTGCGTGAGTCGTGACTGGTATGAGCGGTTGACGAACGCACGTTCTCTGCGCTTAAGAGGAGCGCGACAACCAAACGGGAAGAAGATGGCGGCGGCGCGCACTTACTAGTGGTTTACTGGGAACTCAAGGGCCTCCCTGGGCAAGTGGGCGCCTTACCTGAACAGGGGCAAGACTCTTCGACAACACCACCAACCGACCGAGCCTGCAAGCGCATGCAGCAGCACTTCCACGGCGCGGCCGCAACATGAACGACACAGTCTCGGGAACAAACCCTGGTCCTCGCTTTCGAGGCTGTGGCGCTTGGACCGGGGCAGAAACAGTGACTCGGGCGGGCGAAGGAAGAAAACTACCAGACAATTGTTGTTTGCCGAAGAACTTTTGGGCCGTTTCTCGTGCAACCCGGACCGTGCTTGTCGGATGGTTAACGCTATGTTGTTGACCGCCCCGTTGTGATCCTCTGATGAAAGAGCGCGAAAGCGCGCGGAGCGGGAGCAGCAGCAGCAGCAGCAGCCCCGGCGGCGTGGCAGACAGTCCAGTCGCAGAAGAGCAGAGGACCTCCCGCCCATTCAGACAAGGGACCGATGCGTGTTAATTCTGCTCTGGCCAGTAGGAAGTCAGCGACGAGCCCCTCCTTCTGCCGATGGGCTGCATGGGTCGTGGCGCCGGCGCTTAGCACAACTTGTGGCTCCTCTTGCCCGCAAGTTAGCGGTCATGGATTTACAAACCGTCCCTTGTCCGCCATCATTTCGGGAGGGGGCAAGTAGGCATTTTCTGGAGCTACACTACCAACTCGCAACATCCTGGATCGTCATCCTGGTTCCCCCCCCAGCCAGTTCATCCCATCTCACCTTGACACTAGTGGAGGTAGTGGACAACTGTAGTGTACAAAGTTGATAAAGGCAGGGAAAACAGACGGAAGTACATAGTATGTCTCGTTGAGACATTCCCTAACGGGCAGACTTGGTAGACACGGGAATGAGGCTTGATCCTGCTCCCCAGATAGTCAGCACTGCTTGTTTTGGGAGACCAAAACCTGGACGGAAACATGGCCGAGCTCGGGAAGAGCAGCGGGCGAGAGTCAGAAAACGGTAGGGTCGCCCGCGAATTGTTCATCGGATCCGAAATCTCCGGGCACCGTCCCGCAGGATGCACAGTGCTATGTTAATCTAAACCCGCGCTTAGCACCGTGCATGGGATTAAGGCTAGTCACAACTGGCTTGGAATTGGAAGGAAGCGGTTGTGGGGAGGGAAACTTAGAAAGTAAATCTCGATGCAGGTTTGGGCAACGAGCAATGCTGAATAGACATAAACCTCAGGCTATGAAGGCAAACATCACGGGAAAAGGGCATGAACCAGGGTATAGGGTAATAGGATGCACGCCGATAGCTTCGAATGTTGGCGTGCCGCATGGACGAACTTTCGGGTGGGGTTGATTGGCTGGCTCGACAAGGGTTCGAAGTCAACGACAAGTGGTCTCCCGACTGTTTGGTTCAGGTCCTATTTTGGCATAGCGGGGAGCAAACGCGGTTAACAAGGATGGGACGAATCTGCGTCGATGTGCTCGCGAAGCGAGTTATGATCGCTTCTCCCATCAATCAAGGGAGATGTCGACCGTAGTGTAGGTTGTTTGTTTCACGGGAGACATTATCAAAAGGTAGACGCCACCCAGTCTCATCAGCCGCAATTTAACCCTCCATAAGCTGTTTGATTTCCCTAGGCGATGAGAGAAATGTGGTGTGGAGTTGCTCGAGCTGTTCACTCTACATACCAAGTATATCGTCAAGTACAAGAGCACGGTTGTCCACCTGCGGACAATGATGCTTCTGATCGGCGGTTCAAAATATGGAACTTGGTCTAGTCTGGGGGAGCACCCTTAAAGAGAGATGATACTCCGTAGTAGGAACCGTTTGTTGGTTTAACGATTCTTTTTGCCAGGGCACGAAGATCAACACGTTGTTGGTACCGTGACTCGCGGCCAGGCGCCCTGATACTCACATCAGGTTATTCCCAGTCCTGAAGGGTGGCGCCTAGCACAGGTAGGAACGACGCCTAGCGGTGTGGGTTAACATCCAGAAAATACACCATTCATGCCAACACATAGCTGGTTATCGTTCCCGTTGATTCGCAACATTCCGTTCCTCTCAACATGCTCTAAAACACTTCTCCGCAGACCCTCCACTTCCTTGCCCTCCACCCCCCCTCTTCCCGCATCCCTATTGCCAACCGGTGCGCTCGCAGGTAAGGGTGTGTACGTCGGCATAAAACGAGACCAGAAGAATACCGGCTTGAGGGTCTCCCGAGTAATGTGAAGGTATTTGGCGCATTCATACGACATGCTTGGATCCCACGCAGGTGCTGTGATACACTTTGATATCGAGTCTGGGTTGGCTAAAGCGCCGTTCCAGGCATCGGCCGTGTTTGCGCCCACTGTCTTCCCACTTCGAAATCCATCTCGTCGGGGCCGCTGGGCCAAAATCCCGATTCCCACTCCAAGCACTTCGCGGATTCGGAAAACGGGGCGAGGGGTTTGTTGCTGCTGCTGCTGCTGCTGGAACAAAACTAAGACGAAAACCGGGTTGTTACGACGACACTTTGCTAGCCCAATCCAACGCCTGTAAATGCATGACACGTGAGTTTTGTTTGGCTTTACTCCTGGTTGCGCTGCTGCATCTCGATCTTCTTGTAGTTTCGCCCATCGGGAGTGTACCTGCGGGAAACTTTGTTAGAATAACCGCTTGAAGCAGTGCCGCTTTCAAATCCTGCGCGATAGGGGGCATACTTCAGAAGCTTCTCAATCAGGTCGACATGCGTCATGACCATGCGCCGGCAGCAGTACCGCTTGCACTCGAGTTGATCGAGAGCATCGCTGTTCAATCGTCAGCATGCTGGGTCGGCGTGAAGCGAGATAAAAGGTCATCCCTACCCGTCGCTTAACCCTTCCTCCTCAATCAGTTTCACAAACTTTTCCCAGAGGTCGCCCGTCACCTAACGAACAGTCAGCAGAGCGGCGCGACAAACCCTGCGGGGAGGGAAATCCACCTTCCCGCACGAAAAACAGCGGATTGGAATAATCATTTTGGCGCCAATTGAAAAATGATACACTGGGTGTAAAGGGAGTCGTGTCGATGGCTGAGAAACGTTGCGGTCGGGAGAGTTGTTGCGTGCCGAAGACAAAAATTAGGTTCCGGAACGAGACCATCGCAAGTTCGCGCCATTCTCAAATCTTTGTTGATGGAATGGCCCGTGCGTATCGCCGATAACGACCGCGAGCGATGCAGCCCCACTGTAACTTTTTTTGATGTCCGCCAAAATTTCTTCTGGCTGCAAGCAATTGGAGACTGGAGGTTTCAGTGGTTTGGGTGTTTCTATCTTAACATTGGCCCGTTCCACTCACCTCACTCTTACTCTAGCTCTCTTCCGCGGGCAGAATTCACAATGGCGCCTAATAGGGACGTGAACGGCGACACAGCGTCCTTGAAACGGAAACGAGAGCCGAAGGACGATCCTGCCCTGTCACAAAAGAAGCATCGCCGGAGATCCAACCAGCAGCAAGGGACGTCGCAACAACTTGACGGCGGTCTCGAGATTCCAGATGCCACGTCGGCCAACACCGGGGTAGTTCAGCAAAGGATAGCACCATGGAAGTTGTCCAAGCCAATGGGCGGCAGGATGCTGGATATCGATCCCATCTTTTCTCCCGACGAACGGTTAGTCAAAGAAGTTACGGAAGGGTAAAACTCAATGAATTTCGGCCCTAATGTACTTCGTTTAGGCACTTGCTCATCGTATACAACACGTCGCTCCAAGTATATTCGACCAACGACTCCCTCCTGGTTCGCAGGATTCCTATCCCCGTGACGAGACCGGACGGCGAGAACGAACTCGCGTCGGCACATATCGTGGCCGCGGTTCTGTCAAAGAACGATGCGAATTATGTTTGGGTCGCAACTTCAGACGGACGTATCTGGCGTATCAATTGGGCCTCCAACTCAGCTGTGGGCGCTCCTTTTCAGATCGAGGCTAAGAAAGTGTTGGACCTGGACGTGGACACAGTCGAGTTTGGCGGCAAGGCGGAAGATGTTCTCCTGGTCTTGCAGAGACTCACAAAAGCCTCGGCGCAAATATTTGCCTACAACAGAAAGAGCCTGGAAACAGGGGTTGCTAAACTCCTCCACACTTACGACGAAAGCCCTCAACTCCTGCGGTCCATCGCCGGAGCGAGACTGATCGTTGCTGCGGCAAGGGAAACGTTGCACATTGGCCAGTTGAAGGGGAAAAAGGTGGTCTCTCTGATGGACTTGGCGTACCGCTTCCACTCCTTTGACGTCCCAGATATTGTCAGCTCCTTGGACGTCAGGCACACCGTTCGAGCAACGAAGAAAGGAGGATATGAGCTCCGGTCTGTTGATCTTGCGATTGGTTGTGCTCGAGGCGCAATTTACGTGTATCACGACTTGCTCGCCCAGCTACCGCAAGATGATGTTGGTGCCTTGAAGGTGGGCATGATACAGCCAAAGAAGCACCATTGGCACCGTCGAGCTGTTCACAGTGTCAAATGGTCTCAGGACGGTAAGCGCCATCCAAAAATAAGAAGAATCGCTTGTAATCGCTGACTGACACCCTTATTAGGCAACTACTTCATCTCCGGGGGCTACGAAACCGTTCTTGTGCTCTGGCAAGTAGATACCGGGAGGATGGATTTCCTCCCATACCTGTCAGCAGCCATCGAGAACATTGTTGTGTCGCCTCTAGGGTCCTCGTATGCCATCCATTTGGACGACAATTCCACCATGATCCTATCAACTGCGGAGATGAAGCCAACCATGTACGTCTCTGGCCTTCAGTCGCTCGTCTTGGGTGACCGTCCATCCAAAGATTCACTGGTGCGACGCATTTGGCGACCGGCTGATGAGATTACAACACCGTTGGTTGCTGCTGTGAACCCGCGATCTTCGTCACAAATGTTTCTCTGCGTCGGCAATGGGCAACAAGCTTCGTTGGGTGCGTCGCCCTCCACGCCACTTGTTCAGGTGTTTGACATTTCGTCGTTCCACGGTGTCACGAAGCATGCCATTGCGCGGACCAGCGCCACCGACGCAAATATCACCACAGAGGGCGCGCCAATCTCGGAACCGACCGCAACTCAGCTTTGCTTCTCTCGAGATGGCAAGTGGCTTGCCTCGGTTGACGAATGGCAGCCTCCCGAACGAGACACAGACGTACTCTTGACGGGATCTAAAATACCAGAGGAGGCATCCCGGGAGAGGCGTGAGATCTATCTCAAATTCTGGGAAGTTGGGGCCGAAGCCGAAGCCGACCAGTTCCAGCTGGTGACTCGGATCAATGATGCGCATCACACCGACCAAACAGAGCCTATTTTTTGTCTTGCCAGTGACCCGACATCCTCCCGGTTCGCCACAATCGGAGGTGACGCCACGGTGCGATTTTGGACCCCACGAATGCGCAGGAGAGATGGACTCGCAGCGACCGGCCCCAACGGCGAACCACTACGGAGCTGGGTTTGCTCCCGGACTGTCACTTTGCCCATCCACGAGCAGCAGGATGATTTCGTTGAGACGGCCAAGGATACCCCCCGCAACGGTGCTGTCACGTTTTCGGAAGACGGGTCAATCCTTTTTGCCGCGTTCGGCCCTCCCTCGGGAGCTCTAGTCGTCGCCATTGACACCGAGACTGGTGATATTCGAGACCTCGTTTTCAACATGTACAAGGGCGAAATTCGCGCTCTGCGCTCGCTGGGATCGTCATTGATCATGCTATCGGAGGACCTTGTTGTTTACGATATTGTGGCAGATGAGCTGCTCTACAGCTACTCTCTCAAAGAAACATCGCCGGCTGCCAGACGGCTCGCTCAGCTTGCGGTCAACCACGATTCCCGCAGTATCGCCCTCGTTGCACCTATCCCAGACCAGACACAGAGCAAGATCAAGAAAGGGGCTAAATCGGAGCTCGTTATCCTCAAACTCGATGAGGACGAGCCCCAGCTAGTTCAAACGTTCCCCCATCTGATCACCTCTATTTGTGCTGCACCATCGTCCTCCGGTTTCATTGTCGTTGACTCCACCGCTCAAATCTGGTCTGTAACGGAGGGGCCAGAGCAAGCGCCGATGCTCCAGGCTTTATCGGATTTGGGAGTAGACAATGATGCCGTCGGCGACGAGGTGCAGGAAGCCGAAGCCAGCGACGAGGAAATGGGAGACGAGGATCAAGATGTGGAGATGGTGGATGAAGATGACACGCATGCTGCGGTCGTAGCGCCCCAACATCTCGCCATGATTTTCAATGCCGCGCCAGCTTTCGCCATGCCGCCGATTGAAGATGTTTTCTATCAGGTGGCCGGGTTGTTGTCAACGAAGCCTATCAGCCCCTAGGAGTCGCCAAACACAACCGGATTTCCCAAAGCTGCACAGATTCACACCTCGCCAATTCGTATCATGGCGGTACCACACTGGCAGGCAAGTGGTGGGCATCCCACTTGGTAGTGTGCCCCGTAGGTCGGTATAATGCGGGCGCTCTAAAACAAGCCTGAGGCGAACAGAGACCGGCAAGTCGTCAACTCGGCGCCTGGGTCCTGGCCACACTCTAGATTATGCGGCCCCAACGCCGCGTTTTGGAAGAACAAAGGACATATGCCGGTTCTAAACGGATTAGAATTCCCGGTAAGGCGGGGGCCGAATTCGGGGCCGGGACAAGCTTCGTTCGCAACGGTAGTGCCCATGATTGGCTTTCGACCCCCTGCCCCGCGTTGCGGGACGGATGCTGAAGTTGTGGTGAATGGGTTGGATTGTGGGGCACGAAGTGGAAAGCCCCGATTACGCCATAACGGCCGTTCATGTCCAAGAGGCCCGTTGCGGAGAGATGGGTCATGTCCGCGGCGGGGGCTCTTTGACTTCTCAGTACATAGTTTAACCGTTCAACGCAAGATAAATCCTGAGGGGAGCTTGAAACCCCATACGCTGTTAGCAAAAGCCTAACGACATACCCAGTTATCATAAATTTACTTGAGTGTTCCTGGTCAGCGTTTTCCTCCTGTGATCAAACAGCGGCTTCTGTACTGTTTGATCTCTCACTTGCTGTCTCGGCTTGGCTTTTGTTTAAGCACGGCACGGTACATGTGTGTCTACGAAGTGGCATCATGTCGTTCACTTCAATCCCCATTCTAGATCTGGCGTTGGCCCGGGATCCGGCCACAAAGCCTGAATTTCTCTCCGACCTGCGACATGCTCTGATTGAGGTTGGCTTCCTCTATCTCAAAAATGTGGGCATATCCGATGAGTTCTTCAAGCGGGTTATCGACGAAGGCAAGGGGTTCTTTGACATACCCATGGAAGAGAAGTATGGCCAACAGAGAAACTCGTCCTTAGCGCCATGAGGCCGGCCACTAAGCAGATTTGTAGACTCAAAATTGAGATGAAGAACGCCCCATCTTTCCTCGGCTATTCTCGTCTTTCAGCGGAGGTGACGGCCGGCGCCATTGATCATCGCGAGCAAATCGACATCTCGACGGAGCACCCAGTGCCCGGTCCAGAAGCCCCGCGATACCACAACCTACTGGCGCCCAACCAGTGGCCGTCTGCCGACGTTCTGCCCAACTTCCGCCCCGTCTTCACCGAATACATCAAGCGCATGGGTGACATCTCGATCTCCTTCACTAGCCTGATCGCCGAGGCCATCGAACTTCCTAGCGACGCCTTTAACAAGTACTTTGACGCCGACCAGCAGCACAAGCTCAAGATCGTCAAATACCCAGACGTCGGGGTGCTGGGCGCAGAGGGCAAGGGAGGAAACCAGGGTGTTGGGCCGCACAAGGACAGCAGTATGCGCGCCCCTTTCCTTCTTCACCCTCCTTCACACGGCTCATGCCTCCGTCCCTTTTCTGTCCAGCTCCCGCTTCTGGCCCAAAAGACTGACCCCTGGCGAACTTCACAAATAGTGCTCACTTCTTACCTCCTCCAAGCCTCCCACCACACAGGCCTCCAAGTGCAGAACGTACGCGGCGAGTGGATCGACTGTCCACCAATCGACGGCACGCTGGTCGTCGCCATCGGCCAGGGGCTCGAAGCACTCACACAAGGCGTGTGCACCAGCACGACGCACCGGGTGCTCTCCCCGACCGCCGGCGCCGGCCCACGTTTCTCGATTCCCTTTTTCCAGGGCGTCAGCGGGGACACGGGATTTGACGACCTGGAGAAAGTCGGGGTTGGGCTTGTCCCCGAGCATGTACGCGAGCAGCGGCGCAAGGCGCTGGAGCGCGCTGGCGGCCGGCTGGACGACGTCGAGTTTACGTTTCGTCGGGGAAGGGCGGCCAAGACGCTGGGCGAGGCCACCTTCAGGAATAGGGTCAAGAGTCATCCCGACGTGGGCGAGCGGTGGTATCCGGATCTGTTGCAGAGCGTAAGGGAGGAGGAAGCAGCGTTGGCGGGGAAGACGGGGGTAGTGGAAGTGCCTGTAGTGGCAGCCAAGGCGGTGGAGGCGCACTAGGTAGGCATGGAGTAACCGACCAGCCTATCCATAAGGTCGGGTCGGCTACATTTGTGTTAAGCGTGCGAGCGAGCAATCATCTCAGTTCAGCGTTGCACTTCGATAGGCCATCACAGATAAGTTCTAGACCAAACACGGGCCGTCGGCCTCGACTTAAAAAACAGACTGTTAACGCCTTGCGTCTATGCCCTTCGCAATCCTCGGTAGCCTACGAGTAGAACACCCTCGCTTGCTCCCCTGCCCTGCCGCTCTGTCATGGGTTTTGCCCGGCTCATTTCTCGTGGGACTCGTGTACGGTCGTGCTTCGCGGACAACACCGCGGACAACATGGGCTCACCTATTTATTTGGCGGCGGGCTGGTAATCCGGGAAGCACTGTGGCAGCGTCGCGTTATGTTTGTTGACGGCATGTAGCGTAAGTCTGGGAGAAAAGGACGTCGGTTAGTTTGGGCCGGGCTCCTCGTTAGGGTAGGATGTGTGTTGTTCAGAGGGGTTCAGAGGGGTTCATACTGAGGCTCGCGAGACGTCGAGAGGAACGTCTGCTTGCACTGGTTGCAAATGATGCTCATGGCAGCGGCATTCTAGACGTCGACAGGTTGTTAGTTTCCCCCGACGGGCCGCTTCTCCCCTTGGCCGGGTACGCCGGCCGCGAGCGCTCGAGATCCTCCATCGATGTGAACACGTACGGCCTTGAGCTGCGAGGCGGCCTTCGCCGGCGCCTTCTTGTCGTTCCGCGCGCGCTTCTGCGCTGCCTTGGCTCCCTGGGAGGTGGTGTCAGTCCCCGTAAAATTGGCCGACAGGGTCCCCAGATCGGCAGCGGTGGCACTCGGTTGGCGGAGAGTCGGGAACAGGTTCGCATCAGCGGAGACAGTGGAAAAACTTACGTTACCACCGCCCATTTCGTATGGCAAGTTCTCTCTTAATTTGTGTTATTCGGCTCGGTGTTGTGTCGTGAGTACAGTCACAGGTGCAGATGCAAACAGTCTGTCGCTTCTGTGTCGATATCTTTCGAGGTTGTCTCCCTGTCTTTTTTTTTCGTCGAGCGGCTAAAAGTGGCGCGCGGAAGTTGGGAAACTGAGTGAAACGCGGCGGTGTTACGGCGGCTCCATCAATCAGGCCGGTCGAGACGCACGGAGGACCGCAATTGCCCAAGGCGCCAAGCCACTTTTGCCCACTGTGTTGCAGACTGCAGTGCCTCTTCCTCCACTGCGGGATGACAGTTGGCAAACCGGCGAGCCAACTGGCCGAAAAGCCACCGTCCAGTCCCAGTTCTTCCTTCGGTTCAACATTCCGCCTCGAGTCCGCATCTCTTCCATTTCTGCGTGGGTGACCTTCCATTTCCCAACCCGCCGGTCTACAAGGTCAAGGATCCAGGGATGTCCTTTTTGCGCAGACGTTGGAAGTGAACGTTACTGTGCGCAACCTGTGAATCGACTGCGACGTAACTCCTCGAAGCGCCCGCCTCATCTTCCACTTAGCCGAGCTGAACAGCCTCTCATTTTGGATGCGGCGGTATTCCGGGACTTGAGCGGCAGAACCAGCCTCGAAGCAACGTCGAAGCAACGTCGAAGCAGCATCGAAGCAGCCACACTCCCTCGCTTCAACAGACGCGCTCGCTTGGCGCTGAACCGAGACGACAACCGCGCGCGGCCGCCATCTCTCGGTCTGCAAAGTTTGGTTCGGAGCAGCTGCCGAACTCGTCACATTCTCGAAGGTTTCCTCGGCCATCACCCCCAAAGACAGCGTATCTGCGGCGCGCCCTCCCGGATCTCGAATCCATCGGCCAGAACCCAGGTGGATATTGTGGGTCCCAAGGTTTCCCCCCTTCAACCCATCATCCCAGCCGTTGGGCCTTGTCGTGCGATCCCGGGCCGGTGTCACCAGAAGAAAACCGCGATGGGCAGCACAGCCGCCCCGTCTCCGGATACCATCTCCGACAGCGAGTTTCACGACATTCTGGCCAAGTATCCCGCCTGCGTTGCGGACATATCCGCCGCCAAACGAGGTTTGCACATCCATTTGTGACCTCAAATGGAGCTCCGAACGGGCAAAACTCCTTCAGTTCTAACCTTCCACGTGGCAGTGAAACCTGGCCAAGAAACCCTTGCCAGTCTGGACCAGTATCGCTATGGTGCGGCTCTTGCCACCTTCGGGTCCGAAACCCCGAATGTGCTTATGGAACTCGACGACGTCCGAAAACTCGTTGAATGGAAGCTGTACGTTTCACCGTCTCTCATCTCTGGTTCGCCGTTGGAGTTGCGCCCACTAGGCTCGATCTGGAAGTCATGTGTGGTCGGGCGAGCGGCGCAGAGCCGAAGATCCTGCAACAATGGCATTGGATCGTGAATCGCGCTTAGACAAGCGCCGCCCGTTGCGGCGTTCCACCACTTGTTAACAGTTCACTGATAAACTTGCTTCCCGTCCCCAGCCAGCATGGGAAGTTTCGGCCCACATTGATGAAACTCGTGTCGTCAAACGAGCCGGGTTTCGTTCGGGAGACCGTTCAGGAGGCAGTTGCGCACTATCGAACCAAGTCGAATGCCTCGACTGCCGTCCAGATCCTGACTCAGCTCAAGGGTATCGGCCCGGCCACCGCCTCCTTACTCCTTGCTACCCATAACCCAAACCATGTCATATTCTTTGCCGACGAGGCCTTCCACTGGTTGTGTTGTGGTGGGTCCAAATCCCCCATCAAGTACAACTTGAAGGAGTATGCCGAGTTGGATAAACGTGTGCAGGCTGTGACCAAACGGCTCGGCGTCAAGGCCGTCGACGTTGAGCGTGTCGCGTTTGTCTTGATGAGACAGCCAATGACCAAGACAACGGCTTCGGACAGTGCTCAGAATCCGCCAACCGGATCCGTAGCCGACAGCACGAGCCAAACGCAACCGGCAGCGAAACGGAAGGCCTCGGCTTTGGCCGATGCTCCCGTGCTTGAAGCGCCTGTGCGACGTTCGAAACGAGGGAAACAAGCGTCGTAGGCAAAGGCAAGGGGTGCACTCTCAACCACGTTAACCCATCGGTTGGTACGATCCGAGACTCCGGGAAGGGTTTGAAAGAAATACCCCTAGTCACTCTCAGCGGCTCTCTCTCAGCCCTGCAAATAATGCGAGCAATGAAACCTGGACCAAGACGCTCTGAGGAGAGATGTTTTCCATAATCGACTTTCAGAATTGTTGCGCTGCCAAAAATCCCCTATTGGTGACCTCCACGGTTATTCTCCGTGGACCTGCATAGTCGGCTTGACGGGCCGAAGCAGCGGGCTTCCAGTCCCCTGCCAATACTAAAACCGCTTCTATGCATTTACACGACAGTCGCATGGCTCCCATTCTGGGCTCCATGAGTTTTGTTTGTCGTTACCATACATTCCTTTTTTGTCGTGACGATCATGGGGACTCGAGCAGTGGGTATATCTCGCGTATTCATGGCACGCATCCTTTCCTCCTTGCCTTTAGTTCTTGCATTTTTGCGCGGCCCGCCAGGGAACCCCATATAATACTTATAAGTTTTTTTACCTTATATTTTTCTACCATTTGCCATGTCAACTCTTCCTGTTCCTTGTCATGGCCATTTCTGCTTGGCCGCTTCCGACCTTGTCGAGTATGGTAGATCTCGGGTCCCGGGCAAAAAAGGCTGAGACGCACTCATCCGCCCACTCTGATCCCATCCAACTTACATCAAGGTTCGCGGCCTTGAAAGAGGGTTTAATATCGGGGGAAGACCTAGCAGTTAACAACTCCTGGCAACGGCTCCTCCGACAGCTCCCCGGCGAGATCGACCAGGTGTCATCGCTCGGGTCTGCAGCCATCCCCACTATTAGCTTCGAAGACACCACAGACCCGACCCAAGCTGAACCCTTTCTGGAACAACTTCACCGAAGGGGAGTTGGTATCGTTCGAGGTGTGGTCCCCAAGGATACCGCTCTGGCCTGGAGCCAGGAGGCGGCTGAGTATGTCGAGCAGAATACAGCAACAAGTTTCCCGCCAACATCAGCTAGACCGCACGATATATTCTGGAGCCCTGCCCAAGTCAAAGCTCGGGCACATTCCAATATCATTGCAACGCAAAAGTTTGTGATGAGTATATGGAAGTCAACGGCCGACAACGCCAGCGTTACCCCGCGGTTCCCAATCTCCTACGCAGATCGTATGAGTTTGTCCACAGCATGGCGAGCTCCCCAGCGTGGGCCGTACGCACACATTGATGGTGGGAGTGTTGAACGTTGGGAGCCCGATGGGTATGGCCGGGCGGGCACGTACAAGGACATATTTTGCGGTCGATGGGAAGAATATGATCCTTGGGAGGTACGCATCGCTGCTATCCTTCTCCTAAAGCTTGACAACTTTGAACTGACCTCTTCTTCTCCTTTCACAGAGCAGCAGCCGCTTAGGAGTAACCAGTGATCTCTACCATAGAGCCGGTGCTTGTTCAATATTCCGTATGTTCCAGGGCTGGCTCGCCCTCGAGCCCATCACCTCCTCTGGACCAGGTTCTGTCCGTGTCTGCCCACTCCCCCGCCTCGCAACGGCGTACTTCCTCCTCCGCCCTTTTTTCTCCCCCGCCTCCTCCCCATCGACGGCAACGTCAACAACGCTCGCACCACCACCACCAAACGGAGACCAATGGGCTTTCAACCATCCCCAAAACAGTATCCTCCACGGCGCCCTCCCCAGCTACGCACAAGAAATTTCCCCGACCCTCCATCCCCACCTCCAACTAGACTGCAGCATGATCGCCGTCCCAGATCTCGAACCAGGCGACTATCTCGTCTGGCATCCCGACCTCATCCATTCCATCCACACCCCTACTGACAACGAACACCCGGCCACCACTCCCACCCCAATGACAACGACCGGAACACCAACTTACATCTATCTCCCCGCCACCCCCTTAACTCAAACCAACGCGCTCTACCTCGCCCGGCAACGTAAGACCTTCCTTCTAGGCCACCCAGGCCCCGACTTTGGCGGCGGTCGCGGTGAGAGCGGACATGGCGGACGGCCGGGAGTGCAAGATGTTAACGATGCTGGGGGTGACGACGGGTTACGCGCGATGGGCCTGTTGCCGTGGGACGAGGAGGAGGCGGACGGGGATGAGGAGAGGGCGGTGTTGGCGATGGCGAATGGGATTTTGTTTCCGGATTTGTATGATATGCTGTAAGAGGAGAGAGGAAAAGGTCTAAAAGAAAATGGATGGGGGCTGGTGGGCATCATGGGTTGGCTTTTTGCTTTACTTGAAAGTTTGTTTTCGTGAGGTTAGGTGGAAAGGACGGCTTTGATATTTTAGATCGCCTACGCCGCACATACACGCACGCGGTTCTGTCCCAGTCAGAAAGGCAATACAATACTCACTGTACGGCAACGCAATCATTTGTTTGCCCAAGTCAACGTACAGGGTAATGGCCTTGCTCTAATAATATCCACAGCAACGTACATAACATAACTAGCGTTCTCCGCTGGCTTCCTCCAATTTTACTCGCCCCATACCCTTATATCTCCCACCCCTCACAAGCCCCAGTGGTCCACCTCGTTGAACGTTGCTTCAGCTGCGCGGTTCAAATTAGGCTTGCAAATACGGGGTGAAGGTTTCTGACGGCTTGGAGTTTCTCTGTCTGGGCGTATCAGCCTCTTTCTCCTTTATTGATGTGGTTTTCCCACGGGAATCGAGGGAATCGAGATCGTGCCAAAGGTCGCTTTCCTATTTGTCCTTCTTCGACGAGGTCCCATCCCCTTGGATCCGGCTGTTTTCGTCGGCCAGAGAGTAATACTCCTTCTGGAGCCCCAACGACTGCTCCTTCAAAGCGGCAATGTCCTTATCGCGGCGCTCGATCTCACGCTTGAGGCGCGAGATCTCCCCAGCGTCACCGGCCACGGCAAGCTTCTCGGCCTGCTTGGTGTTCTTGTCGGTCCCCTCGTATTGCTTGACCTTCTCCTCCAGACGCAGAACTTCGAGGATCATAATGTAGGTGCGGTTGAGGATAAGCGAGAGGAAAAGCGTGAAGCCGCAGAGGTACATGTTGCGCTGCGAGTAAAACTTGCGGGCTTGCACTTCGAGACGCTCGTGTCCCATGATTGCCGTTCTATTTGATCACAGTTAAGTCAGCCAATTTCTAAGCTCTCATACAAGCTTGCTTTTGAGGGGGTCCATGTCCGCTTACGCAGAATTGCCGCTGTTCTCAGTGGCAGCCGCCAATTCGAGCTGAACCCGATACACGCGGTTGACACTATCAATGAAGAGAATCAGGATGAAGACAAATGTGATCTTCAACCAGTACTGGACTTTAGCAACGATGGGGTTCTCCGAGATAAAGCTACGAGAGCGGTGGTCAGTTTGGACGTGCACGAGGCTGTGCGGGGTGGACGGCCGGCGGAACCTACGTGAACACCTTCCGCCGCATCGAGAACGGCATGGGCAGGATTAGGAGCATAAATAGGGCCATTTCTGCTACAAGTAGCAAGAAGACCTATATTCGATGATTAGCCTCCATTCAAACTCAGAGCGGGTTGCTATCCAGCAGTTTGGGCTGGAGCAAGGGAGGGCGCCAAGGAGGGCGTCGGAGAAGGGTGCGCACCAAAGTGTAGTAGAGCGTCATCTTGGTTGGTGCTTAACAAACTGTTCCGACGCTGTATTGAGTGATGCAATGTTGTCGTCCTTTATTGTTTTGAAGGTTGAAAGGAAAGGACAGGTTGTGCTGGGGAAAATGTAAAATAGCTTCGCAGCTCTGCAAGAAGTGACGTGGTGTGGAAACAGCTCGAGCAACTGGCTACTGCTTGGCGGCAAGGGCCCAGATCGAAAACGTCATTGCCTGTGGCTGAGGGCAGGCAGATTGAAGTGGTCGGTGCACGGTTCACATGTGTTGACCCAAGACATGGAATTTACCCCTAACCCTGAATATTACTATGTACTCTCTTTGCCAGCTTGCTTGTTTGTTTCACGGAAGGGACTCGGGCTCAGCTCCTTGATGAAGCCGTTGCTTAGTCTTCCGTAAAGGCAGCGTGGCTCGAATGATATAAAAGGGCTTAAAACAGAACCGGGAGATCTGTTTTTGCCTCTGGATCATCAGAAAATTATGTGCCCAACTGATAGTAACGCCGCCGAAGATTTTCTGATACCTACCTGAGGCTTCAAGTCACCCCTCTGTACTTAGCATATTAGCAGCTTCCAGTGTTTTTGTCAGAATATCACCGTTCGCGTTCCTTCCCTATCCGTCAATGTTGCAACTGGAGTCCGAGAGCTGGCACATCAATACATACAGCCACTCCCAACATCCCCAAGTTCCTTCTTAATCCAAGCATAACCCGCGGTCACCGACTAGACCAGCCATTTACGCGCCGCCCCTCGAAATTGATACATTTTGAAAAGAACGGCCCTCGAAAACGAGAAGAAAAAACAACTAAGTTCTAAAGCCGAGGAACAGTCAAACAAATACTCTCCGCCAAGATGAAGTGCGGTTTCATCAGCGTTGTCGCATTCCTTGCAAGCAGCCTCGTCGCCGCGACGCCCATCAGCTGCTCTCAAGTTCGTAAATTTTCTTACAATACAGGGAAATATTCTGTTTGGTCAAGACACGTTTCACTAACTACATCCAGTACAAGCGCGACCTCATCCTCAAAGGGGAACTCTCGCCTGAAGCCTGCTGCAGCTACGGACGATGTCTCGGCGACGTGGTTATCGCGATGGTCTAGACGACGAATAAGGTTAGCTTCTAGGCTAAACGCTCCCACGGCTCGGCTCTTTAAACATTCAACGGGACATGGAACGGTGCTCCCTCCTTTACATGGCCCCACGACAAGGCAACACCATATTCTTTTAATACGGATACGATATGTCGGGAGCAACACCGAGCTGTCTAAGTTTCTGTCCAATCACCGCACTGGCGTGATAAAGGCGCATGGATTGGGGTTTTGCAAGCGATTTCAACCTATCAGGTTAAATGGCTAGGCAAGGTGTTTTTACGGATGTTGAACTTTGTTATTTCGCTATCTCTGCTGCTTGCTATCAATCAGCTTGCCTGTCACAAACCCGGAAGAGAAGCAAGGTTTGGGTTCGAAGGAAGGGAGGGATAGCCCACTTGGATCGATTCAAGATAATTCTGTACGCTAACTATTGTGCTGCGCGTGTAAACGTGGGAAATAACTTAGGATGTGTACTTGAAGTTATGTTTCCGTGGGAACATCGACATGGCCGAGACCATAAATTCTTCAACGCTGCGCAAAATACTGTGGTATCCTCCCTCGGCTTTTTTTTCTTTTTTCCATTCTTTTTTTTTTTTTTAATTCCTCTTTTTTTTTTGGCGCGGGGGAGGCGCCTCCCCACGGCCAAAGCTCTTGACATGGAAATGCTTGTCCGGTGTCAAGGAGGGGCAGCCTCCTTTCATTAATGATTGGCGCGCATAGGGTAGTAGGGACCGCCTGAAGCGTCCCCGGCCTCGGTCTTCCCGTGGCCGAATCGGCGAATGCCCCACGCCCGGGCTACAGGAACTGAAGCTGACTTCCATCCTCCCGAATGACCACCAAGATGGGGACCACATCGTTGAGGAAAAACCCCGCGGATATTGTTCGGCCCCAGCCGCCGGGTATGTGACAACGGGAAAGGCCACCTGACAACAACGAAGCCAATAACAGCCTATCAACGCTCGACTGTGTAGCCTGGCAGGGTCGAGGCCTGTCTTTGGTGGAACTCGCTTTCTTCCGTGCCCACCGGGAGTGGTCTTGCATTCGGGCGGCTTTGGTGCTGTGTGGGGTCCAGCACAACAGAGTCCCATGTCACCGTTCTTGCCGTTACGAACAAAATCAGATGGCGAAGTCAGAGATGAACGTTTCAGGTCTGACACTGTGTATCCCATGCAGAACCTGCAGGTGATCGTCTCGCTACATCCCGCCGGGAACTGGAAGAAATTGTATAAGATAAAGTAACATCCCACGCTACCCCGCCTCTTGACACAACTCTCCGAGGACCTGTGTCCCCCAATTCCTTACGACCCGTCTCACCAAAATCCCTCTCCTACACAATGGCTACCAACGGCTCCAGCGTCATAACAAAGGCCACCAAGGCCAACATCGGGGTCTTCACGAATCCCAAGCACGACCTGTGGATAAATGAGGCAGCGCCAACACTGGACAGTGTCCAGAAAGGGGAGGAGCTTAAGGAGGGTCAGGTTACCATTGCGATACGGAGCACAGGAATTTGCGGGTGAGGCCTAGAAATCCATATCCTGTAGCCCTAGAGGGCAGGGGCAGAGGGGGATCCGGAAGGAGGAGAAACTCGAAGCTGACAAAATGGGTACTCCCTCCCTCATTAGCTCGGACGTCCACTTCTGGAAGCATGGCTGCATCGGCCCCATGATTGTTGGGGGCGACCACATTCTCGGCCACGAATCCGCCGGCGAAATCATTGCGGTACATCCGAGCGTAACAAACCTCAAGGTCGGCGACCGCGTGGCCGTCGAACCCCAGGTGATTTGCAACGCATGCGAGCCGTGCCTCACAGGCCGGTACAATGGTTGCGAGTCCGTTGACTTTCTCTCAACCCCACCCGTCCCGGGCCTCTTACGTCGCTATGTCAACCACCCGGCTGTGTGGTGCCACAAGATCGGCGATATGTCCTACGAAGACGGCGCGATGCTCGAGCCTTTATCCGTCGCCCTCGCGGGGCTGCAAAGGGCCGAAGTTCGCCTCGGCGATCCAGTGCTCGTCTGTGGTGCGGGGCCAATCGGGCTGATCACGATGCTCTGCGCCAAGGCGGCCGGCGCATGCCCACTAGTGGTGACAGACATCGATGACGGCCGGCTACGGTTTGCTAAGGAGATCTGCCCAGAGGTGATCACCCACAAGGTCGAGCGATTGTCGGCTGAGGACTCGGCCAAGGCCATTGTGGCCAGCTTCGGCGGTATCGAGCCGGCCGTGGCACTGGAGTGCACCGGTGTCGAGAGCAGTATAGCAGCGTCGATTTGGGCGGTCAAGTTCGGCGGAAAGGTGTTCGTCATTGGAGTCGGGAAGAACGAGATTCAGATCCCCTTCATGCGTGCCAGCGTCCGCGAAGTCGACCTGCAGTTCCAGTACCGATATAGCAACACATGGCCAAGGGCAATTCGGTTGATTCAGAACCGTGTCCTTGACCTAAGCCGACTCGTGACGCATCGCTTCGGGCTGGAGGATGCGCTCAAGGCCTTCGACACGGCGTCAGATCCCAAGACCGGCGCCATCAAAGTGCAGATCCAGAGCCTGGACTGAGGGTTGGAGTCAGGCTTAATCCTTCCATGGTTGCATTCCGCACAGCCGTAACGGAGATCAAGGTGTGGTGGTATGGTAGTCTGGGGCTTTTAGAAGCCGTGTGCATCGTTAGAAATTCGTCCTATTACACGGGGTCAGGCTGAGGGGGTACCCACTCTTGCAATCCGGGGAAGTTCGACTTTAGCCGAGCTCCTCGCAACGGGCTCGATGGACGGAAGCGGCACAAGGAGTATCAATGGAGACGAACCGGAAAGACCGTGACGTCTCGCCTCATTTTTTTGGATGGCGACATGTGTTTATATAGACCATTTTTTGGGCAGAGGAACAAATTAACAAGAAGTCATTGACGATGGATGATGCTCACTTTGTGGTTTGCGCGCACATCGTACTGCCCGGCGTGACCTCTAGAGACGGGACTGTTCAGAAGTTCAAGTGAAGGGAGTGGCGCGAATTGCCATGGTACTACGGAGTAGTCGTCGAACCATCGAGGGGTGTTGAGGTTATGTTGCTGTTTACGGATCCTCGTCCTTTGATACAAGAGTAAAATCTTGGAACGATGGACGTTGCTCGATTAGGGAGATCCAATGAGGGAAGATCCACGGGATTTATTTCCATGAAAATAAACCAGTGGTGCCTGACCAATCGGCTGAAAAATACCGTAAAGTACGCAGAACAGTACGTTTATTACACGGAAGCTCTGACACTTGGCGCCCAGCTCTCCAATTAAGCCTGCTAATTGGCCGCCCGCATGCCGAGAAACCTGGCAACCACCAACGCCTTTTCTTCCGAGCTTTCCAATTTTTCTCGACCTCCGGCTCATCCCGTCCGACGGTGCGCGATATCGTTCTTTGAACCCAGCTCCTCTCACTCGGCCGCCGTCCACGATCGCTCCTCGGCCGCGACCCCGCCGTCCTCCGCGCCGCCCGCCCGAGTTCGATTTTTTTCTTTTCGATCGTTCCAACCAACACTTTGACAGTGGTCCCTTTTTCCCTCACCCCGGCCCAATCGACCCCCAACCAACCAAACCACCAAAATGTCGTTCGCCCTGGTCATGAGGCGATCCGGCCTCTCGGTGGGCCGCACCATGGTCCGTTTCGAGTCGACCACCACCACAACAAAGGCTGCCGAGACTGCCAAGCAGACTGTTTCCAAAGCCTCGTCAACCGTGTCGGAGGCAACTGCGAAGGCGACGCAAAGCTTGTCGCGCGTGACGGCGGCCGCCGGTCCGGCCCTCTCCAGCGCAGCAAAAGGTGCCGCGGGTGCACTAGGCCGCGTCGGCGGCCGGACCGGTCGCCTCGTCGGCTTCATTGAGCGTAAGGATACACCAGCCCAGCACCTTCATCCCATGCCTCCGTCCCGCCGAGAACAACAAACCAACAACACTGCCCCCGTCATCACCGGTCTTGGCCGACTTCCATTGCCCCTGGGGGTTGTCGTAAACCTAGATGCTCGGCGATGGTTGTTGGATGCATGGGATGGAGCTTGAGGAAGGCGTGTACGGTTTCGTGGCTCCAATGGCTAACCTCGCATGCAGAACAAACCCCCCTTGTGGTCTACTACTCCAAGGTTTTCGCCGAGGTAGCCAAACTCGTCTTCCACGGCCAGAAGATGAGCCCGCCGTAAGTCCCCCCCACTTCCACGCTGATCAAGCGCAGACGGCGGCCCAAACGAGCCAACTCTCATTACACCTAACGAGATACATCGTTTTGATGTGATTGTTTGCCGGCTGGCCGTCTTTCAACCTAGGAACACGACTGACGTGTTATTTCCGTCTCCACAGTCCCGCCTCGACCTTCCAAACGTACTTCCAAAACCTTTGGAAGCAGCTGCAGACCCCCGGCCCTTTCTTCTCGGGGCTTGTTGAGTCCGTCAACCCCCAACAGGTCCGCAATATCTCCAGGGCACAGCTAGCGGCTGGTGGAGTTCTCCTGGCCGAGTGCTTGGGCTTCTTCACTGTCGGCGAGATGATCGGCCGGTTCAAGCTAATTGGGTACCACGGCGAGACGCATGCCGCTCACCACTAAGTGGGCTTATTTCTGGTATCGATAAACGGGGGCATGGGGGTGTTGTTGGATCAGAGGAATTCCCGGCCCTCGGGCGAAGGAACACGACAGAGTTTTATTCCGTAGGCCGGCAGGGGCCGAAGCCCGGGAAAAAACGGGCATAGGGAATCGGTTGGGGGGTGTTGCTGTGTTTTGAAAAAAGGGGGGGTATAGACTCGGTGGCGTTCAAGAGAGAGGGGCTCCGAACCTAATTTCGCGGACATGTTCGGTACATTCGACACCTCCGTCCGTAACGGCAGGGGAGTGAGAAACCGTCGAGGGTGGGCAAATATCAGGAAGGGATGCGAAACGGCACCCATTTATGCTCCCTTGTATTAGTACCTCCTCAATTTTCCTATCCGTGGCAGGCTAAAAAAGCCCATGTCTTTCATTTGTTGTCCTGTACCACTACAATACCGCATGAAGTTAAAACAAAGCATCTACCTCATTTATTTCACGTACTATATACTCGCATTTCCCCACCCTTGCTACGCTCATATTATCTGTCATGGGCGTTGACAGTGCCAAACATAAACAGGTCCCAGATCCATTCTATGTCTCGACGCGTGCTTTGGTAACTTACACAAGGCCATCGATGTTAACAATTCGTGCATAGTAACACCCCCTCTCTTGATTGGTCTTATTTTTCAAACTTTAGCTGCCCACTAGAAATGATATTCTTTCTCGGGATCACCGAAGCCTAAGCAGGAACCTAAGATTCCTCATCCTCTTATCAACCACCTGCGGCCGCTGTTTGTGGGACGCTTGCTTGCTCTTTAACGTCCTAAGGGGGGCAGGACAGGGGGGGACCGGGGAAGAGTGAGGAACATCCCGACAACTCATCGATGGTGGTCTGCGCTAGGTCAAATGCGCATAGTAGTCGGTTTGCCCATGCGAGTATGAGTGGTGGGAGAGCTGAGTCGTGGCGCGGGTGTGGGAGGAGGGGGGAGAGTAAATGAAATATGTGGTTGAACCAGGAAGGGCGACATGGCATTACGTGGGTATTTGTCGGCTGAGGTATCCGTTGTCGACATTTGTCTTCACCAACCGGGTTTCCCGCCTGGCTTTTAGGGCGCGACTATGCTCCCTGATAGTCACTTCGTCTTTCACGTCTCGCCAGCAGGGCCCCAGGTTCCCCCCTTTCCCTCCGGCCATGCTGTCCAGCCCAGCCACAACGTGTACAACATCCCCCTTCCACACATCCACTCAACTACTATCAAACCATTCGTCGAGTAAAGTCAAACCTGTCAGCTGGTTCCACGCCGGAAACAAACCCCCGGCCCCCCACCCTCTCCAAATCTTCTTTCCCAAACCACCAACATCGCATTTCTGAGTCTCCTTTGCAGCTGCAGTTGGACCAGCCTTGCAGAGCTAGCTTTGCCGTTTTGGTCGGGGGGGCCGTGCCCAGGCGCTCCTCGCTGAGGTTGCAGTGGGAAAACAAAAACTCTGGTTGCTTGATGGGCTCGAGGCTGCGAATAGAGTGAGGAAGAACCCGGCATGAGGTCGGATGTACATACATACATACATACATACACGCCTAGGGTTTTTCACCCAAAGTTTGCTGCCCTACATGGTGCTGCGTGATCATTAGCATGAACAGGACGTTTTACTAGGTACCTGTCTGAGACAAGTAGATGCGAAAGGTGAGGTCGTTTGGTGTGGCTCGATGTTCCTCGTCCGTGGATGTATGTATGGTCCCTAGAATGACGTGGACTTTTCTGCCTCTTCTCGTTCGGAGTAAAGAAACAATTTTTTGCTAATGGACTCCATCGTCTGCCATGAAATTGAGGGGATCCGTGTGATGATAGTTTTGTGTCTTGACCGATATCCTCTCAACACCACGCGCTATCATAGGGCGCTGTGAAGTGACCCACAGCTGGTAAAATTCTTCATGGCCGCATTCAAAGACAAAGTGGGGTTGAGACCCCAATGCCAACTTCAATGGGGAGCCGGTACTTTTGAGGATGGGGTTAGGTCTAAAGTCGGAGGGGATGGCGATCGTATACCAGTAACGGAGTGTACGATCAAAAAACACAACTACATACAATATCATACCACTCCCCCCCCCCACGCCCTGATTTATCCTAACCAGAAACACCCGCCGGTTGTCAACGGTTGTCCTAAACCGAACCGGTAATGTGGATAGGCCACTCGTCCTGCTCTTAGATCGCCACGACATGTAAATGAGAAAGACCTTCCGGGCCGAATATTGGCTGTGTGTTTAGGATAACCACTGGGACAGCTGGCCATAGTGAACTTGGCCAAGCCCCCATCCTGAGCCACCCCCCTTCCATACGAGGGCGTGCGAGTTAGTATGCAGGCCTTGACTTAACTCGCACCCCAGTGATCCCTAACTGTGGCCCATTTCTAGCAACCTAGACGCGTTCAATAACATATACCCCCCCACCCCCCCCCAGCGGTTTATGCTCCGATGGGCCGATGACAACCCATGTCGCCCTAGCATTGGGTCGGACAACACGCCGCCTGTGAAGGGCCTCTGATGGCTGAGCGTCACATTCACGCTCCGCCAAGACGAAAAGCTCGTGAAAGCCCTCCCAGTGAGCAGAGTAATATCAGGTTAACCCAGGAAACACCGGTCTTTAAGGGAAGGCGGGATTATGACAAGATGATTGGGTGTTGATTGCGAAGAAAGCTCCTATTTGTCGGAAGGAGGAGGGTTGTGCGGTATTCAGGCGGCCCAGCGCCAAGCCGCACAAACTTTTGCCCTCTGCTCGGCGAACTGGTGGTTGTGTCGTGGAAAGGTAGGTAGTTTCGGTCGTTTGCCCGGTTGTTCGCTGGTGAACCCAACCGAGCGGTCGGTCCAACGCCTGGGTCCGTCGCCCAATAATCGGCCAGGCCTCTGTTTCGGGATCTCGTTACACCAGTCGATAACACCTCCGTATGGAGGAGCCGGATCACCGTGGCTTCCTAGCTGTGAAGACGTGTCTGTGAGAAGTTAGTGAGAGTCCTACCCGCTATAATGCCGTCGATCATCGGTAGTCCGTGGTGGCAAGAAAAGGCACTCACAATGTGCAATACCCATGCACGCTGTTGCTGTAAACTTCATCCCTCGCCTTTTCGGCCAACTCTCGGACCTCGGACGGAGTTCGTCCACCGCCGCGGCATAAAGGGGCCAGGCTGAGGGGATAGAGCGCCTGCCGCATCCCGAGGTTGAACCACCGGCCAAGGGTTCTGCCGTGGGGGTCGTCGGGCCAGCCGTTCACAGGCATCCGAATGACTTCCTCCTTGATGTCCTCAAAACCAACGTCCGCTAGCCGTTGTTTGGTGAGATTGCTGTCTACATGCATCGGATGGCCAAAACTGTCCATAGCATCGAAAAGCTCTTTCGCCCATTGCGTGACAAAGCCGTCCCTCCGAAGGGAATTATCGTCGCATCGGGGGTGCCAATCTATCTCAACTTGTTCAAAGTGGCCATGGTACGGCTTCAGGTGCCTTGTGGAACCGTTAACTGTGTTCTGTTCTGCGTCACAATGTATGACTTACCGGTATGCCTCCGCGTACACCCTAGGCCAGTTGCTGATGCTTCCGATAAGTGAACGCATATGTATGAGGTCCCAGGAGCCGGGGTCCATGTCCTGCCATTGGTCTTCGATGTCCATCTGGAGGAATCGCATGTTGGCAGGGATACTAAAAGTCTGTCAGTACGAAGGTGCGGTGGATATCCCAGGCAGGTTTGCAACGCACAATTCTGGTTGGATCAAGTTCAAGTCGGCTCCCCAATGTACTCCCTGCGGATATTTACTGGTCGATGGAGGATAGTCAATCGGATGTCCCGTCGGATGAGATCTCGGAGCGAAAACTCACTCCGCCAATTCAATCCCCCAAATACCGGTGCCACATCCCAAGTCCAATATGCGTGGTGACTCCTGGTCGTGGAGAGGGGAGATATGAGATATATCTTTGCGAGCAACAAGGAATATCTTGTGAAAGACGTCCAGCCTTTCTAGTTCTGTCTTTCTCTGGGGTCAATTTTTACCTCTCAGTGGGCGTGATGTAAATGGACGTACTCACTTCATCAATGGGGAACATGTACTTCCCCTTTTTAAAAGTTCCGTACCACCGACCATTCTCGGCGTACACTTCTTGGTAGGTTCGACTTGTTGCGACTCCATTGACACTTCGAGCACGCCGTATCAGCCTTGAACCAGGCCTGTTATCAACAACCGTTGGGATCAAATCTTACAGATGGCCTCTAAAAGGCTGTGATTCCATGTCCATGACTCGGGCCAGCTGAAGACACACACCTCCGGGGCCCAATAAGTCCTCATAAAACTAGAGGTGGGTGAATGTCCGAGGACGGCGAAGGGCGAAACTGTACAGAACGATATTAGGACTGAAGAAAAACCCGGCGGGCCAACCAAGATTTGGGCTCCTCGGCGTCCCTCTCAAAAATTATGCTCGAGAATGGGTAGAGAAGTGGGAAAGTGACAGTAAACAAAGTAGAGGCGAACGGGGCCACGACAGAAGCAAACTTGCAGAAGGGCAGATAGGGCTCTCTTCGGCTTTCGGGACATAAAATGAGGTTCCGCGTTTATTGCTAGGTGTGGCGGGTCTTAAGGGAGCGAAAGGGACGCGGCCAAGAAAAAGTGTATCCCGGACGGGTAGCCTGGCGGCTAGCTAGCCTACCGAACCAGAAACCCCGAGTCTGGGGGAGGAGCAAAAAGAGGAATCCGAAAGCGACAATTGCTCACCTGTGAACCTGTGACCTGCCACTGGCCCAATGTGGTGATGAAGGCGATGCGGCGATGCAGCAATGCGGTGCCTGAGGGGAGCATGCGCGGCTGGTGTACTTGTGGCCACGGAGTGGCTCGCACCCGTGTTATATGTGAAGCAGAATGAGCAGGGCGCGGTCCCAGGTTGCGGTTGAAATTGCGGTCGCTGGTTGATGCGGGCGGCCATGGGCCAACAACGCCCTGGTTCGGCTGTGCTGTTTGTGGACCAGGGAAAGAAAGTGGCAGGGGGCGCCTTTAAAATCAAAAACCTCGACGTCGCAATGATGCAGAGCCAGGGGCCCTAGCACCTAGGACAAAGAGGAAGTCCGGTGAACTCGATTTTCTACCACGGCGGGAAGCTCCGCTCAAGAATGACCTTCGAAGTGGGGAGCGTGGCAGGTGATAAGCATCAAGCGCTGTGTCAAAAAACGCACGACTCCAACATGCGCTTGCTCAATGTCATCGGCGGTCGTGGTTTCTTGTGGGAGTGAACAAGGGGCGCCTAACTAATAATTACCCGCCCGTCTACCTACCAAACAAGGCACTTCCCCGTTGCGGTGTGAGACCGAGGCACGCCAGGGCTCAGGGTTTGGCCGGATTCGCCCAGAAGGTGCAGACGATGTGGGGTTCCCGCACACCCTCCCGAGCAAGAAAGTTGGCTGGGTGGAGGGCAGTGCAGGTGCTCCCGAAGCTCGTGGGTAGTATGGATTAGAAGGCGTGAGAAAACAAGGTTCTAGGCTATGGTTAGCATGGCCTTTCGACATGAAAGTATCGAGATGAGAGGCGGGGTGGGTCGAGGAGAAGTCAATTGGAAAGCGCAAGCAGAACTCACTGTACATAGTACTCCAGCACGAAATGCCCAGCCCTTTGCAGCGAACTTGTCGTCTCTCAGGGCTGCCCAAGGCCGTCCCGATGGGCCGGATGCTGCCAACAGGGCCATCGTAGGGCTTTTCCGCCCTAGTTCCCGCTTTCCCGCTCCCGTGTGCTGGCTTGCCGACCTGAGCACAGTGCCAACCAGATCCAATTCTTTTAACGCGACGTTGTCCGCTGGCCGCAGCAGCTCGCAAGCCCACCATAATTCATTTGCTGAGAGAACCACAGGTCCCTTCATCACAGCGACGATGCAACAATACGAGCAATGAAACGCATTCTACTCAGATTACTGCGTTGAAAGACAGGGTCGGCTCCAACTGGCGGCATGCGACTCACAGGTAACGGAGGGTGATTGGCGAGTCACGGGCACTGTCCCGGCTGTTGGAGGGCGCAGACAAATCTTGAGATGAAATGTGGGGCAGACGGGGTTCATCTGGAGTTCATGAACCACAAAGGTACTAGAGATGACGGTACCTTGAACAAGTGGAGGGTAAGGTAAGGTACTTCCATGTCCGGTACAATAACGTCGTTACCGACTGCCATACCCCGCTTCTACACTAAGCCTCCCCCGGAGGCCCAACATCACCACAATTTTTTGAACTTTGCTTTTTCAGCCCCATCAAAACAGGAATCAAGAATACAACTCCGTTGGGTTTCCGGCCGGTCACCTGAGCCTTGCGACCGTAACCTTCTTGACATCGTTCTATTTGTGAGCTCATAGGCCTCATAAGTCCACCCGAAGCTCTTCTGTGAGCGAGAGGGTAGTGCAAAGAGGTGTGGCAACGGAACATCACAAAGATGTCGGCTCCAAACAGTCGGGTCAGGGCGTTCCCCGCCCAAGCTGCTACCAATCGTAACGGAGATAGGGGAGTGTCCAGCGAGATCTTTGAGGAAACAGCACACCGCAGGGGGCACACTCTCGAGTGACAGAGCGGCACCAGCGTTACCCAACGGTAGTGTACTCAGGTAAAAAACCCGCCCGGTGAGTGGCATTGTGCCGCCTTTCCGACACCCATTGTCGACGCGGAGCTTCGCAGCACTATTGGCAAGGTAGGTAGTCAGGAAGAGGGGATTGACAACTAAAATTGCCGGCGAACCGTGGAGTGTCTCCCTCCGTTTGGAACCCACGGTCCTAATTTCCGGCCAATAAGCAACAGCATTCACGTAGTATGGAGACTTGGTGTTTTACACAATCGCACACTATGTGACACGCCTCACTCGATAACCAACCGTTTCGGTAGATTTTGCGCAGATCCGGACTTGAGGCCAAGCGAGCCCAAGCCACCAGCTCGAGATCCACATGGCCAGGCCTCCCACTCAGATACCGGGCTCCCGATGAACCGAAAACTCAACGGTTTCGCCTCACCTTAGTGAAGCCCCAAAGACCAAGAAACCCGCTGCGACAGCCCCCAAAAAACATTCTTCGTTGATAAAGGCGGTTCGGTGGGGGAAGTTGCCATACTGTGGTAGGTAGCCTGGCACGCCTCGCTAATCTCCCAATTTTCCTGTTCCGGGCTTCGTCTGCGAGTTCGCCCATGGATTGGAACCCCAACTTGGAAATTTTCCAGCCCACACTTCTTGTGGACGCCAAGCATTCAACTCCGAGTCCGAGCCCCATTGCTATTCGCCCAACTGGTACCGACACGCTGGGACGGTCCACTTTTATTCTCGCTAGCGCCAACAAGTGAAACCACCACCAGCCCTTGCGATCACACAGCCTTGCCGAATCGATGCCTTGCAGACAGCGCAAGCACACCGGACGAGATGAGGCAAGCCCCCTTCGCCCAAATTTCCGGCCGCCAACAGATTCAGCAGGCTGTCGCTGGAAGTCCCCCGGGTCTCCCGGGCGGCGATGAATGACCCTAGCGGGGGCCACAAATCCGACCTCAATTTGTGTTGGGGGTTCTCCTAGTTCAATAACACAGGAGTTGAGACGTCCAGCTTCTTACCGAGGTAATCTTAAATGGAATCCTTACGAATGAAAAAACATTTCACGTCCCAACCCGAGCTCTCCTTGCCTATTTCCTCCTGAAGCGGAGTTGCCTCCGACCCCAGTTCATCTTCGTGAGGCCAGCGTTAGTTAGTCCGGTTTGAGTTGTTGACCGCCACTTTACGTTACAACGATGAAATAAGGGGTATGTTGGCCCTAATCCTTAAGAATCTGCCCTCGGGAAGTTTGAGAGGCCGAGACGTTGATTCAAAACTAGACATGTCCCTCTATCACCAGAAACAACACGACGATCAGTCCCTTGGAACGGCAGAAGACATTGAACAAATGCAACATTCGCAATCTCGATCCTATTGTGCATCAACAAGGCTCATGCAGGTCGACCCTCATGCATTCGATGTTTTGCGGCCTTACCCCCAACGGCAAACCATGTAGCTGCTCAATTTCCACCCCCGGGACCGGTCACGTCTCTTCCATCCTCCCAGTCTCAGCCTTCCGAATTAACCGCCACCCCTAGCAGGAGGGAAACGCTGAGTAAGTCCATCTCTCAAGTGGAATGTTTTTTGAGATACATTTGTGATATGTCTGTTTTGGATTGTGAGTGATAGAGTGGGATTCTGGATGTGCCGGTGACCTACTTGGGCCATTTCTACGACGCAATACTGTGCAAAATACTGTACCGGAGTCAGGTACCAGACACTTTCTCGGACCGGTGGGCTGGTAAGCCGCGAAGTCGCCATGCCATGTGCGGTTCTGTTCCACCCCTCCCGCTCGCTTCCGGATCCCTGTCCCCTGTCATGCAGCAGGTATTATCCACCCCACGAGCCCACCCATTGTTCTCAGCCAACACCTTTGTTTTGAACCCGGAGCAGTTTCCGGAAGCCGGTATGAGAGAACAATGTGTAGTGTAGAGGCAAGGAAAGACCGGTGATTTGAACGGTAGTCTGAGCCGAGCATCGTACCTGTGTAGTACACAGTGCGCGGTATAGAAGAGAGAGAGTATCAATCTTCGGACCTGACCCCAAGCCGCTGATTTACGCATACCTTAGCCCATCTTGCCTATGGAGATCGGCTTTTCTTCCTTTACCCGTGGTGAATGAGCAGCGTTTGATTCAGAACAATGGCGTCAAAAAAACCAGTAAATGGTGCAAGAAACGTGGTAGAAGTTGCCGTTCAACGAGCGGGATCTAGATCATATTTCCGAGATGTTCAACCCGAGGGGTTGGATTCTTCGGAAGGTAGCCAAGGTTTAAATTAGTTTCCGACGAGGGAAAAGTTGCTCTTCGAGAGCTGTGTTTTTTGTGACATGAATTACTAAGAGTAGAGTTGAAAGTACCGCAAACCAAACTAAAGAGACAGCGGCCATCGTTGGCTAAGAGCGTGGGTTGTGGCTCTGTCATATCATCACCGTATTTATGACAGTACAAAAGGGGCCAATTGCTGCAGCAATTGACGATTTTTCAAGAAGCGCCTGCTCTCGCTCCGTCTTTCAGCCTCAGATACCTATGTTGCATCGATTGATACAAGGTTTTTGGTACTCAGGTGTTTCCAATACAGCTTCCTTCCTTCCCTCCCTCGCAAATCCTATACCGGTCTTTTATAACCCACCCTTCCGTTAACAGTTTCCAACAGCCCCCCCATCCGACAAATGCCCAACCGCGGATGGTGTATTTGGGGGGGCGCGGGCAGCACCGAGCGTGCCCGCTTTCTCCCCTTCGTGAGTTCGACTCATGGTGGGAGCACCACGGCAAAATCCTTGGGGATTTTCGTAGCCATTCGGGCCTTATCACCGAGATAAGTAAGGCCCGGTGGTGAGCTTTTTGGCTTTTTGGCCTTTTCTTTAATCCCCCCATATTGTTGATGTTAATTGAACACGTTTGACGCCTGGAGCTTTGGTGTCTTCAGAGAGCGCCGACGATGTATAATTAGGTAAGATAGGTACCTTGGCGTAGTTGTTATACACCCACCCAGCTTCGGCATTTATGTACCAATGGTCCGATTTCTCAAACTTATAACACACGCAAAGAACAAATAAATGGAAACTTTAGTAGAGAAGGGCCCGTGGGTATTCGTGCCAAAAATCAAACAGGACGTATTGTGATCCAAAAAACACAGTTCCACCCCTGCCTAAACATTGCTCTGGGGGACTTTCGAGTCGCTGGTAGCAATAACTAAAGCATTTGACGATTGATCTTTGATGGGGGGCGTGGGACGTGGTGGGGTAATTTAATCTGGCGAAGATAACACACTTTCGATAGGCCGCCGCTGTCCCTCTTCGCACGGACCACACCTTAATTCTCTGACCGACTTGCCCCAAAAGTCTCGGAAGCGGCAGAAAAAAAAACAAAAGAAAAAGTTGCTGCGAACAGTCCTCGGCGCCATCCAAGAACACGGATCCTACGCCCTCCCTCACAACGCCCGGGCCGACAACACCGGAACCATGGATATCCACCGGTGCCGCTTCGTCCGTTATCCTGCTTCGGCCATCAATGCGGTCGCGTTCACGCACTCGTCCCTCTCCGCCTCGAGCCACAAGAAGCACCTCTCGAAACATGTTCAGGTCCGCCTTGCGATTGGGAGAGCCAATGGCAGCCTTGAGGTCTGGAACCCTCTCCACGGTGCCTGGCATCAAGAACTAGTCATTCCTGGCGGCAAGGACCGGAGTGTCGACGGCTTAATATGGGTCACGGAGCCCGACGAGGAGATGGCCGACGGTAAAATTATCCATGGCAAGTCGCGCCTTTTCAGCATTGGATACACGACCACAATCACAGAGTGGGATTTGGAGAGGGCAAAGGCCAAGAAGCATGCGAGCGGTCAGCACGGCGAGATCTGGTGTCTCGGGGTCCAGCCTCCCCAAAGCAACGGCGCCGTGTCTTCAGGGAGCAGAAAACTTGTCGCCGGCACCGTCGATGGGAACTTGGTACTCTATTCAATTGAAGATGGCGACTTGAAATTCGAGAGGACACTTATTAGGACCCCGTCGAAGAAGATCAAGTTTGTCAGCATTGCCTTCCAGTCCCACAACGTCGTCGTCGTCGGTTGCTCGAATAGCACGATTTGCGCCTACGACATCCGAAACGGTACCCTTCTGAGGCAAATGACACTAGGTACCGACCTCTCAGGTGGTTCCAAGAACATAATTGTGTGGGCTGTCAAGTGCCTGGCCAACGGCGATATTGTGTCCGGCGATTCGACTGGACAGGTTTGCATTTGGGACGGCAAGACGTTCACGCAAGCGCAGCGGATTCAGAGCCATTCTCAGGATGTTTTGTGCCTCTCCGTCAGTGCGAATGATTCGAAGATCATTTCGGGCGGGATGGATAGACGAACGGCCGTGTACGAGCCCATCGCTGGTCAAGCGGGTCGTTGGTCGAAAGTTTTCCACCGCCGATACCATCAACACGATGTCAAGGCGATGGCTTCCTTCGAAAGCAAAGGGATGAGTGTTGTGGTTTCTGGAGGTATATTTTCCCCGTTTCCCCGAGCATCAAATGAAGCTAATGTCAGTTGGAAAGGTTCGGATGCGAGTCCCATTGTGCTCCCCATGCGCGCGGTCGGCAAAGAGTACCACCGAACACTTCCGAGCCTCCCACAAGATTCACCCCTGCGCAGTGCCCCCGGAGCTCGGCTTCTTGTGAGTTGGTGGGAAAATGAAATTCGGATCTGGCACCTGCAAACGCCGGCGAGCCAACTACTCGATGACCACCACGCCGCGCTCAGCCTGCGGAAAAACAGGAAGTTACTTGCCCAAGTTCTAGTCCAGGGAGAATCCCACATATCGTCAGCCGCGATCAGCGAGGACGGGACAATTCTCGTGGCATCAACAACTGCTGGTATCAAGGTGTTCTGGCTTAACTTTGCCACGGCGGACCAGACTGACCAGCTCCAAATACGAAAACTGGATACCTCGATAGATGCCCGTGCCGCTACTCGGATCCAAATTTCACCCGATAACCGGTGGATATCTTGGGTCGAAGATGGGAGCCAAGTTTTTGTTGCCCAGGTGCATGAGACAGAATCGGCAGTCAGCGACCCCTACACGATCTCGCCGCCTTGCAAACTGCGCCGGCTCCGACGCCAGATTCCCAAACACATCCTACTTGGAGGGCTCGGATCCTACGATCGGAACATTACGCAAACCTCCTTTTCGCCAGACAGCAGGCTGTTCGGGACCGCCGACTTGGCGGGGTTCATTGACACCTGGGTCTTACGCGGCCCTGGTGAAGGTGCGGATGGCATCGGTGGAGAAAATGATGGAGCGACCGGCGAGTCCTCAAGCGATTCGTCTGACGAGGAGGTGGACGATGTCGCTAGTGAACGTTGGGTCCGCAACCCCAACGCGAGACTTCTCCCGAAGCTTTCCGCCGCTCCGGTTGTGCTCTCCTTCTCAGAGACTCAACGAAAAGATGGAGACTACGATCTTTTAGTGATCACAGCAGCAAAGACCCTTCTAGTCCTCAACCCCCTACGTGGAGCGCTCTCCGAGTGGTCACGACGAAATTCGTACCCGAAGCTCCCGGTCACATTCAGAGATACGCGTGATCAGGTCAAGGGCGTTGTGTGGCAAGGCCATAGGGTATGGATTTACGGAGTTGCTTCTTTGTTCATGCTGGACCTGTCCCAGGATTTCGACCCAGAGAAAGACCTTGTGGTGGACAAGAAGGGCAAAAAGCAAGGCACTAAGCGGAAACGTGGTCGGCATGAAAGCGGCGCGGGCGGGAAAATGGAAAACAATTCGCTTGCCCCTCAACGAATTCGGGTGGCCGCAGGGCCAGACGGAGACAAATGGGAGGACGTGGAGATGGCCGATGCCGACGACCAGAAGAGCGTTGGTGCCTCCAGTGGGGCCGACGACGACGATGACGAGGACACAGATGGCGGTGAGCTGCAACGCCTCCGGGACAGCCAGGACCCTAACGGGATCACGTTAGATGGGGAGCATGAGGGGCCAAAAACAGCCAAGTGGTGGCATTCGTATCAGTTCCGTCCGTTATTGGGCATCGTACCGATCAAGACGGTGTCTGGTTTGACGAATGGGGGCGCGGTCGACGGGATACCCCCTCTTGAGGTTGCTGTTGTTGAGCGGCCATTGAGTAGCGATGATCTGCCGGAACGTTACTTCGGAGAGGGTGAATTCGAGAGATCGTGATGTGGGCTCATCGCTCCACCTTCCTGTACAATACATGGCAACTATCGAGAGGGCCGAGTTACGCAACAGGTCTTCATCATAAACCCTAATTCTGCTGAGACGTCTTAGAGCCCAAGCTGAACCGTATCACACTCACGGCGCCAAAAAGGGGGTTAAGCCTTTGAATATACCTTCCATACTTACCCGTAGAGTATCATCTTGAGTACAGCGGTTTATTTCCCCCTAGAACTATAAACTGAAGAACTACACAAACACCATGAAACCTCATGCTGTCGTGAACACACAAACGCCCACCACCTTTGGTACGGCTGGCCCAACCCAGCTAACCTTCCACCCCTAGCCTGACACCCTTACCTTACCGGTTGACCGAGTTGGGCTTCCGCCGCTCGAGGGGGCCAAACCCGCCTTCGGAATCAACACCAATGTAAGCGGTGCGGCTATTATCAACGGATGACGCGGTCTCGATCCTGAGAGACATCGCTCCACCTTTCTCGGAGGAGATCGAGGACAAGGGGGAGAGTGTCAGTAGACTCACTAGACCGTTTTGTCCATCCAGCTCACTCGGGCGTGGGCGGAGAAGTTTTGTTGGTGATAATGAGGGAGGTTCTTTACACATCTCCTCAGGATTGAACTTGGACAGACTGCACCGTCGTGACCCTAATTGCAGCGGGCTTGAACTGTAAACACCCCGTATCCCCTTACCATTTGCTCCCTTTGATGTGGGAGGAAATAGGTTGCGTAAGGGTTAAACGTACAATCCCGCTAGCACAGATACGTACCTTCATATGCATCATAGGTATGTGAAGTATCGGGGGCTCCCTCTCTCCCCCACTTGGCTGTTCCCAGTCCGACACACAATCGTAAGGTACATGCCTAAGAGTCTCATTGGGGTCAATGAGCACTTTGCGTTTGTACGAAGTCCTCAATTCCGTGGAATTATTGGCCCCCAGCTGGAATCCCATGAGCAGGACGGGACTGTCCGCCGGGCACAAAACAAAGCAGTGAGATTTTTCGGCTGCTCCTTCCTTTATCTCTCCACCCAGACCCTGACCCTCGAACGCCGAAGTGGTGTGGGGATCGGGGAAGGAGACGCGCGTCAAAGGGGAGCAAGGTCTTTGTTCCGCGTTCTTTTCTCCTCCTTAACCCCCCCCCCCCCCCCCCCCCGCTTGCGGAGTGAGGAGGGGGCGTGTGGTGAAGAGGAGACCGAAAAAGTATGTGAGTGCTTTTCCGTTCCCCGCTCCTAAATCGACCAGCCAGTTGTTTCCCGATAGGCCTGTGATATTGCCGAAGGTCGGTCCGTCGAGGAGCTCTCGGAGCGGTACGGTGGTGATACTGTTGATCTGCATGGTCTACAGCCGTCGGCAATAGAGATACGCCTTCAAGATGAATGCATAAGAATGCATAACTTTCAGACGAGACATTGTTAAATATACGGCCTGTTGAGAAACAGCATATCGTGGACTCAGCCGCACGGATCTCGAGTGTTGGGAACTAGATGGGAACCACCTAGATGGGCGACCACAATGGGCTCCATGACAGCCACCGGCGTTGTCAGGCGAAAAAGGTTGATCCCGCGAGCCCGCTTACCAAACATGAGGGTCACAGGGGTTTGGGGGTGTTTGATATAAAAGAAGTGCGTCGGGACCGCTCCATCCGGTGCTTAGAGCCTCCGAAATCCTCGTGGCGGCTTCTCCTATTGAAGGGTGTCGTCAAGAGGCGTTGTAGTTCCTGCCAAGAAGAGCTGGCTGCCGCGTAATCAATTCCGCCACCCAACAAGCCGGACAGTGCTTTGAAATGAATTCCGCTGCAAATTGAGAAACATGCGCACTGTGCGAAATCCGTCCCGTCCAATCATGGCATTTCCAATTCCTCGGATTTTGAACAGTTAAGCGTGACACGAACTTCGAGGTTCCAGGTCCTGCTGGTGTTCGGACGGAACTTAAGAGGCCCACACGGGCTCGCCAGGTTGCCCACCGAGCCTCGAGCGAGCCTACTAGTTTGGGGGGGTGAAGGGGGAACTGGTTGAGGGCGACGGGAAGGGTTCAAATAGAAGACTCTAAGACAGTTAGAACACCTGGTCGTGTACCAATCCGACGGTGACGAATCCCGGATCCGGAGAACTCCTGTGCCGGGCTCGGTAGCTCGGCTTAAGGTCAAAGGGAAAACGCCTGGTGGCAAGCAAGTCGTCAGCGACTCGTCAAGTCCACCGCGTCAACGGTGCTGGAATAGTCAGAAACGGGCCGAGCATGTGTCCGTTGGAATTTCGATTTTCGGTGGTTTGGGAAGGGGCAAATATGCCCCCATGGTCAGCGGTCGTCATTGGGGGCCTGAGATGGGGTTTCTGTGACGTGGGCTGGTCGCGGCCCGAGGTGGGCATACTTGTCATTGTGTCCAGGGGAAGAAACTATGATGAAGCCGAATGTGTTGGAATATGATGAATGAGAATGGGAAGAGGTGTTGAAATCCGCCTGAGCCCCCCGATCATTGCCAATTTACACCCGTATTATGGGAAAACTAAACGTTTTTGCCTATTCCCTTCGTCGTGGATCCTCGTGTCGGTCCCCACGTGTGAGATGCAGCGGAACCGATCACGGCTTCACGAGGACTAGTTAACTAATGGTCAATGAATTCCTCATGTACACTAAAGGTGCGGCCCATAGTTATTTTCAACGAAAAACAAACAGCGTGTCGCATCCAAGCGTTTCCGACGTTTCCGTTTTGGGGCCGATGGAAGGAAACGGCGAGGTTCCAAATGCAACGAGACGTCGTCCGACCAATGTGAACAAGACCGAACTCCCTCGCCCACGAACAGCTGGGCCGCCCCTCAGCCACACCCTCGTGGAAAAAATACATGCCCGGGGTTGACCAAAACGAGTCTTGGCGCTTTGCGATGCGCAACCTACCCTGAATACCGACGCTGAATTGAATACCCGTCCTGTTGACGACTGCAGGCGACTTACCTAACAAGCCCCCAGTATCTGCACTTCCGTTAAGGTCGCGGATACGGACGCTAAACCTGCACACCGGAGTCGGTCACCTGGAAATTGCGTAGTGGGATATCGGTAGTTCAATACCTTCAATAGTAGGCTCAAAAAACGACCCCATCTCAATCTCAATCTTCCATGCTTCCACAGGCGGGATCCTGCTTTGGGTGATGAAGCCAGCGGAAAACCGCCTCGAGGTCACTGGGAGGCGGAGGTCGGCATTGTGGGGATCGCATTTGGGGCGGAGGGACCCGAAACCGTCGCTGATTGGCCACAGCTGGGGAGCGGACGCGCGTTCTCTGCCCAAGACGCCGCCCTCTTGTGCCCCCATCCACTTCAGTCGACAAACTCAGTTTGTCGTTCCTCAGCAGAAATTCGTCGGCTTTGCTGCCTACACCCCTCCAGGCCGAAACTCATTGATTTCTGAATACATTCTCTCTTTGGCAAGCAACAGACCGGCCAAAAAGTCAAGAAAGCAACCCTGGCATGGCAAAAGCGTCATCGGCTTAGAGCCTAGCCTTCCGTTGTCGTCAGGAAGTGGTACCTGGATGACACATGCGCTCCTCTCGCCCAGAAGGAGTGTCTTGGACTGCCACGCAACCCTCTCTCCATTTGTGGTGTGTCGTTTTAGGGGACGGCCGGGACGGGCGCACGCCATTACACACGCCTGCGTCGGCTCCCTGAAACCTTGCGCATCCCTCCCCACTCTCCCGCAGCTTTATCCTCCGCCCCCTTGTCTTTCCTGTCCCCGGCCCACCTTCAACTTGTCTCCTCTTGAACTCAACCATCCCTCTCTCCCACTACGACACGCCACAGGCTCAGCGAGGACCCGACCAAACCTCCACGCTTGTCGACACTCCGAACCAACCCCAAGCCCGACATTGCGTAGAACTGTGTGGGATCTGCTTTCGCTCGAAACCGGTCTTCTTTTGGATCGTCGTCGGGCCGGCAGGAACAAGAAGAAGAGGTCCACAAGAGGCGCATCTCGGCTTCCTATCCGAAAGATTGCGTGGCCCGCATCCAGGTCTCATTTAAGCGCCGCCGCTCGACGACAACTCACCCACACTCGTTGACGCACGAATCCGACAGCGAAACGACGAGGACGACGAGGACGACTACGACGACTACGACGACAACTGTGACGCCGACAGCGACAGCGACAGCGACATCGACGACGACAGCGCCGCGATTGGTTGCGATTGTTTCCCCGGGGTTTCACACGCAATTCATTAGTTTAATACCGCCGACCAGCCACAACTACGAAGGGATCTCGACCGATCACCGCATAACGGCAACATGGACGCTGATGGGAGGGGCGCGCCTCAAGGCGACGGCCAGTATGGCGAAGAATGGGCGCACGACCTGAGGGTCCAGTTCGAACAGCTCTTGAGAACGAAGCGATTAAACGAACTTACCACACGGTCCCGGCAGGGCTCACCAGCACCTGCGCCCCGCGCGTCGTCGGGAAACCTACGAGATGCATATGTATCTGATCGTCGCCATCCTGGACCGTCGGGCGATGCCCAAACACCTCCTTCTTACTCATCTGTCCGCAATCTTCCCAAAGTTCCCACCCCTCCAGCAGCCGACGACCTCGAATCTACCCGGTTCCGAAGCCTCCTTATTTCACTTTCAGCGACTCCCATCAAGTACGAGAACCCAGGCCTCCTCGACGAGGCATTGCAAGCGATCCCGCTCGACAGGATATATGGAGAGGCCGAAGAAGAGTGCCAGGTACTCCAAGCTCAAGCCGAAAGCATGGGCGATGGGCGCAAAGCGGAATGGGGGTACCAGGACTGCATGATCCGTGCCCTTCTCAGGTATGTCTTTGAGCCTGCACTCAATTCAAGCCCTTCTTCCATTGATCAATTGGCTGACTGTCCGACCTGCTCAGGTGGTTTAAAAATGAGTTCTTCACCTGGGTTAACAACCCCCAGTGCCCCGTGTGCTTTAACCCGACCATCGCCCAAGGAATGACGCAGCCAACACCAGACGAGAAGGCCTGCGGTGCCTTGCGTGTCGAGTTGTATCGTTGCTCCAACAATAGCTGCAAGGCGTACGAGCGCTTCCCCCGATATAGCGATGTCTGGCGGCTGATGCAGACGCGGCGTGGGCGAGTGGGCGAGTGGGCGAACTGCTTCAGCATGCTTTGCCGGGCGATTGGCGTGCGCGTCCGTTGGGTGTGGAATGCCGAGGACCACGTGTGGACTGAGGTCTACTCGGAGCACCAAAAGCGCTGGGTCCACGTTGACGCTTGCGAAGAGGCGTGGGACAACCCAAGGCTATACACCGAAGGTTGGGGCAAGACGATGTCGTACTGCATCGCCTTCTCGCACGAGGGCGCCACTGATGTCACACGGCGTTACGTGCGCAAGACCGAGTACTACAAAGAGCGCAACCGTTGCCCCGAGGAAGTCTTGCTCTATGTCATGCAAGAGATCAAGCACCTACGCCGATCCAACTTCGAGAAGCAGAAGCGTTTTGAACTAGAGAAGGAAGACACGAGAGAGGACAAGGAGCTCCGCAGCTATGTTGTTGCTTCGATCACCCAAGCTGTGACAGAGCTTGTCCCAACAAACACAACAGCTGACGCTGGGCCGAGTCGTGTCCCCCCGTCGCGGCCAGCGCAGTTTTCGAGCGATGACACCAAAGTCCCCGTACGGCCCGATCCACCATCCCGACAAAGCGGTAACGCAGAATATCATGCTGCACGTGGAGAAAACGGTCGACGAAATCAAGGATTCCCCCCTGCGCCGCACGGTCAAGGACCACCCTTTCCTTGAGCACCTTTCTTCTTCGCCACAATCTTTCATCACCATGTCCCACGTCACTTGTCACGTTCATGGGCGAACGCCAAATCCACCGATGGACGGTTTCGCTGCTTAAAACAGCATGATACCCACCGTTCATCGGCTTATTCAGTTTCTTGATGATCATATCTCGACCATCGGTGAGCACAATATGCCACCGCTCGACTTCTCATGATGTCTTCGCCGTTTACTTGTCGGCTACTTTTATGTTATATACGCAAATACCCGCTTCGCGGGACCATATATTTTAACCATATCACCTTACGTCGAGTCACCCCTACTTATTTCTTTTGTTGTCACACTCATCATATACATACCATCGTCATCGTCATTGCTTGGAGTACCCCGGCGTCGCTTGGATTATTGTTTCTTCCCGAAGCATCTGTTGGGACTTGTGGTTTCTGCGAGGCAGGATGATAGCTTGAGGGATGCTGCACCTTAGACGGCAATCCTTCGTGATGGCGTTCTGGGCGGGAATAGGAAATTAGGGATGGGGGAGAAGGGTGGGTGGGTTGGTTGGAAGTTACACGTCGAGGGATGACCCTGAACGTTAGCCTTGGTTGGCTTTGTGAGATAACAATCAAAGGAGCGTGGATGCCATTCATCTGTGTGTGTATCCTTTCGCGTTGCCAGCACATGTCCATGTCTGCCCCCCAGTGTTTCGAATCGTCGTCGATGGTAACTTGAGCCCATCGCCGGTATGTCCATGACAGCACACCCGCTGTTGCAATGTTGCATAGGTATATACGGTATGTACCTCCGTGCACCGCTAACAGCCGTCTCACCTTGATCATCAACCGACCACCTTGCACATTCATCCACACACCTTCATCATAATGGCCTAATCCCTGATCTTATCAAAATGACAAGAGAGTATTCCCTTGACTAGTCTCGAGTAACACCCTAACCCCAAAACCGCACCTCCACAAAGATACCGTCACACACAAAAAAATGTGGAACGTAACTACTGATTGACACAACCAAACCTCTGTCATATGTTTGGCCGTACTCCCCCGGCTCGCCTAGCATAATTTGGTTCTTGAGCTACTACATCCTAGTCGGACTAGGAAGAGAGGACAAAGGGAATGGCCTAGTTGGTCACCGCCGTTTACCCCCGGACAACGACCTAAGTTATACATGATAGTTCATAGCTTAACCGGCTCTACCGAGCGTGGCACGCTGTGCGGCCTGGAGAACCACTCGTTTCTTTGGCCACAAGATGGGGTACGTGTATACACGTAGTAGTGGGAAAACAACATCTTTACATACGCAGCATAACCCTGGAAGTGGTTCAAGGTGGACGTGATCCAGTTTCCATCTGAGCATGCACCATTAGAACAACATTGACATTTGGAAGTAGGGGACGGGAATGGATGTGTGATAGCTTCTTGGACAGCGCCAGATCAAAGGGTATTCGTGTGTGAACTAGGTATTCTCGGTTTGACGCTAGGCACGGTGAACGAGTTCTTCCCCCTTGAGTGTCAACAAAAAATGCCGGCCGGTACGACGACGCTTTCTTGATGTTGGTATGTACACTCGTCCTGGGTAGAAAACGCGGATTGCCGTGAGGATAAGCATCGAGCCCAACCGGTTAACTCAAAGTGGTTCCTGGTCAGTCTGGCAACAATATTGTCAAGACGGGTGTAACAATCCTCGGAAACGCCTGGCAGCATGGGTACTCGGAATGTAGCTGTGATATCACGGGGAGGAGGCAACCATGAACAAGTCCCAGACTATTTATTGAGGAGTGTCGTGATGTGTGATCTGGGCGTAACACAATTTAAAGACGTAACGAAGCATATCAGTTCCAATGGTATCAATTATCGTTCAGGAGAAGCATCAAGCAGGAACACTTCTAACTGTTCGGGCTTGGGATGCCACCCGACGTTAGCCAATGTCTCTTAGAAAGGGGGGCGAATGTTTAAAGCCTGTTGTTTTTTAGGTAGCTGTCAACGAAGCAGGATACCCTAGCAGTGACTGAAGCAGTCTCATAAAGACCGTGCCTCAAATGTATGGACTAATATCAGCCCAAGCGTACCAAACGCTACGTTGAAGTTGATAATCCCGCTAGCCTAGCGATTATACGGTTCAGTCCCTTCTACCATCACGTGTAAGAAGACTTTGGGTAGCAACTTTTAACCTGAGGAGCAGGTGTCCCCGTTGCTTGAGACCAATTTCGTTGCCAGTGAGAATTCCCGGGCCACGTGGTGCGATTCATGCGCAACCCCATTTTCACACGAGCAAGACCAAGGGGGAAGGGGTTGTGATCTTTGAAGCTAGGGGTTATTCAAGGACATGAAGCGGATATACCACATATAGAACATACTGTGTAGAATAGGCTGATGGCCAAGAACTTCCACGAAGGACCTTTTTGAAATAACCCAAATTATATCAAGAGGTGCGAGTGCCCACCCCCCTCCAGCTCTCCGTGGAACATATCAAGACAAAAATGACGAGACGGCACAGTAACCCGTCTCATTGCCTCATTGTTCAATACTAAAAGACTACAAAGGGTCAAATATCCCGCTTAAGGTGGGGTCTTGAAAGTGGCCGGATGGGGACCGTTTTGCCCCTTGATTAAGACTTTTCATGGCATGTGTCCGATCTGATGTATCGATCCTTTCAAGATCTGTGGCCAGGCGAGCCAGGTGAGAGGTCTGAGATGAGGAGGGTCCGACATGTGTCTCTCCATGTGTCTCTCCATGTGTTCGATCTCTGCTCGATCGATCGTGTCAGGGCGTGCTCCAATCACCTTCTTGTTACATAGTATTATCGCGCTTCACGATGCCACCAGGCCGGCCGAAGCAAACCCAGTTGGAGTCGGTCGTTCGTGCGGTGCCCTGTGGCGTCGGTCGTTTTTGGTTTCCCGAGAGACCGATGGATGAAGCTTATCCCGATTGAGTGGCCGGCTGCAGATCATGCATTCATATCGAGATTCGCCCTCGCAGCTGAGCTTCGAGCTAGGCGCCGCAAGGATGACACCTTGAAGTGTACGGCATCAAATTTGGAATTATCTTGAAAACCATACGGACCTGTCTTGACTTGTGAATGTTTTTGGCTACTTGCTACTTAGACGTGGGTGTTTCTCTCCTCGGCCACGTTTCGACGAATATCATTACAGTCATTGCAGCTGAACGAGGAGGCCCTCAGAGAAAACCGCGTGGCTTTGTTGGCCAGCCTCGGGCGCTTCCAGCCGAAATTGAGGGCGGATCTCAACCCGATGCGGGCTTTCCCCGGATGAGAACAGGGCCCGGCGGGTCCGAGTACGACGGGGCTGCACGTGTAGGCAGACAAAATCCCGGTGCAAGAAACCACTCCGTTCGACCATGATTCTTGTTGATGTTGGCGGTAACGTTAAATACGGTACAAAATGGAATGGTCATCCCTTGCCGTGGCACGAAAAGGGGCCTTTGGTGATGTGGTTGGAGTGCTTCATGCCGATGTCTCCAAACGGCGGTGCCGGTTTGGGCGTTGGGATGCTTTCCGGAGATGAGATTTGCACCGGGGCTCCTTGGGCGGGGCAACTGCAAAGCTCCTCCCTATGTATGTTGGGGGCGAGAACGGGCAGACGAGCAAAAGGGGAAGTCGTTATTCCAAGGCTTTCAAGTCCCAATCGATCCTCCAACTGGCTCAGGTTAGTCATTCTGCACCGAGGTTTCAGAACACCAAATCAGTCCTTTTGGCAATCGGTCCAAAGCAGATCACCTTCCTCAGAAATAGCAATACAATTATCGCAGCAAGGGACATGTGGAGCGGATCAGCCCTGCAAAACCAAGCCTGCGCCTTGCGACTGCAGCAACTTGCAAGCAACCTCGCAAACCGCGGCCCGCTTTTTCACGCTCGACAACACGCGTAAAGTGCGCGCAGAGACGTGCCATTGGCTCTCAGCCCTCAGTCTTGACACGGGCGAAACCTGGAAGGTCCGGTTTCGTTTCTTCTCACAAGCCAGCCAGCCAGCCGAGAGATGCCAGCCGCATTTGTTGTGTGGACCTCGAGAGGACGCCCAAAGTTCCGATCCACTCAATGCCTCGAGGCAGGCGTTCCCGACAGGCTGGGTTGGGCGGTTGCAGGAAGCTGGAGGTTTCCTTTGCCACGAGCGGACATGGAAGCTGATTGGAAAAGAACCGATTTCTGTTCCTCGATGACGACGTGAGGCACGCGTGAGACGGAAGATTTCGAATTGGCTCTCGGTCAGTGGCCGGCCTGTCGGTGCTTTGTTCCGGATTGACTTGCCAGATCTGGCGTTTCCCCTCAACTAAGCCCAGCCTCGACATTCACCATTGAAACTACACAGGCATGCGGCGCATTCAATGGGTGATCCTTTTGATGTTGAGTGGTTAGCGCGTGGCGAGCGTGGCTCCCCGTCGGCGGCAACAAGGAGTTGGAGATAGAAAATGGCAGTGAAATGTCAGTCGCGGGTTACCCCCTCAAACACGCTTGCCAAGGTCCGGCGGCCTTGCATGCGACGAGATCCGCGTCTCTGACGCCGTTGCGTCGTCGTTCATCGGATTCTTTCTATGTATGGAAATCCTTCTGACGCTCTCCTACCCTGGAAATTCCTTGCAGTCAATCAATTCCTACACTTAGCCCCCCAGCCCCCTTTACCCCTCAGAGAGGGGTTTACGAATATTATTCTTGTCTCCAATGCATGGGCGGGATCTGGCTTTGCCGGGCTTCTGCAGCGGGATCGCGTCATGAATGCGCCTGCGCGGTTGAGATACTCAAACGCAGCGCGTTTTTGCGTGTCTTCCTTGGTTGGAGTCTTTGACAGTCCCAATTCTATTGGCCAATTGGTCGCCAACAACCCGAGTTTGTTCTTGGACGCCTGAGCGCGCGTCGCATCCCCAAGTGTTTTTTATCTTAAGCGAAACTGGGGAGAGGAGCGCAAAAATACTTTCGACCATTCAACCCCATTTTGTGGGGTTTACTTTGAGGTGAAGGGCTCGACCGTTTTCAACTAGGCATCGATTTCC